TCCCACTTGTGTGCTTGTGGTTCTACAACATCTATTCGATCAGGATACAACTACCTAATTCTACAACCCGCACTGGATTCTAGAACTCTAGCGAATTGCTTTGTGTGTTTACTCTCTGGAAAGTTTGTACGGAAGATAAGGAGGAAAAAAAGATGATTTTTGATGGAACTAAGGACTCCAGTTATATAGGCTCTTTCATACCTCTTCAAACACCTTTTGGAAGGAGACCATTGTCTTGATTAATTAATATTAATTAATATTAATATTATAGTATAATCATCAAGCCTAATCCATACAACCATAAGGCTCAAACCTTCAATCCATTTCCAAATGGTTTAAGTTCTAATTACTAAGAAAAAAGAATAAGCCTATATAAAGGCTAGTGAAAAAATACTGTTGACCAATGTGGGACAAGAAACTCCAACACTTTGATCTTTCACAGCCCATTTTCCAACAAATTGCTCCATACAAAGCCGGAGTTGTCACTGTTCACTACAGAAGGTAACCAATTATATCCTCAGTTGGCATATATTTAATACTAACTTTAACTAACTGATAGCACATGGCATGATTGATCATGTGGTCTAGCATCACTCAGTCTTTACTGTGTTAGACGAAGTCTTGAGTTCAAATCTTATAGCCACTGGACAACAGTTGATAAATGAAAATACTAATGTTAACTAACAAACCAATTAATATTGCAATGCAGGGTTGCTTGCAAGAGGAAGGGTGGAATCAGATTCACAATAAATGGGCACCCCTACTTCAATCTGGTGCTTATAACCAATGTTGGTGGAGCCGGTGATGTGGTGGGTGTGTCTATTAAGGGTTCGAAAACCAGTTGGCAGGCTATGTCCCGGAACTGGGGTCAGAATTGGCAAAGCAACTCCTACCTTAACAGTCAGTCCCTTTCTTTCAAGGTCACAACCAGTGATGGCCGCACACTCATCTCCAACAATGTAGCTCCTCCCAACTGGTCTTTCGGCCAAACCTACACTGGATCCCAGTTCTAATTAACTTACCAAGTATCAGTACTAATTAATCATAGTCTATAGAGAAAACATGAATCATACATGGAGAATGTGAGACCCTTTTTTAAAATGGCCTCGCAACTCGCAGGCAGCGATTTGAGTCCTGTACATTTTGTGTTGGGCTGGCTTTTCAGTGGCACTGTGAATATTTCACAAAGGGCCACTAGCTTAGCTTGCGTGTGTATTTTTGGTTTTCGTTTTGATGTATTGGCTGAGGTGAAGGGGATTTGTTTGTTTGTCACCCGCCAAGGCAAAGAAGAGAATGCAAGTCAATTCTGCATTGTATCAGTTGTTAGCTGAGTTTATGTTCTTGGAATACATTTGCGAAATAAGTAGTTCCTTCCTAGTTCCATTTGTGTCACCATCAATGGTATGAAACTGTACTAATAGGTGGTTTACTGACGTGTTGAAGAATAATTTGTAATGATTTCGTTCTCTTTGCAAAAACTCTTTCATCTGTAGTGCAACATAATTAAAATCAAGGTTAATCTTAGTTTACTACCTTGAAGTTTTATGGTTTTCAACATTTAGTACAGAAAGTTTTTTTTCATCTCAGAGGCATACCTCAAGTCTTAATTGTGGGACAATCTCTCCATTAGTCTTTGTGTCACAAGCTCTGTTAAAACGTGACATAACACTTTACTGAATGATGACTGTGCAAAAATGTTACACTGTGGGCCCCACATAGACATATAAACCCAATTAAAAATTCAAAAATATTTTTTTTGCCTATCCCTTTCTCCAGCAAGGAGACTGAAAAAAAATTTATTATAACCTCCATTCTTTATTGCCTACACCTTCTCCAACCACCCCCCCCCCCCCCCCATCTCCCCCTAACAACCCACTGCCAAAGCTTCCCAAGCCGCCATTTTTCAGTCACCCACCACACCGAGAACCCACATGCTTCACTTTCCTCACTGCCTCCATCTCATCCTTTACCTCTCTCGCTGTCATAGTCATCTCCTTCACCAACCCTCTCGCTGCCATAGCCGTCGATTACGGCGATCGAAATCCGTACACCTTCTGGAAGATTCCACGGTGTGTTGAACATGGCCATGATGGTGATCGACGGCTTGGATCTGGCTGCAACGGTGAATGAGCTGTCTACGATCGAGTACCTTGACCGGATTGGGACGAAACGACGGTTTCAGATCCTGGCTTTGTCTGTACGATTTTAGAAACAAATTCTTCGAACCAGGAGGAGTCCATGACCTTGGCGACGTCTTCAGATCCTGGTGGTAGACGCTACTGTTGTGGCAGAAATCAATGGTAAAGAAAACTTCTGGAAATAGCTCACCGCCGCGGACCAAATCCATTGCAAAATAGATCTTGGACTTGCTCACAATGACCTTTTGGAGCTGGACGATGTTGGGGTTCATTTTTAGGTTTTAGGTTTTCAATTTTAATGTTTTTTTAATGTTTTAATATTGTTATTTTTTAATTTTAATTTATAAAAAATTTTGACACGTGTCATCCAATCCTTATCCACGTATGCGTCACGTCATCAGATAACGGCTTAATGGATGTATGAGGCTGTCCCAAAATTAAGACTTGAGGTATGATTCTGGCATGAAAAAGACTTCATATATCAAATGTTGAAAACTACAAAACTTCAAAAATTGGTTCATGTATTCAATCATCCAGTCACCCGGGAGAGGAGAGGAGTTCACCCCAAAAATTGGTTCTTGTATTTTTCATCAAATAGATTGTAGGCACAATTTTCTTTACCAACATATCAACAACCACAAACGTTAGACATGATATGTTGAGTCGTTGTTGGAGGCGACAGATGGTTGTCCAAGCAGCACGGGCGAAAATCCACTAGAAGAAGGTATGATGGGATTTGAACGATTTGTTTGCACCCAGAACCAGAAGAAGAAGGTGAGTTTTATCTCTTAAACCCCGAATTGGTTGTGGTTGTTAAATCGGTATGCAGTTTTGGATGCCAAGATATGAATGATTAAAATCCAACCACTGATCACTCTCATGTTCCTGAAGAGATTTTCTAGAGAACGGTACCCATATGTTATTATACAAGTTGAGGAAAATTTATTTTTTCAAGTGTTTATCTATTTGTATAATGACAAATGATGAATATGCTCATGTTCCAGACACATTGAAATATCTCTCATGTTCCTAGGATGGCAAACCAACCCATTAGATTGTTAACGGGTAATTATTATGATACACCATATTATGTGAAATCAAGCTAAACGAGTCTTAATTACCCATTAACAACCTAATAAATTACTTCGCCACCTCTTACATCGATTAAACACAAAGAGGGAAAGAAACTTCAACCTTTTACATAGCTTTTTATACTTCATGTTTCATTGAATATACTTAACTCATTTTGTTCAGCCTTTATCTCTTTACTCCTATGAATAACTACCTAACTTAAGGCTTCAGAGAGTTGTTGGCCGGTATCAACCCCGTATCAAAATCCATGTATATAAGTTCAAATTATAAATTGAAACATTCCAATTTCAAATCCATTCAAGTTAAAATAAACAATGAATAATATCGAAGACTTACAACTTAAGGTATCAGAGAGTTGTTGCTTAGATAAATTATATTTTATTGGGTAAGAAGAGAGAAAATAAAAGAAGGGTAGTGTCATTCACACACCCGTTTTTACTTCTCACACACTCTTTTCAATTTTCAGCCGTTGGATCGAATAAATTGAAGAATATCAATAAAAAAAAATTTAACAATAGTGTATAGAACGTAAAAATGAGTGTGTGACTAGCACTATCCTATAAGAATACTTGAGGGGCTAATTTTGGAAGAAAGATGGGGTAAGAAGCTAGGGTTGTTGTATTTTTGGGTGGTTTTTGATTAATGAATTTGTGAGTGGACATGAGTTTAGCAAAATTGATTAGAGCAATGTGCTCTTTCTCACCCCAAGTTTGAATATATTTTCCATATTTAGATGATTTTGTAAAGGGTGATGCTAGAGAAACCATTGAAAAAAGAATTAAACAATTAACCGCCACATCCTGTGGTCAACAAAATATGGTCGAAAAACATCGTTTCCCTAACATTTTCCTAGTTGTAACTTAGTTTGTCCTAACTGTTTATAGGATCAAATACAATATTCATATAAATATTTAAAGTTGTTGGAATGACCCCTGTCAACTTTGCCATTGCCACCGTGTCCACCGTCTCACTATTGCCACAACTAACACCACTACCACTGTCTTGCCATGACTACCACTGCCCCACCACTTCCTACATTCTCCACTTCATTATCCTCACATAGTCATCATCACCTCCACCATCGCCACCCCATTACCTTCACTTACTACAACCACTATTGCTACCAACCCTCCTCTCATTTTAACCATCAACGCTACCATTATTACCAAACACAAATTTATATATTAGTACCAAATGCATTTTTAATGTTTTCATTCTCAAAATTATATTTTGTTGTTTTTTATTTTACCAAATAGTTATTCAAAAATCGCTTTACAGTACATTACCAGACTAACCCTTATATTCCTATTAGTTACAAGAGTAAATCGGGAATTTGAAAAAACTTTTCGAACGAGCATTTTTCTATTTACAAAACAGTGATTCAAAAATCGTTTCACAGTACGGTACCAGATTAGCCTTAAATTTCTATTAATTACAGGGGTAAATTGGGTGAAAATTTAGGAACGAGTGTAGTCAGCATTTTTGGGGTTTGAATACCATTACCATGCGAGAAATCATTGAACACTAGAATCTGTACCCACGTGTTGCTGCGGGATTGAAAATTATATAAAAGATTATGCAGCTGCAATCTTCATAAACAATGTTTGAGTAAAAAATTGAGTTACGAACGCCAATGCAATTTATACACAATTTCATCATGAATGAAACAAATTTAAATATCTAAAAAGAATTCTATACACAACTTCATCATGAATGAAACAAATTTAAATATATAAAAAGAATTTTATTTCTTCAATATAGAAAGGGGAAAATAAATGTTTGCTTAAAAAGTTGGGAGTAACGATAACTGCATCAATTACAAATGTAAAATTGAGGGAATACCTGCCAAATAAAGCGTATTACATTCTTAGCCTTTTCAAGTGCTACATGCAAGGAACGTAAAGTTTGGATGCTAAACTTTCTCCTAGCTTGAGCTGGTACCCAAAGAAGGGAAAATTGACATTATTTTGCAATAAATTGCAGAAAAGTGCCTTGCACAGCTTTCCATGCTGCAGAAGAAAACAAAGACAGTCAGCAAACAATGTACGATGATAAAATCATAAGACAAAATCGAAAAGTGACAGTGATCCAAAAAAACATACGCACGATAATTTCAAAATTGAGTTTTGGGGAGAGAGAGATAAAATCATAAGACAAAATCGAAAGGTGACAGTGATCCAAAAAAAAATATGCACGATGACTTCAAAATTGAGTTTTGGAGAGAGAGAGAGAGAGAGAGAGAGAGAGAGAGAGAGAGAGAGAGAGAGAGAGAGAGAGAGAGAGAGGTGAAGTCACCTTGTAATCATAGACCAAGTCCATTTTTTTTTCTGATCACCCAAGCGGCAATTTGACTTGAGAAATCCTAAAATCGAGAGAGGTGAAGTCACCTTGTAATCATAGACCAAGTCCATTTTTTTTTCTGATCACCCAAGCGGCAATTTGACTTGAGAAATCCTAAAATCAAACACCCCAAATAAGGTTCAATCAAATTTCGGCACAAAATATTAATTAGAAAAACCCTAAAATGGAAGCAAAAAAGGTTGAAACTTGCCTAATGTTATGTGTATAGTTTTAGTATCTGCTTGTGAAAAATATATTGTTGTAATATGCCATATGCTGATCTCAGCTTTTCGGAAGTGACATCAACCATTGACTGCTAGGTAAGTAAAATTCATACGATATCTTACAAACCATGAGAAAAATTATTGCATCAAAGTTTTATGCTAAAAGAAAACTCACGTTTCTATATGAACCCAAAGTAGGATATTTGCATATACCTTTTTGGATTCATTCTTCAGATGAGTTTCTTGTACTGATCATCCATGTTATATGAAAAGCCGAATCTACCTTCTGTAGTAAGTCATAAAAAAAAATGAAAAAAAAAATAAATTAGACAAAAAGGTTTGTTAGAATAAAAAGGAACCAATTGGAGAGATGAATAACCATTATAACCAATCGGGAAAAGATACTTTTATATCCCAAAAAAAACTTGAGAGAAATTTGAAAAAGACAAAGAACATAATTTCAATCATTTTTCAGTCTTTCAATTGGAATGACATAGAAAATTTATTAAAAATCCTAGATCCCATCACCCAACACTGAAAAATGAATCATGAAGTAACGCAAAAGCAGATAGACAACAAAAATCAAAGAAAGGAACACGCAAGAACCGAAACATTAAAAACAACACATACCCTTTTAAAGCCCAAAAATCCTTCAAAGACCAAAGTTCCACTCCCTGGAAAACCCCAAAATCAGTAAATTAGAAAAATCGAATTTGATAACAATGAAGAAACCCCCAAATTTCCAGTTAAAACAAAATTACTACAACCTCTGCAAAAAACAATCAGATGATAAAAACTAAAATTCGTAAAGCATTTATGTAAGTAGAGAAACTTCTGCGAAAAAAGAGCAGCGAAAAATTAAAAGTGGAATCCGTTAAAAAACCGCATTTAAAGATAATGGTGTTAACATGCATCAGAATTTCATGCTGCATCGCTTCTGCACTCTTTATTGTTAACACCTAAACTGGTGGCAATGTATTACTCAATAGCATGCTCCCACATTTAAAGCTGTGGACTTTCATATGAGGCCAAGGAACAATAAGCAGCGCTGAATTTAATTCTATCATCAATGCCTTGAACTTGTAGGATCTAAATTTAAATAAAAATAAATCTAAAAGCTATTAATGCACATTCATCAACAAAAATGAAATCACAGACCCTAAAACTTCTATCATGGAGTAAAATATTAACATTGGGAAAAGGATAATAAAAGAATTCTGAAAAGGAAGCTGAGGGTTCATTTGTTGTACCGGACTGGATTAGTTTCAGGGACTAAACTGGACTGACTTATGATAGACTAAGTGCCTGTTTGGGATTGAGGTGCTTAAAAAAAAAAGCTACTATGAAAAAAAGCTATGAAAATTTTTGGTGTTTGGTAAACTTTGAAAATCAGTTTTTTTTCAAAGTTGAGGGTGAAAAAAAGCCCAAAACCAAGAGATGACAAGAAGCTGCAATTTGCAGCTTCCAAAAGCAGCTTATTTTCACCCACACACGGGTGAACAGTGTCCAGGTTTAATGAAATATACCATAACCCAAAACTGCCCTCGGCTTTTCCCTTCACCGACGCTCTCGCCTTTCTCCAAAACGCTCTCGCCTTCCCTTCACCAAAACGCTCTCGCTCTTCACCTCAGAGCTCTCTCGCATAACCCGAACCTCAGGCTCTCTCTCGTTCTCTCGTTCCGTCGTTCCAAAAACTACCGATCTCGTTCTCCAGGTTTCTCCAGGTAAGCTTCTCATTTATTTGTTTGGATTTTTCAAATTAGGGATGGGGAGATTAGGGAAAGAGGGGTGGGAAGAGCAAAGGGATGAGGGTATGGGTGTCGGGAAAAACAATTGGGGATGGAGGGTGGGGAAAAATTAATTGGGGAAGGGTGATATGGTTTGTGGAAAAAATTAATTGGGGAAAAAATTAGGGTTTGTGGAGGAAACAAAAAAGGTCTGCTTCTGATTCTAATTTGGGTATATGTCAGGGCTAATTTGCTTTGAAGAAGGTCTGCTTCTGATTTGCTTTGAAGAAGGGCTAATTTGCTTTGAAGAAGGTCTGCTTCAGAGGGTTTATATTCTCCAAAATTCTGGTTTGTTTTCTTTGTTTCCTAATTGCTTTATATTATGGTTAAGGTTGTTTAAGGAAAATATTGAGTTGGGCAATTCCAACATCTTGTCCTAGTTTACTTTATCTAGGGCGTGAGTTTTTTGGCTGAGGACATATGAGAGAAGGAGAGGTAGAGTGACGGCTGTGTTTTGGGTGGTTGGGTTCGGAAGAAACTGGAGGACCCTTTGACAAATTTAGGGGAGAGGGGGTGGACATTTTGTAACATAAAGTTCTCTACTGGGATATTATGGGGGATTGGAATATTTGTTTGTGTCAAAACAGAAAAAGGTTAGGATGGACTTGTTTGGAGACAATATGATCAGTTTGAATGAACTCTCATGTAGCTTTATTAAGATGGTCATTTTATTTTTATAATTTGAGAGTGAAATATTTCTGGTCCTGTTTTCTTTTGATAGTTTAGGAAAAATATGTTTTGACCCTTTTCCTCTTTGTATAGCTGTATTATGTGGTGCTTGTGAGGGAAAGGAATGCTAGAAGTTTAGAACCTTTGAGGATACTTTGCAGCAGTTGTTGGCCATTTTTGTTTTGTCTGTTTTTCAAATGGATGTCAGTACATACTTTAGAGTTGTACAGTATAAGTGCATAGACTCGTGTATAGATTTTAGATCTTACTTTGCCCCCTCTTCACCTTCTCCCTTCTTCCTTCTTAATGCGCACCTCTTTCCTATACCTTTCTTTCTCTGACCTGTTCGTTCATTTAGCCAATTACTGGATAAATTAAAAGTAGCAACTTATCTTATCTTGTTTCCTAGTCTTAAAGAGGTTTAATTAATCTCTGCCAAGTGATTGAAAAAGTCTCACATCAGAATGACAAGCTCTCCTCTCTTTTTTTTTGGGTCATGCTATTGGTTCATTGTCCAAGTTATTTTGTGTGCATTACTGCATTCTCATTTTTTTTTTTTCATGAGTTGTATTTCCAAAAGGCTCTGTGACTCTATCTATTCTTTAACTCAGATGTAAATTCTGCAGCATCGATAGACTGCTAGGGGCAAATTGAATTGGTTTATTTGATTAATCAAGCTAGTACACTGGCTGCTATTACTATTAATAGGTTGGCCTGGAGTAATCTCATCTTAGTCTTTTACCATGTCCGTCTCGAGCGTAGTTCTAGGAGTAACAATTGCAAGTTTCAAACTTTAGAAATAAAAAAAATCCTAAAACAAGTATCATTTAAAATGAGTATCCCTTTCTGTGTATTACTATTTAGGAATGACCGTGTAAGTAGAATAGGAAGTTGCTAGGCATTGAATCTACATCTATCCTTGTGTGTGTTTTGTTTCCCTACGCTGATTTAAGTTATTTAAGGAACTCTAAAACAGTTAGTTGCTATATGATATTATTTATGATTGCGATATCTAAAAGGTATTATTTGAAAAAATTAAATTGCTGAATTTTGAAAATAATATGATGGATTTGAATATATAAGTATTCCATCCAGAACCTTAAGGTCAAAGAAATCCCTTTATTTGATATGTATGCTGATATTATCAAACCAATGGATTCGGAGTTTCGTGGCATTCCCCCAGAAATAAGGAGAGATACAAGATACATGCCTTATTTTAAGGTAAAATTTGACTCGTATTCTAACTTATTTGCAAACTATAAGTGTAGGTTGACGATTTTCTTTTATATTATTATTTTTAGGATTGTATTGGTGCTATAGATGGAGTGCATGTTGAGGCTTCAATACCACCTCCGGATCAAGTTCCATACATTGGTAGGAAAGGAATACCGACTCAAAATGTTATGGCTGCATGTAATTTTGACATGCAATTCACATTTGCTTGTGCCGGATGGGAAGGCACTGCACATGATACAAGAGTTTTTCTATTCGTGCTACGGAATCCAAATTTAAACTTTTCTGAGCCTCCAAATGGTAATCTTCATTCTCTTATTATAACATTTTACATACTTGCTTTGTAGAATTATTACAATACAAAACAAATTTTCAATTGTCAGGAAAATATTACTTGGTAGATGCGGGGTACCCACAAATGAGAGGTTATTTGGGACCATATAAAGGTGAAAGATATCACCTCCCGGACTTTCGTAGGGGTGCCAAACCAACGGGTCACAAAGAGGTATTCAACCACAGGCATTCTTCTCTTAGGAGCATCATTGAACGAACTTTTGGGGTATGGAAGAAAAGATGGGCAATTTTAAGGGATATGCCTAATTACCCGTTCAATAAGCAAGTGAAGATTGTCATTGCTACAATGGCTCTTCATAACTACGTACGGAGGTATTATGAACGTGATCGTCATTTTGATGACCCCAGGGACTTTTGTGAAGAAAGCGATAGTAGTGATGATGATGATGATGAATATCAAAATTATCAAGTTGAAGGATCACATGAGATAGAGGCATTAAGAAATAGAATAGCAACAAGTTTGATGAATGCATCTAATTAGACTACTTTCAAGTACATTAACAATATTGTACTAATGAATCCTAGCTATTCACTCTAAAATATTTCTATTAAAGTAGTTTGTCATACTAATTAATATTTAAGATAAAGTTTATAAATATTTTTCTTCTAAAAATAAAATATATTTAGTAATTCACTTTTATTTGTTAAGAAAATTAAATTAATAGCACATCTAGTAATATATCATTTTTGGTCATTTCACACAGTCACAGCTGTTTTACAAAAAAGTTTACCAAACACTATGATACTGCTTTTTATTTCCAAAAGCACTTTTACAAAAAAGTTTACCAAACACTTTGCTGGCTTTATTTCACAGCCGCTTATTCTCACAGCACAGCCACTTATTCTCACAGCAGCTTTTTTTCAAAGCACAGCAATACCAAACCAGCCCTAAGTTGGACTGATTTAATGAAGCATTTGGTGCAGTACCTTGAAACAGAATATTTTTTTCTTTTATTTTCGTTTTCTTTTTCTTTTTCCTTTTCTAGAATTTTTTTGTCTCCTTCCCCAAATCTCTCCTCTTACTTTCCAGTCCGTCATCGTCTCAATCTCTCTCTCTATCTATTTTCTCCCTCATTAGCAAATTCCATTCTTTTCACTCATTCTCAAAAAAAAACCTAAGCATTTTTCACAATCTTCAACTCATCCATTTTTCCAGAATTTTCAGGATCACTCCAAATTATTCAAAATTCTCTTTTGGTTACCGTTTTGTCATCTGGGTTTTCTCAGAGCTTATTGTCAGCTGGATGTTGAAATTGCAAACCAGAAACATGTTTGATCCTCCTCCCACTCCTCTCTGATTCTATTATACATCCTTCATCTTCCATTTTTGTTAAATTATTACCTGAAATTCCAAACATATCCATTCCCCACAACCCCATTTCTTATAATCCAAATCATATCATCGGTAATTGACATCATCATCAAAAAGTTTTTTTTTTTTTTTTCAAACTTTATCATATGGGTTATGGCAAATCCTGTATCAAACAACAAACCACTGTCATCGTCCAAGGCCCCAGATCTGGCCGACCTCGACTCTTCTCTGAGCTGGAGCCCAGCAATTTGAGACTTGTTGGGAGAGTTGGTTAGCAAAGTAGATGAATGAATAAGACAAGCGAAGCAGACGAATGAATAAGACAAGCGAAGTAGACGAACGAAGCTGGCCTTAACAGTCCTGTTGTTTTCAGGGGGTCTCGCTAAGACCACCTAAGGAGGTTGCTAGTTGAGGTGAGTCCCTCGACGTAGTATCATTAAAAGTAGTTCCTGCTCCAAACAAACACTGGACTACACTAAGTGTTAGTCCAGTCTAGTATAGTGAAACTTAGAGAAGCCAAACAAACGGCCCTGAGCGTAGGGATCACATTGAGTGGAAACCACAAACAGCACTTAAATCAAAAATGAAGAATAACAATTGAACCATAACTAAAAAAGCTATCTGGTTTTAAATATCACAATTATGAAGCAATTCTTATAGGATGAGTAAGTCTGAACTTACAACGCAGTTAGGAGTGTGCAATCTCGCTATCAATTTGCTAAACCAAGATCATCCATACCAAATGACAACATTTTAATCTTTCAAACTGCTCCTGAAAAAAAAAAGTAAATTAAATGAGGGGATCTATACCTTAAGACAACGGAAAAAGTAGATTAAAGTTGGAAATTATCAAACTTTACAACTTTCTCCAAAAACATATATCACTACAAAGGTACCAATTTTTTGCATTAATCATAAACTACGCAATATTATTTCATATTTTCCAATGAATTTTAAACCCTAAAATTGTCACATTTAGACGTTCTTTGACTCGAAATTTATTCAACAAGAACTTGTCAAATGTTCAACAAAATTTGGCAATTCGAATAAAATCCATACAATGCAGTTATCACAATCGTTGAGACCAACATTTGAAAAATACAAATAAATTCACAGACATGGCACATCATAAAAACTCATTGAGATTGAAATTACACTAAATTAAAAAGATTCTTATTAAAATAGAGTAAGTCACAAAATACACAATCAAAACAACAACAGACTGTACTTTAAACTTGCAGAGACTCCAAAGAAATCCTGAACTCATTCGGCTACATATTTAAAAAAATGAATAATAGTAAAAAAGCGATCCATCTGGACAAAAATTCTCACACGAAATATAATTGACACATGAAATTCTTAAGTTACCCAATTAGACCAAGAAGAACCAGTCGTTAATCGAGAATTCATCAAATAAAACATTGCAAGAATTGACCAAATCAAACGACGAAAAATTGATTGCAACATAGTAAGAAACAAAGGGTAGGATGTGACATCCCACATCGCCCAGGGGAGTGATCCTTAAATGTATATTCCCATCCTTACCTAGCACGAGGCCTTTTGGGAGCTCACTGGCTTTGAGTTCCATGGGAACTCCGAAGTTAAGCGAGTAGCGCGCGAGAGCATTCCTTGGATGGGTGACCCATCAGGAAGTTCTCGTGTGAGTTCCCAGAAACAAAACCGTGAGGGAATGGTAAGCCCAAAGCGGACAATATCGTGCTACGGTGGTGGAGCGGGCCGGGGAAGTGATCCACCCTGGGCCGGGATGTGACATAGGATTTGCCCCAATGCAATAGATTCAGCATTTATGGAAAGGAAATTCAATTACGAATTAAAAGATAAGGTGTGTGAGCGAGAAAGAGAGAGACGTACGTTCTTGTAGAGACCAGAGTTTCTAAGATTGAGAAGCAAATTGAGAGATCTGTACTTGGGTTCTCCACTCTACTTAAGCTAGTGGAGAACTCCGGCTAGATTGTAATTCCAGGGTACTTGCAAAGTTAGCATCTTAATTAAAATTTAATTAGTATTTATGCATTAATAAAAGCAAAGTCCTTCCATTTAAATCAAACCCATCAAATTAAATGTACAATTAAATCCATTCTAGACTTGAAAATCCGAACTTTATATCAAATTGAGATTTTTTTTTCTTTTTTTAAGCTTACCAGTCACTAGTTTTTGGGTGTTTATGGAAGGAACCTCAAAAGTGGAAGCCAAATCAGAATTGCCTCAAATAATTTTTGTCTCCTCATCTTCCTATTTGTAAAGTCTAAAAAACTCACATCAAAATTGCCTCAAATAATTTGCCAGATTTTACAATGCGAGGGGACATGTTTTCAAATTAACATACCAAGATATCAGTAGTGGACACCAATGATTAAAATTAGTAATAAAAAACTAAAATCAAAGCACGAAAATTAAAAATTGAAGATTGATAGGACTTACAAATGGTAGCTTTGCAGACTTAAATCGAGGAAAAGTAAACAGAGAATGACCAATAAGGGAGCAAGAGAAAATTAAAACCTTTATTTCTGCCTTGTGATGCTCTAAGATGGTATGAAGTTATATCTTCCAATTTTATGATAAATGGGTGAAATCGCAGTGATGAATTTTTAATGTCGCGGTTATCAATTTGTTGGTAAAAGCAATGGAGAATGCTTATTCTTGTAATTGGGTAACTGCAGTAAATATGAGAAGAGTTAAAATCCCAATCCCAATCCTCAAGCGAATAAGAGTTAATATATCAATGACTTGGTGAATGAAATGTAATATTTGTAACTCCTAGCTTTTACACTAAGTCTTCAACAAAATAAGAGTTAATAGATCAATGACTTCTTGATTGGAATGAGATATTTTTATATAAACGCTTAAAACCAAAATGTTATCAAACTAATTCCAAGTTCAAGAAGATAGTGGAAAAGGTAATTATCAAAATGAGAAGAGTTAAACTAAACTAGAAATTGTTCTCAACACTATTAGCACGTGTATGACTTGTAGGAAAAAAAAGTAATGCTAACCTGAAGAGAAAATCTTTATCCTTAGTGTGTTGCCCTCTTCGTGTTTTTCTTTTTCCAAAAAATATGCAATCAAAAACATGAACTATCTATCCAACTCAAAAACATGAACTATCTATCCAACTCAAAAACATGAACTATCTATCCAACTCAATACTCAAAAACCCAATTAAAAACCAAGAAGCATAATTCAAGCATTATCAAAATAGGTAAAAACATAGACATTAGTCATTTGTAGAGCAAATCACAATTTGTTCCACCAACTTCTCCAACACAAAAATATAGAGATTTGAGCTTTTACCTCATGGAAATGAAAACGGAAACAATCTAAAGTAGAATGAATTATGCTCCCACCTATTTCAAAAGGTCACAAAGTTTGAACATCACACTTAACATGAAAAATTTAAAAGCAACAAAATAAACTTTAAATTGGCAAGACACAAAGCATATACAAATGAAGGCAATGCCACAGTCCACAAAAGAAAAATAAAGAAAGAAAATCATACAACACAGTCGGGCACAATTAATCACATACACTAACTACCAACATCACAACCTTAATTTTTTTTGTCAATTTAAAACGTTGTATTTATAAAGATTGGCACAGCGCCATTACAAAAAAATAAAAAAAAATAAAAAAATAAAAAAAGGCACTTTTTCAAACTTTGCTTAATTTCTCAATCAAAGATTAAAAAAACAAAAAAACAAAGTAAAAATATATAAAACACATATAAAAAAGTAATGGCAGTAACTCTGAAACTTTAGGATTATAGTTCACCTTGATAGCAATGGTCGAAAAGAAATCAGGGTCCAAATTTGTCACCCATTTGCAAAACCAAATTTACACTATTCAATTAGTTTGACCAACTGAATTTATAAACCAACGGAGAACCTAGCCCTGTGTATATTCTTGATATTGGTCGATTTGTTTCAGGTCATGGTATTTGTTCAAATTCTTTATTTGCCTGTATTTTCAAGTTTTATGCCTGTCGGTATTAGTCCAATGGAGAGCTAACAATGTCTCATGAGTTAATTCAATGTCACTTTCACCAGATTTTATCATTGCTATTATGCCTTGATTTGTTAAGTTTTGCACCCAACATCTGTCTAAGAGAAAGCAACATCATCTAATGCCTTACTTAAGGCTATGAAGAGAGAGATTAGGAGTTAGGATTGTTGAGAATATCGCGTTTAAGAATGGGAAAAATACAGCAATCTGCGAAAATCGAAAACAAATAACCAAGATAAATAACACCAAGACTTTACGTGTTCAGCAATATGTGCCTACATCCACAGGACAGCAACAACAATCTTTCACTATATCAATAATGAGTACAATCAATAATCTTACCAAATCTCCAGAACTAGGACTTGACGAAAAACCTGAAAGAGCAAGAACAACAAATACATTGTCTCTTTTCTTTGCTTTTGCACACACTTTACAATATTCTCTCACTCTAATCCATTGAGTGGTATACAATTTATTGTTTTGCTCCCTTTTACTTCAAAACTAATACAATAGCCCCTTTATATAGACATAATAAAGGTATTCTTCAAAAGGATTATTAATCCTAATTGGAATCTAGTTATAAATCCTACTCCAAATGAGAAACTACCCGAAATTCCTGTTCTCCAAGGAGGCGACGAGCCTCGATTCGTCCACATGCTCTATCTGCCTGTGCGACTACAAGGATGTAAAGATGCTCTGGATGAGGCAAGAGTGCAAGCACTAGGGATTTAGGAAAACCCATCAGGAAAATGATGCGTTGGGAGAGGTGAAACCTTAGGGAGGTGGCGCAGATACTATGGTTTGTGAGGAAGGAAAATCAGCCTGGTTGACGGCAAGATCGGGAGGTGACGGAGGACCTCCATGAGAAGTAGACAAATCGTAGAGAGAGCTTTGCGATGGTGATAGGGAGGGGGTAGCGTTGATATGGGGAGAGAAAAACGAAGTGAGGTGAAGAGAGTGGAGAGAAGGGAGAAGTATTAGGATAGATGATACGTCATCCATTTCTGTTAATGAAAAATAGTTTGGAAAAACTAAATGTGGTTAGTTTTATTATTAGTTGTGGTTAGTTAGAATGGTAAAAGTTTAGTTAAGGAAGTTAAGGGTATAAATGTAAAGAGGCCAAGGTTATAAATATACACATCCATGTAATTGTTTATTTACTGAATGAAATACAATCTTGTAGAAGAAGCTTTGCTTTTCTTTATGGTATCTCGCCGTATCGCTTCATAGCATCGTTTCCACCTTCCGCATTGATCGATTTTCTCTTGATCGTTTCTTGTTGTTTCAACTCTGATCTTCTCCGATCTTTCGTCTGTTAGTTGATTGTTTCTTGCTTGGGATCATGGCTTCTCCATCTGAATCGTCCCCAATCAGATCGTCTTCTCCGCATCAAAACCCTAATTTCTCTTCTAATCCTCATTCTCTGAATTCATATACTTCTCTTACGATTCACAACATTGGAAGTATGATGCCGATTAAATTGAAAATCTCTAACTATCTTCCATGGCGAGCGTTGTTTGCTCCCATTTTTCGGCGATACAAGCTTTTTGGCATGATTGATGGAACTGAGATCTATCTACCGTCTGATCGCTCGCTGAATCCTGCTTTTGAGGAATGGTATGAAAAAGATCAAAATCTCCTGATCTGGTTAAATTCCACACTTTCTGAAGAGATAATTCTGTTCACGGTTGGGGTTTCATCCTCTTGTGAGCTTTAGGTGAAGCTTGAACAGCGTTTTGGTGGTGTTTCGGAGGCTAACATTCATCAATTGCGATCACGCCTCAATTCAGAAAGGCTCCAATTCTATCTCTGTCTATCTCCAACAAATCAAGGAAATTGCAGATTCATTACATGCTGCGGGTGCTTCTGTCTCTAATTGTGATCTTATTCTTGCCACTTTACATGTTATACCTGATAAGTTTGAGTCCTTCATTGATTCTATCATGCTTCGCTTGTATTCTATGTCTCTTGATGAACTCCACGATCTTTTACTTACCAAGGAACTTTCTATGGCTCGAAGGAAGACAGTTGCCTCTGCAATTGAACCATTTCAGGATTTCTCAGTACAATCTCAGCCTCTTTTACTTCCCACTCCCTCTATCTTTGCTGCTCAGTCTTCACCTCTTCAATCTGCCTCTCGATACAACTCCAATCGTGGTAAGCCTACTCAGGGTCAATTTGTTTCTAATCAGGGCAATCGCAATCATCGTGGTAATTTCACTCCTCATCGTGGTAATTGGATCTATTAAGGCTCGCAAACTCACCAAGGTTCTTTTACCTTCAAAGTACCCTGTCAAATTTGTGATTTTACCAGTCATGAGGCTATTGACTGTTTCGATCGTATGAATCCCGAGATCTGTGGTCGTATTCCTCCAGCTAAACTTGCTGCGATGTGTGTGTATCATTCTGCTAAATCCTTTCAACCTTGGTTAATTGATTATGGCGCTACATCCTACATCACCAATGATGTTGCTAATATTTCTTCTCTCATTCCCTACACTGGAGAGGACAAAGTGTATATTGGAAATGGTAAAGGTTTATCCATTCATAATGTTGGTTCTTCTACTATGCACACTCCTCATCATTCTTTTAAACTGCAGAATGTTCTTCATGTTCATTCCATGGCACATAATCTTTTATTTGCTTATCAATTTCTTAAGGATAATGATTGTTTATTGACTCTTGACCCTTATGGATCCACTGTCAATAATCGTATTTCGGGGAAGATGCTTTTGTGGGGATCGGTTAGAGATGGTTTCTATCCATTGCAAAGTTCTAGTAACTCTTCTCCTACTTTACATTCTGCTTTCTTCAGTGTTAAAGCTCTTATCAAAGTGTGGCATCGGCGCTTAGGTCATCCTTCTTTTTCAATATTTCGTAGGGTCATATCTACTAATAAGCTTGCAATGCATGGCAAATCTACAGTTGACTTCTTCTGTTCAGACTGTGCTTTAGCTAAGAACCACAAGCTTCCTTTTGGAGTGGCTTCTTCAACTATAACTCGTAGTCTTCAACTATTGCACTGTGACGTGTGGGGACTTGCTTCTGTTCAATCTAGTAGTGGTTTCCAATATTACTTACTTCTTGTTGATGATTTTAGTAAATATAGCTGGTTTTTCCCTTTGAAGGCCAAATCTGATGTATTTTCTACATTTGTTGTCTTAAAAAACTATGTAGAAAATTTACTTGGAAATAAAATACAAGTACTGCGTTCAGATTCAGGGGGTGAGTTCACTGGTCACTCTTTTGCATCCTTTCTTCGTATACATGGTATACTTCATCAATTTAGCTGTCCACATACTCCTGAACAAAATGGCTGTGCTGAGAGAACGCACAGGCATCTTGTTGAAACAACTCAAACTTTACTTGTTGTCTCTCATGTGCCTCATGTGTTTTGGGTTGAAGCCTTCTATACTATCATATACCTTATCAATCGTCTGCTAATCTCTGGTATTAGACTGTCTCATTGGGAAATTCTCTTCCATCAGCATCCGGATTATTCCAAACTCAAAGTAATTGGATATCAATGTTTCCCATGGCTCAAACCTTATGTTCATAGTAAACTGGATGCTAAGAGCAAAAGTTGTATGTTTTTGGGCTATAGTCTTTAACACAAAGGCTATCGATGTTTTGATCCTATTGATAACCGAGTCTACATCTCTAGACATGTGATTTTTAATGAAGACACATATTCTTTTCAGTCCCTGCCACTTCATCACTCTCAATTTGACAGTGTTTCTCCAGTTTCCTCATCGTCAATGGATCTTTACTTTACCAAGTATACTCAACCTTTTATCCCTGATGCTGCATCTTTATCTTCCCCTAGGCTGAGTTCATCTCCACCTACAGGTGCTTCTTATCCTGACAGCTCTATTGTGTCCTCATCTGTGCCAAGTCATCTTCCCATTTTTGTTAATGTTCATCCTATGGTTACCAGATCTAAGGCAAGAATTTACAAACCTAAGGCTTATGTAGCAACTAAACATCCACTCCCAGTTCCTTTTGATTTTGTTCCAAGCACCTATTTACAAACCTCTAAGTATGCTCACTGGACAGCTGCTATGCAAGATGAATATAATGCATTACTTTCTATAGGAACTTGGTCTTTAGTTCCTTCTCATTCCACTCAAAACGTAGTAGGCTGCAAGTGGGTGTTCCGTATCAAGACAAAAGCTGATGGTACTGTCGATCAATACAAAGCCCGGCTAGTAGCCAAGGGCTTTCATCAGCAAGAAGGAATTGATTTTCAAGAAACCTTTAGTCCGGTTGCTAAACCGGTTATTATTCGAATTCTACGTACCCTTGCTGTTCAACACAATTGGTTTTTAAACCAATTAGATATTAGCAACGCCTTTCTTCATGGTGATTTAAAAGAGGATGTTTACATGCAGCAACCCTCTGGTTTCATTGATCCTTTCTTTCCCAGTCATGCTTGCAAGCTCAGAAAATCCTTGTATGGATAAAAACAAGTGCTTTGTGCTTGGTTTGATAAACTGTTTCAAGCATTGCATGCTCTTGGTTTCACCCAATCATCCTCTGATGCCTCTTTATTTGTATTGAATGGTCCTCAGTTGGTTATAGTTCTCGTGTATATGGATGACATTCTTGTCACCAGGCCTAATTCTACTCTCTGTCATCAGTTTATTCAACAGCTTAGTGACAGATTTCCGGTGAAGGATCTTGGTCCTTTACACTACTTCTTGGGGTTGGAAATTCAGAGGTCTACCAAAGGGATCTTTATTCATCAAACAAAATATTTGCTTGATCTTCTCCAGCGGACAAATATGGAGGGTGCAAAGCCTTGCTGCACACCTCTTGGCTCCCAAAACTGGATCACAGTGGGTCTCTTCTCTCCAATCCGACTGAATATAGGTCTCTTGTTAAAAGATTTCAATACCTCACTTGGACTCGACCAGACCTTGCTTTTGCTGTTAATCAATTATGTCAATTATGTTCCGCAAGACCAACATTTTCAAGCCGCTAAAAGAATTCTTCGTTATCTCAAGGGTTTTGTTTCACAAGGTCTTTACCAAAAGTTCTGTTGATCTCTCAGCCTACTCCAATGCTGATTGGGCTGGCTGCATGTTTGATAGGTGATCCACTAGTGGCTATTGTGTATTTCTTGGTTCAAATCTCATTAGTTGGAGCGCTAAGAAACAAAGCACGGTTGCTCGTTCCTTCACAAAAGCAGAATATAGGTCTCTGGCTCACACAGTTGTAGAACTTACTTGGGTCTGCAAAATTCTTCGTGATCTTCACTGTTCTCTTCCTAAACTGCCTACACCATGGTGTGATAACATTTTCGCCATCTCATTAGCTTCCAATCCTGTCTTTCATGCTCATACTAAGCATGTCGAAATTGACTACCACTACATTCGAGAACTGGTTTTAGCTCATCTGCTTAAAATGCGGTTTGTTTGCAGTGCATATCAATTGGCTGATCTACACACCAAGTCCTTGTCCAAAACCAGGTTCCGCTACTTGTGTTGCAAGCTTCCTCTTGGCATCAATTTTGATTCCACATCTCGCTTGAAAGGGTGTATTAGGAAAGATGATACATCATCCATTTCTGTTAATGAAAAATAGTTTGGAAAAACTAAATGTGGTTAGTTTTATTATTAGTTGTGGTTAGTTAGAATGGTAAAAGTTTAGTTAAGGAAGTTAAAAGTATAAATGTAAAGAGCCCAGGGTATAAATATACACATCCATGTAATTGTTTATTTATTGAATGAAATACAATCTTGTAGAAGAAGCTTTGCTTTTCTTTAAGAAGTGGGTTGGGGAAGACATGGGTTTTAGGTTTTTTTATTAATTTTTTTTTAATTTTTTGCTTCTTTTAATTAATTATTTTAGGGTAAATTGTTATATTTTTAAATGCATAGAAAATTTTTTTTACCACGTGGCACAAAATTGACAGCCACGTTAACACAAATATGGATTTCATATTTAACATGTCACACTTAACAGATTTTCTAATGTACGTATAAAATTAAAATAAAATAATAAGTAAATATAGGAAATTAAAATGTTTTAAAGATATTGTATAAGATTGTAATTATCCCAAATTTTAAGAGAGTAAAATGTAATTTACTCAAAAGAAAAAGGGAAAAAAAGTAGAGGAAAAGAAAAAGTGGAAAAAAGAAGAGGAAAAGAAAAGGCGGAAGATCAGCATCTTCCACGCACGCACACCATACATGATCAAGGGTAAAATAGTCACTTCACTGTCCACTAACCTAAAAACCATTAATAAAATGAGGGACAAAACCGGCGACGCACTGTATTAATGATGGTGATCCACCGGCTTTTAGAAGGGTATAATTTCTTCAAATGAACAGTGGTCATCCACCAGCTTTTAGAAGAGTATAATTCCTGCGGACTCATTTCATTTGCGTTAGGGCAAAAGGTGAGGCGGTCAGTGTTCCCGCCCAAACTCATCATGCTCTAAGTGTTGGTGTTAGGGTTCCATCCAGAAGAAGAAGAGAAAGAATGGCAGATAGTGGGAAAGTGACTCGAGTGGAAGAAGAAGTTGAAGGAGAGCATGTGGAGTCGGCCGACTACATTTTCAAAAGGATCGGCGACCCCCTCCCAATCACGCCTCATGATTCCAGTTTCGATCCCCGAGGCAGCCCTTCCCGGCCTCTCGCCGTCTCCGAGAAACACGGCCTCGTCTTCGTCGCCCATTCCTCCGGTTAGCTTCTCGATTCGATTCCTAACTCCGAATTGATTGATTGCTTTCTGATTTCGACCAAACAAACATATAAATCAACTGTAATTGTTGTTGTTACTTGTCAGGGTTTTGCGTTGCGAGGACCAAAGATGTTATGGCTTCGGCATCTGAGATGGAGGAAAAGGGAAGCTATTCTTCTGTACAGGAGCTGAGTATTGTGGATGTTCCTCTTCCCAACCTACACATTCTCGCACTCTCTACCGACAGTTCTACTCTCGCAGCTACTGTAGATGCAGACATTCACTTCTTCTCCGTCGAATCACTTCTCCATAAGGTGCTTTTGCTCGCTTTCACTTCATCTCCATTATGTTTGTTATTGCTCTATTTCTGTGGATTTTCGATGCTAACTTGGTCTCTGCAATTCTGTTGTTCTTGTGTCTATTAATTAGTATCACATCAAAGAGCATCTCCTCCTTCACTCGAGTTCGAATTCCGTCTTAGATTAGAAGAATTAGAATATGGAATTGTTCGGAAAAAGTAAAGTATTACATCAATTTTTTATTCATTTTGGGTAAACCAGCATCACTTCAATTTTCCGTGTGTCATGTTCATTCTTTTTCCAACTTCAGCCTCTCACTTTTGAACCATGTGCATTTTATTTTCACGGCTCTGATCGTACTTGTTATATATTTACACTAACATACTAACTTTTCCCACCTGTAATCGTATTTCGTTGTCTGTGTGGTTTAAGCGTGCACACTTTCAAACTGTTTAGTTCTTAAGGATCACTAGCCATTTCAGCAACTTCCATCAGAGGCCATTTGAATTGAACCTTATCTTTTCTAGTGTAATCCTTGATATTTTTTTCTTCTAACCCTTGGGCCTTGGCTGGGGTGTTATTTCTTATATGTTTTGAATAGGATTGGGGTAGGTCCTGGGATTTTCCTTATGACTTGTAACATTTCTGGAACATCTGCTTTTACCACAAATACAGTTTTTGTTTATTCCGTGTTTGGTTTCTTCCATTTTTATGCAGGGTCTTAAACCATCATTGTCTTGTTCGCTCAATGAATCCAAATCTATCAAGGATATGCAGTGGGCAAGGAAACCTGAAAACCTTTATGTGGTCCTTTCGGATCTTGGGAAGTTATCTCATGGATCGGTTGGTGGCCTTATGGAAGATGTAATGGACAATGTTGATGCTGGTATTTCTTTTTTCACTTCTCTGATGCAATCTGTGAGGCACATCTTGTTGATTACATGAGTGTCCATATGCATGTCATGAGCATGATTATCCTGCATACTTGCCGTGGAGTTCATTATATATTTACTGCATTGTCTTAATGTGGTGCATGACAAATTTGTATTTACGGTTTACACACATGCACACACAACCGCGCACATATTGTGAGTTTATATGTGTGCATGACTGTATGTGCATGTGCATAAACAGTTCTTTTTTCCTACTCCAGTAAACTTCACTTATCACAAATATTTATAAGTTTTAGCCATTATGACTGAAACAGAAAAATTGTGATTGTGATGTATAGAAATGATATAAGGTGGCTGTGCAGGCTCAAGGTTTCAAGCATACGCTAGTGTCATTTAGTATCTAGAGAACCTGTTTATGTATTATAAATAATTATTTGAGCAAATCCTTTTATTTCTTATCATCTATGTGTTGCCCTTGTTTGAGGAATAGTTTCAGTTTAATCATGTTTTGTTTATGGTATCTGCAACAATATGTGAAATGCATTCCAGAGCTACGCAATAATTTCCTACCCTTTTACATAGGTGCAACTAATGCTTGTTTTGACGTGTGTTTTGTCATAGTTGGATGGAGTTCTAAAGGAAACTTAATTGCCGTGGCAAGAAAGAATAATATCAGCATTCTATCATCTAACTTTGAGGAGAGGTCATCTATGTTAATTTATTTCAAGCCCTGGGATGAAGATTCTGATGAAAACTGCATTGTAAAAGGTATGTTGCTTTTCACTGTTACATTTCAGTATTATTTTTTATTTTGTTCAGTATTATTTCACTGTTCTTAAATTATTATTTTTAAACAAGTATTGTCTTCGCTGATGTATCAGCTAGATTGTATATATTACCATTGCACAAGTACGTTTAATAGATAATATTCTATGAAGTCTTCCACCTGCATGCTATTAGTTTTCTGTAATGTTTTATATCTGGACCTGATTTTGATTTCTCTTTTCTTGAAGAAAGGCTATTATATTACATTTAAAAGATTGATCGTTATCAACCTCTTAAACTAAAGTGTTTCCTTGATCATCAGTGGATTCTATCAGGTGGGTACGCCATGATAGCATCATTCTAGGATGCTTTCAACTGACTGCTCATGGCAATGAAAAAGGTTACCTTGTTCAAGTAATAAAAGTCAAGGATGGCAAATTTACTGATGTAAGTAATTTGTTTATGTATTTTATCTTCAACAATTTTTAATCTATTCTTGTATAATAGTTGTATGGAATATATCCCCTCACTTTTGAGTATTGGCTTGGCTGGCCCTGTGGGTAACTAAAGTTGTCTGATTGGACCTGTTGGGGAAACCTTGACAGCCCACCTGTTATACATAGTTGTGCAATAGATTACGGCTAAAGGCCACTATTAAACTAAATGAAATTGAGTAATTGATAATGTAAGTTAATTTTAAAATATTAAAACTCATAAATATGTATATATTTTTTAAATCCTATGCCGAATAGGCTTTAAATATATGGTTGAAGTTGTTTAAGGAGATTGGTACAAGCTGGTTTTACCGTGGGATTGTTATTCTTTTATGATAGAAAAGCATAAATTACTAGGAAAAGGGAAGAAGGCGAAGGTCTTATGAAGTGGTATAGTTTCAGCTATTTTCTGGGCCATTTGGATGGAAAGAAACAGGCTGATTTTGAGGACTACACAGTCAGTAGAAGGGAAGATCTATGGGATAAAGTTCAGTTATGGTCATCTCTATGGGCATCGGTTATTTCATAATTTAGAGGTTTTTCCTTTTCAGAAATGTGGCGTAATTGGAATGCTGATATTAGTTAGTTTTGTGACGTTTTTGTAGTTTCTAAGTGGCAGGGTGATGTTGCTATTTACCCTGTTTTTGTGTGTGCTTTGCGGACGTCTTGCCCACTCTTGTATTTTATTGTTTCTTTGCAATAAAAATTTGTTTCTTCTTAAAAACCAATTTGCTTCATGCCTAGAGGCATGCCTTGGCCTCTTTTTTGAAAAGTAAATGTACACTTAACTTTTTGAGTTCTTTGTAGGATTCTTGCAAGCCAGTTGTGATATCTTTCTATGATTTGTTTTCAAATGTCATTGACGACATTCTGCCCTCTGCAAGTGGACCATACTTGTTATTGAGCTATCTGGAGCAATGGTATGCATTTTAATTTATATCACCCATTTTGAGAATTGATTTTATAGAATTTAGGCTGCTGCTCTCAACTTTCTTGCTAAGTGCATTTGGTTCTATAACTTTGTATGATTGTCTTTTGCATCTTTTCTATTATCTACTAAACTTTTATATTTCCTATAATGGCAATAACTAACTTATTCTTTTGGTAATTTTCAGTGAACTTGCAATTGTCACTAACAGGAAGAATGTGGACGAGCATATTGTGTATCTTAGTTGGTCGCTAGGAGAGGAGAAGAATGAAGTTGTAGTTGTTGATATTTTCCAAGATAGTTTGCTACCAAGGATTGAGCTTCAAGGTGTTTAATTTTGCTATCTAGACTTAACTTCTAATGGTTCAGCTGATTGTATCTTTTTCTTAATGTTTAGTATAACAGTGTCATTGTTCAGTTCATTGTGCTTTCTCTGCATATTGTTGTGGGTTCTTATAGACCTGTCTCATCCTTATTGATTCTCACTTACAATGTAACGGTTTAATGGCTGAAATTTGTATGGATTTTCAAACCTATAAGTGGTTTGCCATGTATGGATAAATGGTTCATTCATTTACCTTGTCTCACATGTTATCTTTTGTTGGTTTTAAGTTTGATTGAATTAATCTGTGCTTGCTTGTGTCCCTTGTTTCAGATAATGGTGATGATAATTTGATTCTGGGGCTCTCAGTAGATAAAGTTTCAATAAGTAAAAAGATTAGTGTACGGTTTGGAGAGGAACACAAAGAACTCTCACCATTTTGTGTTCTGATATGTCTTACGCTAGAGGGAAAACTGATTATGTTTCATGTTGCCAGGTACTTTCCTGCTCTCCTAATTTTCCAACCATTTTATAAGTGTTAAATGGTTTTTTGTTTGTGTGGTATAGCTATTTAAGTTTTATCTTTAGTCGTGCTGCAGTGTAAGGATTATTTTCATGAAACCTATCTTATAGCTATCTATCTTAACAACTGATGAATTTTCTGTAGTGTCAGCGGCATTACAGCCTCACCTGCGGTTGTTTCCTCCCTTTCTGATGGTGAGGAGGATTCCACTGCATTGGTACCTGTAGAAAGTGAATCAACTAAACCTTCTTTCCAGCTGGAGAAGGAACAATTTGAAAAGGCTTCTATGGATGTTCCATTGGTTATTGAGAACAGAAAAGAACTTGACAGAAAAGTAGGTCTTGATGTCCATGTCAAAGATGACTTGAAATCTCTTAACGCGAATGAGACAGTGATGCCTGGACTTCTTACTCAAATACTCAATAAAGAAATTACTAGTTACAAGGAAGTGGAGCCCCTGAAAAACACTCAATCATTTAAGGCTGAAGGGAAACAGGAAGTTATTGTCCCAAAGCGAAATGAAGATGTAGATGGAAACCAAATACAGCTTCCTGGACTGGGAAACAGAAATACTGAGCAAGCATCTACCAACGCTTCTCTTCAAGAAGGGCCTAATTATGTGTTCAGTGACTTTAGCAAGACAGAGGCTCAAAATATTGAAGGACGAGGAACTGGGAGCGTATCTTTTGGTGGTAACGTTGCTGCTGATGCTGCTATAAAATCAAATTCAAATGATAAACGTAATAATTTTGGGATGGGGACAGAATCTCCCGGAAAAATGGAGTCAGCGGGTTTCCAAAGTGTTTCATCTCAGTCACGGTTTGGTGGAACAATCGTATCTTCAAAGGACACTGACGTGAAATCACCACTCATAACTTCAACTTCTATTCAAGGCAGCAGGTCTGGAAATGCTAGCCAAACAAAATCTATTAATATCAAGGATGTATCTGTTAAACCTACTTCAGTCAACTCTTATGATAGGCTTGGGGAGATTGGCAAATGGAGACCGTCAGCGGCAACTGGAAATATTGTGTCAGTGCCTTCCATTTCAAGCTCCCAAACCTTATCTCATGGAAGTTTTTCCTTTGCGAATTCTTCCAATCAGTCAAGGATGCCAAACTCCGAACCAAATTTATCAAAACAATTTGGCAATGTAATGTACCTGTCTGTGGATTTCCGTTTGGAATGCATTACTGCACACCTCTTTATTCCACGTTAGGATAGAATGTTTATGGTGAACTCCAAGTTGTCTTATCCATTATTGTTTAAATGCTACCATATTTCAACTTCATATTAAACCATTGCCTGCTCACACCATTCACAGTTTTTACCCTATTATTTGTAATGTAACTGTTTTTTTGTTGACTTTTGATGATAGGGAAATCACTTTTGTTTTGGACGGGATTAGGTTTCTTGTTTTCTTTTGGATGTCTATGTATGAGCAGTTTAAGGATGTCCCTTTAGTGTTATTCATTGGTACTCTAGTTGTTCTTGTGTTTTGTAGAAGGCTTTCCCTAGGTAGACTGTTTGTTCTTCAGCTTTTTTGCATTATTTTTATTATGTTGTTTCCTGTGTAAAAAAAAGCTTTGGTTAGAAGATGTGATTATGAGACAAAGGCTCAGGGCCAAAAGGGGTAGAGGAAGACCGAGGAAGACTTGGAAAGAGACTCTAAGAAAAGACTTGGACTACTTGAATCTAACGGAAAACATGGCTCAAAACCGAGTAGTGGTGTTCTAGGATTCATATAGCCAACCCCACTTAGTGGGATAAGGCTTTGTTATTGTTGTTGTTGTTGTCGTTGTCCTGTGTAAAAAATTATAGTCTGTCTATTTTTCTGTATGCTTTCTTTTGGTTATTATTGATTTTATACATGCGCACAGATTCATTTTGCTTCCCTATACGCTACTGGAGGAATGTTCTTGAGACTGAACTTGTTAATTTTCAGAGTTCTTAGTCTTTTTTTCTTTTTCGTTCAGATCAAAGAGATGACCAAGGAGTTGGATATGCTTCTGCAATCTATAGAGGGAGCAGGCGGTTTCAGGGATGCCTGCACCGTTAATCAGAAGGGGTCAGTTGAAGAATTGGAGAGAGACATAGAGACTCTGTCTGACAAGTGCCGACTTTGGAAGGTGATATTTCCTACTGCCACTCGGGCCAAGTTTAGGGGCTAACAAATCTAATAATTTTGTTGATGCCCAAAATGGGGTCCATATTGGACCAACTTAGATCCGACCGTAAAAGCACTCAAACACAAGAGCACATAAGATATATCGTGGTTCACCTGAGGTGGGGCTACGTTCACATTGGTGTAGATCCGTTTCCACTATGTAAATGTGAGTTATATTGTACAAGAGGCTTGTTGCCTTTGAAATAGTAAAGTGGCTAAGAATGAGCTCTCTCTAAAATGCGGGTGAGGGATCCCTTTTATAGTACTAGGGTTCCATTTCCGTTTCATAGCTCGTGGGCTAAACAAGAGGCCCAAATAGTGAGGCCAAACCATAGTACTACAAATTTAATTGGATGACCAAACTGAACCTAATAATCTAACTGATGCTGCACTTTACTCTTCTGTTTTGTGAAACAAAAGCTTCTTCCTGTCTTGTGCACCTAATATTCTAACTGATGCTGCACTTTACTCTTCTGTTTTGTGAGACAAAAGCTTCGTCCTGTCTTGTGCAAATTATGAGAAGTTAGCAATGCTGATTTCTTCTGTAGGATCTAAAATCTCCCAATTGCTTTTTTTCAGAAAGATTGCACTTCTGTAACAGGTTGTTTCAAGTGTATTCAATCATCGTCCAGAAAAAGCAAATAAACCTTGCCTGTCATTATAATTTCCTGTCCATATTTCTTATACCTAGTATGCCACCTATGCAAAAAGGGAAAAACAGTAAGAAGTTATGGGGGTTTATGATGGTATTGTTGACATAAGTGTTCGAGCTCTCAGTTGGAACTTGCGGGGACGCATGCTTAGACTTTTAATCAGTCTCAAAATATGCTATTTACTGTGCATTGAAAAAGTTTTCAGCACTTGGTAGTTAGAGAAAATCCCACAATCTGAGTTCTTAAATGATTGTGTGTTATTTTAATAGGATTGTGGATGTTCGTTATTTGGTGGTACTACTTGATTTTCTATTTGATTATTGTGTGTTATTAATGTTTGGAACTCAGTTGCCTTTGTACTTTACAGAGCATTATGGATGAACGACTTCGAGAAATACAACATCTGCTTGACACAACTGTACAAGGTACTTGTAGTAAAAATTATTCATTTTGGGTGGAGAATTTTTCAGATTTACATATGGAGGAAAGTGTATATCATTCTTTTATTGAACTGATGATTGTCCAATCGGTTCAGTATTGGCAAGGAAAATATACATGGAGGGCATTGTGAAGCAAGCGTCTGATAGACGATACTGGGACTTCTGGAATTGCCAGAAATTGAGTTCAGAACTTGAGCTTAAGCGGCGACATATTTTAAAAATGAACCAGGTAGTTCAATGTTTGATTTGTTACCTTGACATAAGATAGTTCTTACATACTTTTTTCTCTTTCAGGATTTGACCGACCAATTAATTCAGTTAGAAAGGCATTTTAATGGCCTTGAACTCAATAAATTTGGTGAAAATGGTGTAGCTCGTGCCGGTGGAAGAGCCTTGCATAGTCGATTTGGGCCCCCAAGGTACATTGAACGTACTTTCTTAGCATATGTAAAAATAAGAGATTAAAGTCATTCCACAATTTCCTTATTCTTTTTATTGAATGTAAATTAGATGAATAGATAAAATCGAAGGCACAATATGATATACAAGGTCAAAACGTCAAAAGGAAAACCTAAAGTCTAAGAAAGCTGGAAGGATGTCAATTGAATAAATGAATAAGCAAGTGTTTATCTCATTTATAGCTTTATAAGTACCATCAATGCTCTGGGTACAAACAAGCTGTGTCAAAGCTTTGTACTGTGCAGGCTCAGCCTGCTTGGTTTATAACCAACATTCATTCAAAATTCTTGCATATCTCAAACTTTAAAGCTCAGCTCCTTTACTTTCAACTATTTAGAAGTATATTCAGCATTATATTCTTATGACTTTAAAAACATAGATATCTTGTTCACAAAAGCATTTAAACCTACTGGCTTGTTTCCATCCCTAATCTTATGTAACATATTCATGCCAATTCAGGGCTTTCCTTACAATATTCCAATACATTGTATGCTTCCATGCTTGGAAGCTGAGATGCTAAAAGCCGATGCTAAAAGCCTGAGTAATGATGTTGTTTTAGTTCTTTGAAAGCTGGACATTCAGATTTCCTAACTGTCCTGAGGTATTTCCGTGCAGACACATTCAGTCCTTGCATAGTTTACATAGCACAATGACGTCACAATTAGCTGCCGCTGATCAACTTTCTGAGTGCCTTTCAAAACAAATGGCAGCACTGAAGATAGAGTCACCTTCTGTAAAGAAGCAGAATGTAAAAAAAGAGTTGTTTGAAACAATAGGGATTCCTTATGATGCCTCTTTCAGTTCCCCTTCCCGTACTCCAAATGAAAAACTGTCATTTTCTTTTGGTTCTGCTGCTTCTAAAGATCAGCCCAGGAGAAATGTTAATGCCATAAAAAATTATGAACCAGAAACTGCAAGGAGGAGGAGAGACTCACTGGATAGGGTAATGGCCTCTGAACTCCTATGTGTTATATTTTCTTCTTGTAACTTGGTAATTGGTATCCATTGTGACCAACGCTCAACTGCAGGAGGACAACTCATTTTTGTGTGCTTAGTTTAGTGTTTGTCAAATTTATGCCAATCTTCCATGGACTTGGCTCGTTCAGTTATTTGGCACATGAAGGTTTTTTATATTAACAAATATATATATATATATATATATATCATTGTTATGCAAGAGTTTTTCTGCTCTCTCTCTTCTCCTTGTCGTGTATTATAGTCTATCTTATCTGCCAGCTTGTAAATTATATGTTCATTTAATGGATGAAAGTTCGATCTCTATGAGTAAGTGTGCGGTCCAATCTAATAGGTGACAGTCTCAGATTTATGTTAAATGTTCATTTCCATGTACTTGAAAATAAATCCCTCAGGTTTGTTCTTACTTCACTCATCAATTCAAATTTGTGGTTTATGGTGGCTTAGGGTTTCCTTGTTTATGAATTATGATGAGATTTTTCTTGTTTATAATAAGAACTGTTGCAGTCATTTCTTCCACATTTTTCTTCACCTTCTTGAATTATTTAATTTATGAATTATGATGAGATTTTTCTTGTTTATAATAAGAACTGTTGCAGTCATTTCTTCCACATTTTTTTTCACCTTCTTGAATTATTTAATTTTACTCAAAGCACCTTCATTATATTATATTTTTTCTCCTTCACAATTTTTAACTACTGGTATCTGTTGGTATTTTGAAAGTTTCAGTAAACTCCTCTTCTCCCTTTACACACACACACACACACACATGGATATTAGTTCCTCTTGATTGGGAGACTTTTGACTTGATTATTTTTGTTTGATGCTGTACAAGTCATTTGATGCACTTTTTGTCCATTGTTCTTGGAACATTTCTTTCTTTTACAATAAGTTTTTGTTTCTTGTCAAGAAATACAAAAATTGCAAGACTCACGTGTGCATTTTATTTTTGTTGTCCTGATCAAGAGCTGGGAAAGTTATGAGCCTACAAAAGCAACTGTGAAAAGGTTTCTTTTGAAAGAGAGTGGCAAGGAAAGCGTTAATAGATCATCATTTCCCATTGATAAGCAACAGTTAAGTCCTCCCCTGCTGGAGGGATCAGCAGTTACTCGCCCAAGGGACCACACAAGCCCTACATCCTTCTTGCATCCATCCGTAAACAAATGTGAGCCATGAAAAAACGCAAACCGGAAAGTTTTCTGATTTTTTTTTTCTTATCTTTGTTCATGGTGAGAAACACCCGCTGATTGTTGTTGCATGTAAATATATTTTCAGCAGGTATTCAGGGTGCACAACCGAAACAGGCTTTTGAGAGCTCAGCAACGCCATTTGTTTGGGCTAGTGATCTTCCAGGATCATTCCAACGTACTGGGCTGAAGTCTCTTATGCAAGAACACAAAATGTCACCAACATCCCAATTATTCCCTGCAGCCGGGCAAAATTTTACAAGGGAAACTAGCATGACAGCAGAAAGATCTGGCGATGGCATGGCATATATTGGGAAGTATGATTCAGTTCCTATGAAGGAAAAGCCTGTCTTACCATCAGACACTACTCAGAAACCATCATCTTCTAAGGTATCTACACAAACACTGTCTTTGCAGAAGAAACAGAATGATATGCTAAATTCATATGCTAAAGATACTGCACTTCCACCAAAAGAAATTGTGAAGGATGGGCCTTTGACCACAAGAATGGCATCTACTGAAGCTGGGAAAAAACATGACTTTCCATTTTCTCCCTCATTTTCTGTTCCTACGATTGCTAGCGAGCCTGGAAAGTTTGCCCAGACCGATGCTGCAACAAATAAAAGCCAGACTGATAAAATGCCACCACCTACCACATTCTCAGTGTCAGTTTCTGCACCTTCATCTCCAATAATTAGTTCATCATCAGCTCCTCTATCTTCGTCATCAATTCCGCAATCAGTTGCACCAACCTTTTCCTCAACGATGCCCTTAAACAAATCTTTGGCTAGTTCTATCACTGCTGCAGATGAAAGCAAACCTGGTAAACCTGTATCAACATCCTCATCATCTTTTTTCTCCCCATTTGTTTCTTCTTCTAGTTCTCTCTCTTTTAATGTTTCAAATTCACTGGTGTCTACATCTACCCTTTCACCTTTAGTGAGTTCAACATCAGAATCTCCAAAGACAGAGATCCAACCACCTTCAAAACCAGACATGAATGCTAATACTACATCACCACGCATGGAATTTGGGCCTTCCACAGTTGAAGGTAATTTGGAGCTTAAACCTTCAGTGTCATCTCCACCCTCAATTGAGACTTCAACAGGACTTTCATCTGGAGACGAGCCGAGTCTTATCAAGGCTAGTCCTGCAGCAGTAGTGGCATCTGGGAGCCAGACTGGGATGAACGAAACTGCAGGCCCTAAACAGAATGTAACAGTCAATGCTCAACAAGATCAGCCATCTGCTGGGCATTCTCCATTTCCAAATCTACCTACAACGTCAGGGAGTGTTACTGGTGGGATTGATGGCTTGGATGTACAAAATGCAGAGGAGGATGACATGGATGAGGAGACTCTGGACACAAGTAGAGTAAATGAACTTAGTTTGGGAAGCCTTGGTGGGTTTGGGCTTGGCTCTGCTCCTAAACCCAATCCATTTGGTGGATCATTTGGCAATGCACAAAATGCACAAACAAATGCGACTTCTCCTTTCTCCAGGCCTGTTCCTAGTGGAGAGTTATTTCAGCCTGCCTCCTTTAACTTCCAATCTATAGAGCCTTCCCAATCATCTCAGCCAGCAAATTCAGGTGCATTTGCTGGTGGCTTTGGCACCAGTACTACTGCCCAAGCTCCCATTCCGAGTGGGTTTGGCCAGCCAGCACAGGTTGGACCAGGGCAGCAAGCATTAGGGTCAGTTCTTGGTGCTTTTGGACAGTCGAGACAGCTTGGTACTAGTCTACCAGGTACTGGTTTTGGATCACCCAGTGGTTTTGGTGGAGGCATTGCTGGCATTACTCCCACCGTTAACTTCACAAGTGCTGCTACTGGAGGATTTGCTGGTGCTGCTTCTGGTGGTGGTGGATTTGCTAGTTTGGCTTCAGGTGGCGGTGGTTCTGCTGCTGCGGCTTCAGGTGGTAGTGGTTTTGCTGCTGCAGCTTCAGGCGGTAGTGGATTTTCGGGTGCGGTTTCAGGCGGTGTGGGATTTGCTGGTGCAGCTTTTGGTGGAGGGGGCTTTGGTGGTACAGCTTCAGGCGGTCTGTTTTACTTGTCAATTTTTTTTTTTCAATTTTTTCAGATGTTGTATTCTTTTTATTTTTTATTTTTTAATAAAGATAACATGTATTCTGGAAATATGTTCAGGTGGTGGATTTGGGGCGTTTGGTGGCCTACAAGGATCTGGCAGTTTCTCTGCTTTTGGTGGTGTAGGAGGAACGGGAAAGCCACCGGAGTTGTTCACACAGATGAGGAAGTAACCGTTGTCTCTTTCCAGATTTTGAGCAATCCATCATAATGCAATGGCCAATTGAACATACTGAAATCACTTGAAAGCTTTTTTAGTTTGTATGCTACAAAAGAAGCTAGGTTACACATTCTTCTTCTTCTCGTGTAGGTTTTTGTACTTTCTCATCACCATAGTTCTTTGTAATTGAAAAAGAACATCAGAGATATCACAAGTAATTCGGTTATTCACAAATGTTGATGCAAGCGAAGGGAAAATTGATAGCCCCTGCTGGAGTTACAACCTTTTTATTTTTTGATGCAAGCGAAGGGAAAGTTGATAGCCCCTGCTGGAATTAGAACCTTTTTATTACAAAACAGAATTACACGGGTGCACTCTTAAAAAACAGCATTACCGGGCGAGATTACAAAATATTAGTACTGGTTGTATGCCAACAGAGTCGCCGAAACAAAAAATGGGGCGTATATTGCACCCTGTATTTCAGATATCAAAGTTCCCAGATAAATAGCCCTTCAGTCTCTTGTGGTGGTCACACTGGGAGTCCTAATTCTGAAATCTTCATTATGTGTTTGTCCAGCACAGACCTCTGACGTTTCAAGATCGATGTCATTGATGCAACCTAATAAACATGAAACAAAAAGACAGAAGGGCAATCTTACGTAAACATACAAATAAATGCGCAAAGAGAGAGAGAAAGAAAAAGCAAAAAAAAAAAAAAAAAAAAAAAAAAAGCTACTGAAGGAGATATTTTGTTTTGAACTTGCCTCTGCTCTAAGCTTCAAAGCCTCCCTATTAGGAATTTCCCGCAGCCCATCCATTAAATCTACACAAAAACGTAATAAAAATGAGGGCATGATTCTAGTGTAATGACATCCAAGGCTCAAGGGAAACATAAGAACCCGCAAAACCAGTTTAAATTTTAAAGTCTTTCATTTAACCACGCAGCTATAACAAAATGAAATAGGGAAGAATTCATGACCACAAACCTGAAGCTTGAGATTCAACCTTATGAACAGATTTAGATAGGTGTTGGATTTGTCTTCCGACATCCCTGCATGAATTACTTGGATTAATCAAGACACCGACAGACAGCCAACGAAAACATCTATAAGAGAAGCAAAGACTAGTTGAATGAGAGAGTACATGAGATCATTATGGCCATATGTCATATCCTTTTCAGCAAGTAGTGCCCTTTCAAGAAGTTTCTTGCTCTCCTTCTTCATCAAATCAACTGAAAGGTTCAACTCCTTTACACTCTTTTCAGCGGTAAGAAATTGTGCCTGCACAGATATTAGTTGTAATTAATATCGGAAGATACGGAAACTAGAGGTAAATGTTTGGAGATTCTGAGTTTGAAAGGGTATATAGTATATACAGACCTCCTCGCTCTGAAGTCGACGAAATGTCTGGCGAAACAGGAACCTTCTTGGACCTGCACAGTTGTCTTGTTAGTTAGTCGGAATGCAAGTAGAAAAATACATCGACTGCAAAGTGGAAATCCCACGTTGAATAGCAAATTGTAGGGTTTATCGGACAAAAACCATGACATGTCACTATCTCAGCAAAGTAAAGGAGGACCTGGCAAAACAAGGAAGGCGGCAGTGAGACCAATTCCAAGCGTTGGTGCTGGGTTTTCTATTGCACTCGTCAACCCTTCTGCAATGATTCAATTACAAAATACAAAATATACACACTCACATCAATACATCAATATATGGAATGATTGATGATCAATTTTGGGTACCTATTTACAATTCAATTCAAATAAATTCATGATTCCTGAACAATTCATTAGCATTTAGGCTCTGATGTAAGAATAATCTGATAAATTAAATAAGAAACGAAAGAGTGAATGTATGAATTTTGAGCATACCTTTGATCTTGGTGAAGAAAGCATGCTCGTAGATCCTGTAATTGTCGACGGCTTTGCCGATATACTGGGGCAAGTGATGTTGGATATACCGAGCTGAGCGGACGGCGGAGTCCGTGGATTCCATCACCGTACGTTGCAGATCCTCCGCCATCGTTGCTGCCAATGCCATGTTGGCATCGGAATTGGAAGATGCTGATGCTCCCGCCCCATGTTGGCTATCTTTCTGGTCATTATCAACATTCATATTCACCTGCTCCCCTTGTTCCGACGGTGACGGCGTCGGCATCGTCTCTGCCATTTTCCTTCTTTCTTTTCTAAATGCTTTTCTCAACTTGTGCAAATTTGCTGATCTTTCCGCCTTTGTCGAATAAGAGGCATTTCGGCTTTTGCTTTGGGCTTTCATTCTCACTCCTCCCGTCATCCACGACGACGCATATGGGCCAAAGCCCAACTTACCAATCAACCTATTTTCACCGGATTCAAGATATTAATGCACCGTTCAAATCAACATAACAACATTCTTTTGACAACCAAAAAGAAAAATTTATTCGAGGAGAAAATGAGAGATATTTTGTTCCACCACATAGAATTATTTTATTTTTTCATTTAACAGAATTTACATGATACATCAGAACAATCATTTTTAAGATTTAACGATTCCTAAGAGTGAATTTATCCTTTATGGGATTTAATGATTCGAAAGAGGGAATTCAGCATTTTACGGTCATTTGATTTGGTATTGGTAATAGTAATAAAAAAATTAACGAATATAAAGAAATGAACAGTTTGAATTTGTATCAACGACCATTTTTCGTCAGAAGAGAAGGTTCCATGAGAACAGTTATTTATTTCTATTTTCAGGGTACTTCATTTCATTTTTTTTAAGAAAAAAAAAAGAGAAGAAAAAAAGTGTGGGGAGAAATGACAATAAAAAATTTCAAAGAGTTAGATTTCATAAATACTAATATTTTTATTCTTTCAAACTTTGGTTTATGCTTGTTTTGATAAAAGGACAAAACAAAGGTTTATTTGGTTTGGATTTTTAGTCATTATATATATTCATTGAATAAGTGATGATCCAATGGTTCTTAATCAGGGAATTTTGGGACTTAGACTTAGTTTGAGAGAGTTTTATTGAATGATCGTGATTTTAGTATGGATCTGAGCTTTTAATCAATTCATAGGGTCTTATTGGGACTATGACTCCTAATATTTAATATCTTCTAATACTTTATATTGGAATTGAATAAACAAAACACTATAAAGAAAATAAATGGGCCAAACAATTATTTCAGGAAAAAAGATTTTTTAGATCTCTTCCCTTTTTTTCTTTTTTAATTCCCTAGTATCATATCGTAATCTTTTTTACTACAGATCAAATATACCTTTATTTATCCCTTATTTATATTCCCTAAGTGGACTACCTTGAGTCGCGCATACATTACGTCAGGCTAAGACTATGTAACTAGTCAATGATGACCTTCCATGGATTCGCCTATATAAGCCGCATCTAAGGTTGCAAAAATAGGAGCTTGAATACTGCTTGTAAATAATCCAAGGAGCATGACAGGTACAGGAACTACTTAAGGTACTAAAGAAACAAGAACAACAACTACTAATCCATTAGCTAAAATATTTCCGAAAAGTCGAAAACTAAGCGATAAGGGTTTCGTGGAATCTTCTAAGATGTTAATGGGTAAAATGATTGGAGTTGGTTGAATGTATTTACCCAAAGTTCATTGATATCTTTATAAAACAATTGACTTCGATTCTTGAATAATCCACGTCACTTCTGCTTTTATTGTAACAAAAGATTCCTTCTTTTTTTTTTTTTATGTGGAAAAGGCATGTATGAATAATTATGATTTTACGTATGGTCCAACGAATTGTTTATCAATGAATGAAAAATATGAACTTTCTACTTATAATCGTTACGAATTGAATTATAATCAAATTACTTTAGGTCGTTTACCAATGTCAATAATTGACAATTATATAATCCGAACAATTTTGTATACACCTCAAATAAAACAGTAAATCTCTTGATTAACGAATAATTTAGAATTACTTTACTAATAACTTCTTCCCCAAAAAATAAAAACTTTACTAGTGACTAATACTAATTAAGGTTCAGTTTTGATCTAATAGGGGTTTATCGGGACCAATGTTGCGAGCTTCCAGAATAAAATGGGATCTTCATAAGGTTGATCATTATGAATGTTACAAAGAATCTGGTTGGGAAGTATAGTGGCAAAAAAAAAGAGATTCAATAAATGTCTTTCACATCCAACCGAAAAACCTATTATAACTTTTTAATGGCAGTTCCAAAAAAGTGCACCTCTATTAAAAAAAAAAGTATTCGTAAAAATATTTGGAAAAGGAAGGGATATTGGGAAGCATTGAAAGCATTTTCGTTAGCGAAATCTCTTTCTATGGGGTTCTAAAAGTTTTTTTGGTGTAACAAATAAATAATCTGAATCGTTCTAATAACTAACAAAGTGATATAATTTTGTTTATAGTTTATTTATAAGATTTATAAGTTATAAAAATGATAAATAACATTTATCAATTATAATTAATATTAACATCATAATATTAAAATTAATATAACATCATTATAGCAAAAGAATAAATATTAATATATAATTTAAAAATATATATATATGTGTATATATATATATAAGATAAATTACAATATAAACAAGATACATTAAAAATAAATAAAAAAGAATTAGTCTCATATTGTTTTAATTTAAACAAATATTAGATTGAATTTGAAGCCAAAATTTTCTTTTGTTTCTGATATAGATAAGAATTTTGTTATCTACTAAATTGAATCTTTTGGGTCTTGCAATATCATTAGGTTGATTGTTTCGCTCTTGTATCTTCCAAAAGGAAAAAAGATTTATGAGAGCTATTTCCTGGATCCGAAAGTGAGCAATAACTAAAAAGTGTATCATGCCCGAATCTAACCAAAGCGGATAATATCATGCTACGGTGAAGTCAAGCTCGGGCAGGGATGTGACAATTTGGTATCAGAGCCTAACCTTGGCTGTGGTGTGCCGACGAGGACGTCGGGCACCTAAGGATAGTGGATTGTAAGATCCCACATCACTCAGGGGAGTGATCCTTATATGTATATTTCTATCTCTACCTAGCACGAGGCTTTTTAGGAGCTCACTGGCTTCGAATTTTGTTGGAACTTCGAAGTTAAGCGAGTAGCACAAGAGAGCACTCCCATGATAGATGACCCACTGGGAAGTTCTCGTGTGAATTCTCAGAAACAAAACCGTGAGGGTGTGCTAGGGGCCCAAAGCGGACAATATCATGCTACGGTGGAGTCGGACTCGGGAAGTGGTCCCATCCGGACCGGGATGTGACAACTACTGTAAGGTCTTTTCTTGTAGGTGGTATATTCATAGGTTTTTACTCGATTCATCTTTCATGAATTCCTTAAAACAAAAAAAGGTTCATTAAAATTCAAGATCTAATATATCAAATAATTCAAAATGCCTTTATAAAATTAATGAGTTTTCGACTCCTGAATATCCAACCTATGAATTAATGTTTTAAAACAGATACTATTTTTCTTTGTACACCAATCAGTATAACTATCATTCTTCTGACACAGCAATGCAATTTCACAATCAATATCGAAATGAAGTGTTAGATAATTTCTTTCTTCTTTTCTTGTTGCTTGTCGATGTAGAATTTTGTACCATTTAATATAAAATTCCTCAAATTCCTGTAGTATAAGGATTTTCTTCAGTAGAAACTGAAGATCAAGTAAAATGTGAATTCGACAGGTTGGTTTCCAATAATTTATGAAGGAGATTCTCATATTCTTACGATTCAATTAGACGTTACATCTAAAAACATACGTTTTGTGGTTGTATAAGATGTTTTTTGTTGGAATCTTTTTTTTTTTTTAGGAATTGGTTGGCCACCCAGTAACAAGTAACAATAGTAGATATTATTCAATGAAAGAACGAGGAACAACGAATAAATAAAAAACAATACAATAAATATTTTTGATGCACACATTATTGTTTAGTCCCCCAAGGGGGTCATTCGTGACCTAATTACAAAGATTGGTCTTTGTAATATAGAAAGATAAAATGTAAGACCCAGTTTCAATTGATCTTATCGTGCGATACTTTTTTCTTTTCAATCGCAAGATTATGTGAATGAACTACTATTGAGTTCGCTTTAAAGTAAAAAAAAATAAAAAAATGTAGTAGAAGTGTTGTCCTAAATCTTTTGGGTTGCTTTTTCCAATAAACATTGGTTACATTTCCTTATGTTATTTGTACCAGTAACCAATTTATGGATGAGTGCTCTTGGAGTGGTAGGTCTGGCCCTGAACCTACGTGTCTATGATTTTGTTTCTTAGGAAATCCATGCAATAGAAGATCCTAAATTTGAGACTTTCTACACCAAAAATATTCTCTTAAATGAAGGTACACATGCTTGGATGGTGGCTCAAGATCAGCCTCATGAAAACCTTATATTCCTTGAGGAGGTTTTACCCTGTGGAAACGCTCTTTAATGGAACTTTAGTTTTAGCTGGTCATGACCAATAAACCACTGGTTTCCGTACCAACTCAAGCTATGATTATTGGGCTCCATGTATTAACGAGGGGAAATCGTCGAGGTATTTGTGCAAATAGGTATAATCCATGTAATCGCAGAAATTATCAAAATAAAAGAATTGATGATAATAACTATAAGTATACGAAAGAACCTTTTTTTTTTTTTTTTTTTTTGGTAATTTTTATGATGCAATTGGAACTTATCAACAGAAAATAATCAATTTAAATAGCCCATTGTGGCTTCGGTGGCGACTAGATAAACGCGTTATTACTTCAAGAGAAACTCCCATCGAAGTTCACTATGAATCTTTGGGTACCTATCATGAGATTTATGGGCACTATCTAATAGTAAGAAGTATAAAAAAAAAAAGAAATTGTATATATGTACGAACCACAGTTGGTCATATTTCTCTTTATCGAGAAATCGAAGAAGCTATCTATGGGTTTTGCCGAGCTTACTCATATGGTACCTAATCATATTATATCTAAACTAAGTAATGCTATGAAACCCGTGTCATTTTGGGTTTCTCTAGTTCATCTAGGACCATAGCTCCTAAATTTCTATGTGAATCAAGATCGGGAAAAGGAAGTTCTCCAATCATTGACTCAAATCCATTGTCAAACCCCACTTAGCTGAATAGGGAGGTACTTATGGTAGAACGGGCCAATTTGGTCTTTCACAATAAAATGATAGATGAAACTGCTATTAAACGACTTATTGGTAGATTAATAGACCACTTTGGAATGGCATGTACATCACACATCCTGGATCAAGTAAAAACCATGGGGTTCCGACAAGCCACTGCTACATCCATGTCATTAGGAATTGATGATCTTTTAACAATACCTTCTAAGGAGTGGCTAGTCCAAGATGCTGAACAATAAAGTTATATTCTGGAAAAACACCATTATTATGGAAATGTACACATAATAGAAAAATTACACCAATCTCTTGAGATATGGTATGCTACAGGTGAATAGAGCCATATGGCATGTATCCATACATTGGAAAAGAATTAATAGAAAAAAAAAATCGAAATTGATCGATATATTTCTTGAAACAAACAAAAAGGAAACGAAAGATGAAACATAAACCTTGGATCAACTAAGCCCTCTTGGGAACTTGTTTAAGAATAAGAAAGAGGAATCTCATGTAAATACCACGGAATAAGGTTTGTCCTATTCATGGGGAATCCGTAAAAATTTAATTCCAAAAAATAGAAAGTTAGAAAGAATTGAGATTTTTTGGAGATTTGATACAGTTACTAATTCATGATCTAGCATGTACAGAATGAAAACTTCATTCTCGATTCTACGAGATTTTTTATGAAAGCCTTTCATTTGCTTCTTTTTTATGGAAGTTTTATTCCTTACTTTCAAGGAAAGGGTTGGAATGGATTGAGTAGATTTCTTAATTTTGTTTTATTCATTATTCGGGTCGATAAACTAAATCAAACAATTATGTGAGTGAAAGAAAACAACTTATATATAAATTCGTAGTAAAAAGACTGCTTCTCATTTTCTACGTATAAGAGTCAGAGAGTTAAGCGGAAATAAACACAAATGGAAGACACCGCTTCCCCCAAGATTGGTTGATTAGTCATCTTGATTTGAAACAGGTTCAAAAGATCAACCGTGTTGAGTTTCACTATTATTTTTATGTATTAGCATAACGGGGGATTGAGCAAAAACGAGTGAATGGTCAGAAACGCAACATATGTAAAGGATTAATAATGGAGAAAAACGACATTTTTACATAATATACAAACAAAGAATACTAACTGGGGCTTTAGGTTGGTAGAAATGATCAGGCAATACTCTTAATAACACGATTCCAATCCAGAATATACTCATATCCACCAATTTAATAAATAATTATTTGAAACGAATTAATCATTTACTTTATTTTGAAAGCCCTTTTTCTCAAAAATAGAAAGAAGAATAGGAAAGGAAAAAAAAAGGATATACTTTTGTTAAGGAAGATATCTCGGGATAATTAGTCAATATTGTAAATTGATTCTTAGTTATTTGATTTCCTATTTAGTTCATAATTAGCGTTGTTTATAAGCAATAGAATAGGGATCCTGATGTATAGCCTTTGTATAAAGCTGTAACTCTAGCTTGATGAATATACAAGAAACCATTTCACAATCCTACCTTTCGTATGAACTTTATTTATTCTTTGTTACTTTTATTCTTTCCCATATACATATTAATAGATATATAATTTGTGTCATAATTCATTAATTAATATAGAATTTCTTTTTGTATGTGAAATCAATGGATTATTGATATTTTTACAAGAAGTATTTTATTGAACTGTTAAGTTATTACTGAACAAAAAGAATTGAAATTATTATTGATTCTTCAAATCTAAATCAGGATGTAGCAGCCTTTTATTGGTAGTAGAAAGGAGGAGAAAAAGAGACAAGGGAGGAGAAAGGAGAGTGTGGAAGTCAGGGTGATCGGCTGATATCGATTCATATTTGTTTTAATTTATTTTTTCACATTACTTAGGAGCAAAATGGATAGTTTAGGAGGAAAAAAATTTAAGTCGCGTGTATACATCACTCTAAATAAAGTTTCCCTAACCTAATGGTCAAATGAGTACAAAAAAAAAAAAAAAAATTGGTAAAATTAGGTACCAGCCTACTTGTAGAGGAGAGTGAAAGGGGAAAAAAAAGCCAATTAGCTAAGTGGGAAAAAAAGAAAGCAGAAAGAAGTGAAAGGGGGAAGAAAGAAAGAAACAGAAACGAAACTGAGTTGAGAGAGAAAATTAGCAGAAGTTAGTGACGAGGAGGAGGAAGACGAAAACGAAGAGATGAGTTGGCCTCAAACTGCCTGGCAAATGAGAAATTAGACCGACCCTTAAAGGCCCCTACATCAATTCACGTAATGCTCATTTGTTTACGACAGGCTTTGTGAATCATAACCAGAAGAAGAGTGAAAGAAAGAAAGAAAGAAAGAAGGAAGAAGAAGATTAGCGAGAGAGAGAGAGAGAGAGAGAGAGAGAGAGAGGCGGAGGGTGGAACCGGGGCAGAGGATAGGAGGTAGGAGGTGTTTATGATGCTTTGTGATTCATTGCGTGATCGAATACAGCCATGGCTTCGTGATTACGACAGGCTTCAGTCATTGGCCGTCATTCTCCTCTACATTCAGGTTCTTCCTTTCCTTTCACTTCGTCTTCGTTTCAATTACAAAATCAAATCAATACGAATGAATGATTGATTCATATAACAATATTAAAGATCCATCCTTTGATGCATGCATGTATGTATAGATTGGGTGCGCATTGGTGGGTTCGCTGGGTGCACTGTACAATGGGGTTTTGCTGATAAATCTGGCCATTGCATTGTTCGCCCTTGTCGCAATCGAGAGCAGCAGTCAGAGCCTCGGCCGCACATACGCCGTCCTTCTCGTCTGCGCCATCTTCCTCGATGTTTTCTGGTTCATTCTCTTCACCCACGAAATCTGGTAATTCACTCTTCCCCCAACATTTTCCCTTTTGCATTTTGATGTATGCATATGTACACATGTATGCTTGATTCTGGTGCTTTGGTGTTTGTAACTATGTGTTGTGCAGGAACCTTTCTCGCCGGAGTGGGAGTAATACAACTTTGTACATCTTCTCCGTAAAGCTCACTCTGGCCATGCAAATTATCGGCTTTTCCATCAGGTTATCCTCCACCTTGTTATGGATTCAGATCTACAGGTTGGGCCTTTCCTATGTAGACACTAGTGCAACTCCTAGAGAAGCCGATTTTGATTTAAGAAATAGTTTCTTGAGTCCTACTACTCCCGTTGTACCCAGACAAACTTCAGATTCTAGTGATGCTATAGGAGGCGCTATCTATGATCCTGCGTATTACTCCTCACTCTTTGAAGATGGTCAGGTCAGTCCTCTCTCTCTCTCTCTCTCTCTCTCTCTCATTACATGCCTACTCAAATTTTCATTTCTCATTGTTCTTCTCTTGCATCCACAATTGGAATATGTCATCACCTCACTCTATTAGCATCTGTAGTTTAACAAACTTACTATGGAGCATCTTCATCTTATTTTGTATTTCTATTTACAAACTGTATAGTTTCACCCACTATATCTGTTTAAAATCTCGTATAATCCATGCTTCCTTAAAGGTGGCTCATTCAAAGAAACACGTGTTGTTACCTCATCCCGTGTATATGTTCATCTAAAACCTCATTTTATTTTACTTTGGAATTGGTGGAAACTTTGTTTAGCAGTGAGTATCATTGCAAACCTAACTGAAGTTTTCCACCACCAATCTTCATGGATGTTAACCTCAGCAGATAGGAAAAGTGAGGATTCCATAATTTTTTGTTTTCATATAAGAACCAAGAAGTTGGAGTATACAATTGTAGGACAAAATATAGTGAGGCTAGTGACGTACAAGATTCTATGAATATCTACCTACAAGACAACAGTAAAGTTCTTTTTGAAGATTAACGAGTCTCATTCTTCCAAGGAAACTATAACAATCAAGTCTAGTATAGCTTCAAAATGGTGTGATGGAGAAGGTAGCTGGAGCACTAAGATTTCAATGGTTGCAATGTATCATGTATGTACCTTGGTCTGTGAAATATAGATGGCCATCAAAGTCCACTTGGAGGCAAGAATATTCATAAGGGGACATGAAGATTGCATACCATGAACAGTGCTATCCTTGACATTCATGATTTATAAATTTTGCTTCCCACTTGGTTAAGGAATGAAATTCTAATTGGGCTTCCTTGAAAAGAGATGTAATTTGTCTGTTCTGGACGTATGTTCACTGTGGGAAAGTTTTCTGCTCTGTTGACATTTGCATTCTGGCAGAGGGGGCTGAAAGGTTTGACATCAATTGCTGTGAGTGGGTCTGGATTCTAGACAACCATGCATGTTGGTCTTCGATTTTCCAGGGGAATTAATGCCACTGGTGGCCCAAAACATTTTCTTTAAATAAGTAAAGGTCCTGTGCATCAAAGGAATCATGCCGGATTTTGGATGATGGGCTAGGCAAGAGTTAAGAGTTGATGATCTCACCGTGCTACCCCATAAACCCTTGCTAAAATTGGCTTCGATAATTGAGTCACTGTGGTGACCACAATAAGGGTCTTTTGTGACTGTTTGTGTGGCAATTGAAGAAGAGGGGTTCTATGCAATATATTCTCTCCTCCACTTTGATTTGAGTTCATCATGGCGGTGTGCAATCACAAAAATGTAGACTTGCTCATAGAATAGTGAAAGATTCAAGAAATCAAAGACAAACTCTGCAAATACTTTTGTGTCTATCCATCCAATGAATGAACATGTTCTTAACACAAGTTTTGTTGTAGTCTAATGTTTGTTGACTTGGCTTTGTGCATCATGATTTAAGCATAGGACATATTGATTAGAAATACACTGATGCATTTGACGATGTAAGAAGGCTTTTATTCAGATCCTTGTTTGGGATGTGAGAATGTTTTCCTTCACTTCTGATTTTTATTTGTTTATTTGTTTTGTTGGGGTTGGGGCATCATTACTGTCACTTCTTCTTCCAGCTTGATTCTCGTTTACGTATAGTTATAACAGAATAAACAATAATGGTCATAATAATCTAAAAGGAAGGAGGTTGTCAAAAACCACCTAATGCGAGATTGTGCAAATATGTACATGGAAGAAGACAAGAAAGAAAACCCGTATGTAAAGTTAGAGGAACAACATTTATGGTGTGTTCCAAGAACTCTGTGGCAGTAAAGCCTTTAGGTAGATTCAGAAATCATAATATGGAAAGGTAATTGGGAAAGGAGTAAAGGATTTAATTTTTCTATTAACTTCATTGAGGGTTAACTCAAAGGAATGAGTATGTTAAGGTGTCTTCGGCTTAGGTGTCTATGAAGTCGCGGGATAATAAAAAGAAAAAAGAATGCTAATGTTTTCATATTGCATCTTTTTATGGTTCTGTGCATGATGGTTTTTACAGTAATCAACCTGGGGAAAGAATGAAAGGAATATATGGTGTACTTTTGCAACACCTAGTTTGGAGAATTACATTTTGCTATGATGTGAACTACTGAGATTTATGTTGGTGTTTGAAATTTGGAACTGCTGATATGTTCTGTTTCCTTAGATATTCATAATACTGTTCTTTTCTGTTAGAAGGTAGCAACGAATGTTCGTCATCCATTACTAAATTGAAACCTCTGTTATTTGTCTCTAGGGAAAATATTGCAGTGGCAACGGATCCACTTCTGCTGTCGAAGCTTCTAAGACAAAACCATCCGTAGTCAGATCGTTTCAGTTCGTAGATGTAAGTATCCATGAATATGTTTCTGGCCAGTTATATGAAATTTGGTAACATGTCTGGTGACGCGGGTGTGATCCCCACTATTATACCATTTGGTTAGTTTATTTGATATAGAAGATCTCATGGTTTCTTTCTCACCCTTCTGTTATCTCCCAGCAACACCAACTGGCCAAATATTCGATCCACATGTTTATCTACGTTGAGTACTTGGTTGGGTGGCGTTTTGAGGTTGTTTTCTTGGTTTTGACAGACAGATTTCTCAATTGGAAATTTGGATAATTCATTTGTGCACCTTCCTACACAAGATTTGATTGTATGATGGTTTGTGGTTGTAATATAACAGTACCCATACTCGTATCATGTGCAAGCACCATAAATCTTGTGTAAAATGATTTTAGTGACCCAGCTGACAAGGCCTTTTTATTACCTCATTAGTAGTTATGCTCCTCTGCTGCTTTCTTATTCCTTTTCAACAAGACATTCCAAAATTTTCGTGGCTCATGCATTCTTTTGGCCACCACATTTTGCTACATATGCCATTTAACTATTAGTCATGTACAGGGCAGATTGTCATCAGGTAGCTCTGTGCATAGTAGAAGAATATATTAGACTGTCCATATCGGGGCTGTGACTGTTACCCGCTTTTGGTTAATAGGATTTTGTTTTAATTATAAAAATCTGTTATGATTATTATTTCATCCAGATGAAATGTCATTTTTGCTTCTTCTAACTCGATTTGAAACCTCGCAGGAGGAGAAGGCAGCAAGCCAGCCTAGTTCAGTTTAATTTTGAGTGTGCCATCTCTGTCTTCTTTACGGATCAACTCCCCTAGCTAGTTGTCTAGAGGATCTTTCAAATGATGTAGTCGCTGCGGCGAGATTGTGTTCGGGAGTGGGCCTTGTAAAGTCGGATCACATATAATTGCATTTTCATTTTGCCCGGATGAGGATGGGAAGCTGTTGATCAGATGAAAGTGTTAAAAGGAGAAGCACGTGGTCCATGTGGTTTGGTTTGGTATGCCAAAAGCTTTGGATCAAGATCCAAGTCCAGTGGTACATGCGTATGAACATTGTCGGATTTGGAATCGTGTTAGCGTGTTGGCTTGACCACGCAGCAATCGGACATGTGGGTGTTAGTTGAGTTGACATTAGGAACCATGAGAAGGCAATTGCCTATTGTTCCCCTAATAGCATTTGTTCCCCCTATCAATGGAGCTTTGTTTTTCTGTTGGATTTTACACCCCCTCACAATGTCATTCGCTACATAATTGCAAGAGGTTTATTTGTCCCCAAGTACGTACGCATGTAGAAAATTTATGACACAAAAATTTTGGATAGTTCGCGGATGGAAGGGAGTAGTGTATTGGTGGACTTGGACCTGTTTGTTCTTCTTGCTAAGGAAAAAGGTGGTTTCGAAATTCCATCGCCCCCTCCTTTTTTTTTTTTTTGTTGGTATAATATAATTGATGCTTTTCGAATCATGGATATGGGAGGAATATATTGATATATTAAATAGTGGGTTGAAAAAGCGAGTGAGCATTCTCCTTCATTTACATTGTTTTGTTAGTGGGACAAATTGAAAGCCAGCACGCTAACCAACATTTAGCAGGACATTAATAGATTCTTTTTTTTTAATGGCTAACTTTGGATTTATAAGAGGCACACTGTCTTAGCTAACTAATTTCGTTACGTGTTCAGATTTTTTGCTACGTGTTAGTTTCCTTCCCTCAGTTAAGCTCAGCACCATGCTAAAAGATTCACTCACGAATATGCGCTTTTGCTTCTTGAGACATTGAGACAAAAGATTCACCAACGATGTGTGCTTTTGCTTCTTCAGACTTGAGACTTGAGACTTGAGAGATAGTGGAAAGTAACGAAGTAGGAATGAGACGTCAAAAGGAGTAGCGTGCAGGGGAGGGGGCCCTGAGGCAGAAGCTTTAATTGTTTATGAGAAGACGTGTCGGCCATTTGAATGGATTGTCATTAGTCAACCTTCCCATAATAATCTATTCTATTCAATTCAATTATAAGGAATTAATTATATGACCAAATTGGATCAATGAATTAGAAGTATGTACAGTTTTGATATAATGGAGAGTATGGGTTAATTTCATTTGAGATGCACGGTGGTCATATATATAATCGGATCTGCTCCGGACGTTAGTGTGTGGAGTTTAAGGATCAACTAATCTATATTGTACAAATTAAATTCAACGGTCTTCATTAACTTATTTTCTTGAACTACCACACACGCTCTGATTTTTTTTACACACCAATTAGCAGCTTAGATGGATTGATTCTTAGGTTCTGAACATTAAGCTCCAATTCTGTCATATATTACACAACACAATTTTATATTATAAGATAATCGTATGCTTACCAGGTGTACAGTTTAGACAAAAATACTGATGAAAATTGGTTAAAATAATTGACGCTTCACATTAAATCTAATTAGGATACCAAATGTATCATATTCTTAATTTAAAAATCAAAGCTCCCGTGTGATTACAATTTAATGGCTATTTCTTTTTGTTGCCAATTTCAATCTAAATGCAAATGCGAAATTAGCTCATTATATTTTTGTTTTGTGTCAAAAACTATACTTGCTACATATATTCATATACAATAATCAACTTCTTTTTCCACCAAAAAGAAAAGTACTGTTATTTAATTTTGGTAGACTAAAATTGGATATGAAGGGTTCTTAATATAGGAAAAGAAAAATAAAATAAGAAGCGAAAAGAAATCAAACGATTGGCTTCGGATTGGAATGGGATTTTTGGGACTGGGAGTCTTCAAAAACAATGAATGACAGACTGCCACCAACAACACAACACGTTTAAGGAATATTTTATTTTTTCCCACTGAGAAAATGAAATATAAAAATGTATTTTATTTTTTATTTTAAATCACAAAAAAAATTATTATTAACACTTAAAAATTCTTATTTGACATTTAAAATTTTTCATAATTAGAAAGAAAAATGTATTTATTAGAAATGTAAAATGAGATTTTTAAAGTTCTGATAACAATTCTCATCACAAATATTCAATTCCAATTCATGGGAACAAACAAACAAAAACAAAGAAAAAGAAAGAAAATAAACGAACGGTGGACCAGTAATTTATATTGCAATTTTTTTAAAATAAAGCAGTAAAATAAAAATAATGGAAAGAAATTAGCAAGTTGGAAACTTGGAAAGGGAATGGGATAGACAAAGGGGGGAGGGGGAGAGAGATAGGGGAAGGGTTGGTGGAATCTTCTTCTTTCCCTCAGTTTTCTCTCTTTTGCAGCTCCAAAACGAAGGAGGAAAAAGACGTAAAATTCTGTTTGCTGAGCATTTGGGTACAATTCTTCGATTTCTATCTTTCTTTCTGAATTATCATTCATATATTTATTTCTTCTAAATAAAAAAAAATTAATTTGACCTCCCGCTGCTGCTGCGGTAACAGACAGGAGGAGGAGGAGGGTAAGTAATTAGCAAATTAATTACTTTCAGTTTGCGTGTCGAATATCATCTTCTTCTTCTTCTCCTTGAATTTTGATTATTATTATTATTATTATTATTATTTATTGTTGGTAAATACTAGATATATAGCTGGGTCTTGAAATATTTATAAACGGACACACACGATTTGATTTCTCAAGCTCTGCGCTTTTGCTCTTGCTCGTCTTCTCCCCCCCGATTTTGTTTACTTTTGGTAAGAATCAAAGTTCAATTCTCCTCCGTCTCCGTATCTTTTTTTTTTTTTTTTTCCCTGTATTTTTACCCCTCCTTCCCTGAAAAAAGAAGAAGAAGATTTCTTTTGTGTGGTTCATCGGAGATGCTCTGCATATTTTCTGCTTCGTGGACCTGTCAAATTCTGAATTTTTTTGTAGAATTATTCTTGAAAATTAAATTGTGTGTGTGTTGGGGGGTTGAAGGGCAATATTGTTATGATGGCTTAGATCTGAAGTCAGGCTAAAATCTTGATCTTTTTGGTAATTGATTTTGATATGGTATTGTGACAGTGACTGAAGAAATAAACAAAGAAGGAGAGATGGAGGACGCAATTCGAGCAAGGTATTGGTGCCACATGTGTTCTCAAATGGTGAATCCCATCATGGAAATAGAAATGAAATGCCCCTTTTGCCAAAACGGATTTATAGAGGAAATGAATGGCACTACAAGGGATAATCAAGACGCTGACTCTGATTTTGGATCCGATCGAGCACTCTCCCTCTGGGCTCCGATCTTGCTTGGCATGATGAACAATCCCCGTCGTCGTAGAAGATTAAGACGACTAGACTTTGATGAAGATGATGATGATGACAATGACAATGATGATGGTGAGACTCGCCAGGGCAGAGACACTGAATTGGACAGAGAACTTGAATCAATCATCCGAAGGAGGAGGAGAAGCTCAGCTTCTTTTCTACAGCTGCTTCAAGGCATTCGAGCTGGCTTGGCATCTGAATCTGAGAATTCTGAGGGTGATAGGGATAGGGATAGAGGGAGAGAAAGAGAACGGGAGAGGGAGCGTGTAATTCTTATCAATCCTTTCAATCAAACCATCATTGTTCAGGGATCTTACGATTCAAATCAGGGTCAAATCAACAATCACACCCCTATCAGTTCATTAGGCGATTATTTCATTGGGCCTGGTTTGGATTTGTTGCTGCAACATTTGGCAGAGAATGATCCTAATAGGCATGGGACTCCGCCAGCACAAAAGGAGGCAGTGGAAGCGCTGCCCGCTGTGACAATCAAGGAGAATATGCAGTGTTCAGTGTGCTTGGATGATTTTGAGGTTGGTGTAGAAGCCAAAGAGATGCCATGTAAGCATAAGTTTCATAGCGGGTGTATTCTGCCATGGTTGGAGCTTCATAGTTCCTGTCCGGTTTGCAGGTTCCAGTTGCCTGCTGATGAATCAAAGCGTGAGTCAGATATTTCCAGGAACAGCAGTAACTCGAGGGAGAGTGAAGAGATTGGCGATGTTGGTGGTGGTGGTGGTGGTGGGGAAGAGGGAGATGGGGATGGGAGGAACCGAAACGGGAGAAGGTTTTCAATTCCGTGGCCTTTCAGTAGTCTGTTTTCTCACTCAGGATCTCAGTCGGGTGGCAGTGGGGGAAATTCATCGTCAGCAGGAGCGAATGCAACTGGAAGTGGAAGTGCTTCTCAAACAGAAGAGAATTGAGTATATTTTTCAATTATTTAAGTTGGTATATGATGTTCTTGTCCGTTACGTGGCTTCAATCGTTTTCTACGCTGCTGGTGTACATAGTATCTTACTTGAATGTGAATCATGGAATGTTCAAATTGGGTTTTTTGTTTGTTAGTTTGTTAGAAGGATCGTCGTTTGTAGATGTTTTGGCCTCCTACCCAGTACGACAAGAACTACTCATGTTGCTATATATACATGATATGTGAGTGAATTGCTTTCTCAACTTATGTTGCTATATTAATTGCTTACTCATTTTTTTGCTGTTGCACTTAGTGTCACTGTCTCGTATAGATGCCATGAAACCTTGAATTGGTATTGAATCGTACGCAGGCAGAACTCAGAAGCCAAGCCATTGAGAACCGAACTGAATTTGTATCATATGCGTAGTTCAAACTCTGCATCTTGTCGTACCAGTATTAAGTACAAGTGGTGGAATAAATAACATCAATATCTAACATACATAACATGCATAACTCAATAATAAGGAACCATGTTCAGCAAATGATCATATTAGTAAACGTTTTGCATAAAGTCCCATATCGCAATATCGGCAAATTGTGTAGCTATCAAAGCCTGCTCATCACATACACTGATGACGGCGGTAGATGTAGATGTTTTCGCATCCAAAAACACATATTAAACGAGGCAAGTCAAAATCATAAGCATTGTCATTGGCTAATTTTGAGAACGCCAAAAAGGAAAGGATGACATAACAAATCATCGGATGAACATCACTTCACGGTCAAGATCTTGATCACTGATGCAGTTCCATCACGGTGCAGAGCCACAACAGCATCTCCGTTCTTGCAGAGCCCCTTTGTCTTGGCATGTTGAAGGGCAAAGTCCAGTGCTGCTTCGGTTGTCTCTGCATGAGAGGCCCTAGAAGATCCCGCGCTTAGAACTGGAACCAACCCACGGAAAATCAGACTATGCCTTGCTGGAGCTTCATCACTGCATGACCAGTCAAATGAATCTGTCTTGATCTCGGGGACAACAACAGACAGTATAGGCATGCCAGGTCTGTACTTGGCCACCAGCTTTGCGGTACTTCCTCCTCTGGTTAGGACCAATATAAGAGCTGCTTTGGATGAGTTGGCTGTTTTAACGGCCGAAGAAGCCAGGCTCTCTAGCGGGCTCATAGGCACGGGGGAGTGTTCCATAATCCTTTTGAAGACATCTCCATAATGAAGGGTGCTTTCTGCTTCTACGCAGATTTTTGCCATGGTCCGCACAGCAAGTTCAGGGTATGCTCCTGCAGCAGTCTCGCCACTTAGCATCACACAATCTGTGCCATCTAGAACGGCATTGGCAACATCAGTAGCTTCAGCCCTAGTTGGACGGGGAGATTTGATCATTGACTCCAACATCTGTGTTGCCGTGACCACAGGTTTTCCTTGGATGTTGCACTTGTAGATCATCACTTTCTGTGCAAGGAAGATCTTTTCAATTGGAATTTCCATTCCAAGATCACCTCGTGCCACCATGAATGCATCTGATTGTGCAAGGATGTCATCAAAATTTGCCACCCCTTCCTGATTCTCAACCTACCAATCAAAATTTCAAGTAAGAACCAAAGGAAGGAAACAAAAGGTGAAATTCAACTGTTAATAGTATCTATATAAGAGGGTAGATACATTGCTAACAGTTGCATAGTTTTATGAAACCCTAAAAAAACAATCCACATAATGCCACACTGCCAGTAAACCCTTTTTCTAGACATGATTTTAAGCTAAAAATAAATCGGTTCATAATACTTTGCATACCAAATGGCACCAAGAAGTAGTCCCAGTTGCAAAATTGCAATCACTGATTAATCCAGGCAAGACAAACTTGTACTAGGTTCTCTCTATAGTCAAAAGCAGTAAAAAGAAGCAGAAAATCCAAAATGGCTCAGTTTATCTTGTCTTTAATAAGGGAGCTTACCTTTGACATGAGAAGGATATTCTTAGAATGCTTTCCAAGGAGCTTCCTAACCTCCACAAGATCAGAACCTTTCCGGACAAAAGACAGTGCAATCATGTCAATCTTATTTGGAACACCCCACTTGAGAATATCTTCTTTGTCTTTCTCTGTTAAGGTTGGGAGATCCACAACGACCCCAGGAAGATTAACGTTCTTCCTCTCACCAAGAACTGCAGAGTTCTCACAGCGGCATTGAACCAAACCCTTTTGCTTGTCACAAGACAAAACCATAAAGGAGATGGTGCCATCAGCACATAGAATCATGCTCCCTGGCTTGACATCCTTAGCCAGCTTTTTGTAACTCATACAAATCATATTTGCATCACCCTTGAGGGTATAGTCAGTGGAGATGGTGATCTCTTGGCCCTGTTTGAGCTGGACAGGTTTCTCATCTTTGAGAAACCCCGTTCGAATCTCTGGACCCTGTGGTGGTGAATTTGAGAAACAAAAAAACAATCAATCAGGAATTAGTCAAAGCTTCCATAATCTAATCCATTTGTGTAAAAGTCGGCACTAGTATGTGCTATTAGCAATTTAGCATTAGTGAATCTAGAGTAGACAGTGATCTATTTATCATTCTACTATTCTAGTCATCGTTTGCTGGCTAGGATTGTACTGGATTATATAACTCTGCTAGATTCAAAGCAGGTTGAAGGAAAAAATGGAGGCCAATCCAATCAAATCCAATCCAATCCAATCCAATCCTAGGCAGAAAAGTTTCCAAAAATGTGCGTCCCAAGGCCTAACCTACAAACTAAGGGAGGGAAGAAATTCATTGCACACCCATTAACAGAGAGAGGAAGGGAAGGGGGAATGTGTCAGTGTCTGCAAATTTTCTAAAAATGAAAAAAAATCAAATACAAATTATTAAAACTGTGAACCCTAAACACAAAGAGAGCAAACAAAAACATACAAAGTAGCAAACAAAACAGAGATACAAACAGAAAAGTAGCAAATAAGCAGCAGCAATGCATGTTGTATTGTATGCTTGAGAATCCGAGAAATTCGGATCAGATGGGATCGGAAGGATGAAAGAAGAGAAGAAAGGCAGACCTTGGTGTCGAGCATGACGGCGCAGAGGATGCCGGTGGATTCCATGGCGGCCCTGAGATTGTTGAGGGTCTCCTGATGGTACTCGTGGGACCCATGGGAGAAGTTGAAGCGGGCGACGTTCATGCCGGCCCTCAGCAGCTTCTCCACCATCGGAACCGACCGCGATGCGGGTCCAAGGGTGCACACGATTTTGGTCTTGGGCCTCTGATCCATTTTTTCCCTGAATTTCTTCTGCTTCTCTCTCTGTTGGTATTTTGGAGGAGGAGTTGAAAGAGAGTTGGTTGTATTGTGGGAAAATATGCCAACGGCGATGTACTTGTCAATGACTCCGGATCGACTCCGACTCCCTCTCTCTCTTGAATAAAATGATGTATTATATAAAATATAATAATAGGAAAAAATAAAGTGGCCCTTTGATTTGCGAATACCGAATACCGATGGTGGGAATGGAAGGGAGCAAGTAGACCGAGAAACAAGCGTGAAGCGTGTTCGCCGATGCCTCTCGGTGTTTTTCCTTTTCTTTCTTCTCTCTTTTTAATTATTTTTATTTACTTTTTATAAGAATTTAATAATGAGAACGGTAAACAAGCATAAGGAAGCATATTCTTCCTCCTGCTTGGGCAACAAGCTAGCTTATTCTATCAGCCCAAGGAAAGGCCAATTAAAATTTAAATATACGAACCAACAAATAAAGTCATTTATTTGGGGCCTTGGCCTTGAGATATGAGAATCTTATGCTATTTTAATTTGGTTTCTGATGCTTATACAAGTCAATTTACACTAATAATTCTTATAGTTTATTCGAGTTTGAGCTCTTATTTGTGTACTTTTTCTTTTCATTTTTATAATTTTGATTTGTTTTCACTTTTAGTCAAATTCTTCAGCTAAGTTTGTATTCTCTTTTTTTTTTTTCATTTATTTTTGTCACATCTTTTCATTTGTAAACCCCTAATTGAAAGAAAATTTTGCCTAAATTGAAAAAAATGTGCTAATAATAAAATGAAACCATAAATACGAGTATATATAAATACAAATAAGAAAAACTAGAACGACGAAAGTGAAAATCCAAGTAACCTAAATAAGTTATTCTATTGTTTGTCCACCAAACTGGAATGTTGAAAATCATGACTTAGGCTTCTTGTTGTATTGTTTCTAATATTTCTAATCTATAGGAGCAAAAATTCACCAATTAAAACTTTTTGTGCGTATTATTTTAGTTTATAATTATAGGTATCCCAGCCTCCCAGCCCAGCCTTCCTATGAGGACCAACGAAGAAAGGGAATGCTTCTATTTCTAATTTTCAATTACTACGAAAGTCGCATTCATGCCAAGTCAACAATGGCGTCAATACAATCGAATACCAATAGGCATCAATATTACCCAATCTCTGCTCTCAGTGACATTTGTCTGTTCCTTTCTTTTGCAGACACAAACAAAAACTTCATGTGTTTTCTATTCATGTATTAGAATAGTTAGGAAATTGGAAGTTAGGTAGGCAGGCAGATCTTGGCATTGTTCGTAGTTGAGAGTATGTAAAACTACCGCCTCTTCAAAGCTGACCCACTTGTGCTCGGTTTGGCACACCCTTGTATTCGTTAAAACTTTTCACAGAAAGAGAAACTTACACACACTTGTAATACAGACACAATAACATCTCTAGTCGTCCTTGTGTGTTGAGTGTATGTATTAGCTGTTAGTTTCTGACCGTAGCACTTATCATGTGACTGACATGTTTATATGGAAGGAGGTCAAAGCTTTTCTACGTGCGTTGAAGAGCAGAGTGCATTGCAGAAATACAAGTGGAAATGTGTTACGAGGCTTACATCTCGTCTCCCGCCTCGTGCGGTGCTTATTTCAGCACACCTCCATTTGGTTCGATTGTGACTCCTAACCGCTGACTCACGAGTCGCAAATAAGCCCTATTGATTATCAAGCTTTCAAGATCTGGTTTGTCTCCGAAACCAAACCCAGCAAAGTCCTCCATTCTAATTCCTATGGGCACAATTGGGCAATTGGGCAGGCAGCTATGCGCCGTGCCGTGGTATGTAATGTATGGGGTCCTAATTTTCGACACCAATTGCCTTTCTCAATTCTCAACGTCCCCCTAGTCCTAACCACCAGCACAGCACATAGACATAAATTCTCGGGTTGTTTGGTGACCAAAAGAACTAGACTCTTACCTTCGAAAATAGCCATGTTAGGTTATTGAGACACCGCCCCCTTTTTTTTATTGTCATGTCAACATTATGATCCACTTTTATCTGGCTTCATACTCGGTTGTAAATAAAATCACAGGGACTCGTCAAAATACAAAAAATTAGATCATACAACTACAATTATATATATATATATATGTTATATAATCATATGATTTTGGAATTACTACTACTCTTAAGCTCATTTCAAAATTGTATCAGAGGATCAATCATTTCATATCACTTCGTGCTACTGAGTCAGACTTTCCTGTTAAGGGCTCCTCATCAAAGCATCAATCCACAACCCCTATAAATAAATTTCAGGGGACACTACTGGAAAATTGCTTGAAATCCTTCAAATCACTTTGCGTAAAAGGCCACGTTGCAGGGTAAATCCGTCACGACCATTTAAAGTTCATCGTGGCCTTGTGGTTCTTCTTTGTTCAATACGACTAATTTGTGTTGCAGTTCCTGTCACATTTTAATCCCATTAGACATTTCAATGCTAGAGAGCAACAGTAAACATCACTCTTAACAGAACAATACCTTAAGTTTTTCCTCTAAGCAAAGCGCTGGTGTAGAAAACAACGCTACATACCTGTCGCAGGAAGCTGAAAAGTTAGACCCAGGTAATACCGCTACATATCCACAATGAGAAATGAGAAAGTGTGTGTGTGTGTGTGTGTGTGTGTGTGTGAGAGAGAGAGAGAGAGAGAGCTGAGTGTGACTTACTCGCAACGACTTGGTTCGTCAACATCAGCAACCTCATTTTTCAATCCACATCTAAGTCTGACCTGAAGATAAAATAAGACGTGTAAGACTGCATATCAGGATAAAAATTAAACCAATAGTTAGGTGACGTTTGTCTAATTTTCAGTCAAAATATTAATGGGCAGTAATACTGGTTGTTTATGGTGTCTATTAAAATCATAACCCACCATTGTCTTACAAATTAGAATTTACCATTCAATAATCTCATTTCTAGTTCTTCATGGAGACTATAAATGTGTGTTTCATAAATGACAAAATCACAGCATAATATATATATAGAAACGTGATGATAACTACCTTCAAACTTCTATCAGGCCCATTCCAGCACTTATCACCATTTGCAAAGACCATGACTTTGTACGAGTCCTCAAATTTGTCCCAGCTCCTATTTTTCCAAAGATTATATATATATATATAAAAGTAAGAAATTCAAATGCAAGAAACATATGCTCTCTCAGTCTCTCTCCCTCTCTCACACACACACAGAGGTACCTGTGATGGTGACATCATCAGTGTCAGATGCTTGAGTATTTCCTAAGAGAATGCCAACTGAATCTATAATGTTTGCGCCATTATCTACGTCAAGCTGCTGCTCCACACCGGGACGCAGCAAGACATGTTCAATTAGTTGGACTTAAAATCCAATGATCTAACCTTTTCCAAAATGACTTGCCAATTGAAGGCAAGGCCAACAATCTAGAAACTAATTGCAAAGTGGACAATGGACAGCTAAGATGTGGTGCTTGACCTATAGCAAGGATTTCTTAGGAGTTAGGTGGAAGAAGAATAAAAGGTGCTCCACACCCAGAAAAAAGAAACATCTAACCCCCAAATGTTTCATCATTCTATGATTAGTGATAACATGAACGCAAAGACGTATTCCAATTTCGAACCAAAATCAACCCCTTGACAACTTGAGCAAACGCCTAACCCCAAGAGCTAAGAAAATGGTAGATGCATAACTTGATCTTTCTTTCCGTCCACCAAAACAACACCTCCTTTTCTTGTATGACAAACATAGGAATAAAAAGTGGACACCTACCCTAAACGGGTTGTAGAGTGGCCCTCCACCTGGGAAGCTTGTTTATATGGGCATACTTTGTAAACATACCTGAACAGAGAATTTTGCGTGCCCACAGGTCAGATACATCAAACATAAAATTTCCTCCAAAATCAAAACTACAACACCAAGACATTTGAATGCTAAAAAAGTAAGACAAAGTTCGTAACTTATTCTGCTTGCTTTCAAAACAACGATCATAGAATGAGTAGAACTCCTTATCTGGTCCTGTAATATCAAATAAGAGCTCAGTTTAAGAATGCCTAGCAGATAACCAACTATGCCATAAAAAAATTAAAAAAAAAAAAAAACGTACATAGAGATGCAGCTCAATAGATACTAACCAAAATCATGTTTTAGCTTTTTTGTCAAGCTTGATATTCTTGAACTTATCTTAGACAACTTGGCACTGGATTCGTCATACTCCTTGCGTATACTAGCAGCCTCTGAAAAACAGATAAGTACAAAGATCAGAAACATTCATATGTTCTTATTTCTGTAATCAAGCACTTAATAACATCCAATTTTTTTACTGACTACCTGATTGGTTCACTGGAGTTTGGAATAAATTAACAGCCTGTAGAAGGTTCCGCACAGTTTTTTGTATCTTCTCCAACCAAGATGGAGTACTTGAAGTTGTTACATCTGAAAACAGTTATGTAATACATATAAGGAGCACAATAATCCAATGAAACAGCTTGGGTTGTAAAGTGATGAACACAAGTCCACCGAGCAGCTGCATACCTGAAAAGTCTGAATCAGTGTCTGACTCGTATTTGTAAGAAGAATCAGAATCGCCGTGATCCTCCTCTCCAAAATCATTATCTGCCGCCTCCTCCACATCTTCGTCGTCATATTTTTGGTTGTCATCATCAGTTTCTGAAGCATAGCCATCATACTCCTCATGAGTGTCCTCTTTTACAGCATCAACTTCTTCTCCTTCCTTTGTGGTATCTTCACCAGTCCAACGAGAAGCAACACGGCGGCCTAACTCTTCCCTGGACAATGACTCGGTCTTTTCAGATTCATCCTCGCCCTGCAGAAACATAATCAAGCAAAATAAAAAACCTATTAGCTCCTAATAAAAGATACCAGCTGGAACTATAAGAAACACTTGGAAGTTTTTGGCTAGTCGTGATTTAGTTTTAGTTTCACAAGTGAAGAACCCAAAATACAATATCAGATCAACTTTAACACTTCTCACGTTTATATACTACTACAAGCAAAACATAAGATAAAATCCTCGAAGTCCCTTCAAAATATGTATTGTTTTGATGAATATCAACAACTTCAATCTTGTATTTCTGCTTGACTTCATTTTTCTTATATATAAAAGTGTTAACGGAATAGGAGAAGGCCATTTGGTGGCACATGCAAGAAAGAAGTTTCTAATTATTTAGTATTGATACAACACACTTTACACCTTGGAAGTTTGGAACTGCCAAAATGTGTGCCATACCATCACCAGTCTAAACCTTGATGGACTACCTACATGTCTTCATGATAGACCTTTTCCCTTTAAAGAACTTAATAGACGAAAAGGTGTTCATAATTTCGCATAGATCAGGTCACCACACAATGTGAACTCAATAGGTGAAAAGAACTAGTGAAGGATACCTTTCAGCAGACAAATCCATTAATAAGGCAATCAAAGAGTGTGCAGCTATAAGCTATTACCTCATCAGGAGGCACCTTGCTTCCAGAATCAAATTCATTTTCAGATATAGCAACAGGCTCTTCCTTCTGCTTTTCTTCATGCTACATTGAGACAAAAGCAACTTTTATGTCCCGACAAGATATCGCAATCTAACATGAAATGCAAGAACCGAAAGCTTCAACTGGATAGATTTGTCTTTGTCGAAGAATATTATTTCAAAGTCTTGGTTTACCTGTTCTACACTCTCAACCAACGATCCCTTATGTTCAGGAGTATTACTACGATCATCTTTAGCAGCTAAGTCATCATGGTTCTCTGCTGTATCCTATGACAATGCTGTCAATGTGAGAACTAGAAGAAAATAAACTATTTCAACTACCAGTGAGCTGTGGTTATGGTCAAAGACTAATTTCAAGTAACAGAACTTATACTTATTCATAATTTTCGTACATGTACATGCATGATTTCAGTTAAATGAATTCAATCAGCAGAAATCCATTTTTAATGCAGATGAAGAATATGTATCTTAGTTTAAGACACCTATAACCTACATATTTATTTGCAAATTTCTCCAAATAGCACTATAAGAAGAGAACAAAACAGCCCGTGTAAGCAATTAAACTAACCTGAGATGAGTGAGAACCCTCCAAAATCCCAATTTTCTCTTCATACGTACTTTCTGTACGTCTGACTTCACCATCAGAGTTTTCCAAATCCTCACTACTGTCCGGCTTAGCTTCCTCTTCAATTTTGCTTTTCCCTTGGTTAGCTTTCTCTTCGGCTTCTTTTCTCTCCTGCTCTTCTTTTTCTTTCTGTAACCGTTCCTTCTCTTCTGTCTTCTCTATTTGTTCTTTTTGTTCTACACAACAGGTGAGGAGAAAACAAAAACTGTTATGACATTTAACCATTGTATTACCGGATTATAGGAGAGATTTTAAATTATTTACATTTATCAACCTCAGCATCGACACAACAGTCAACGACTCAACATGCCTAGAAATTTAGAAAATGCATAGAGAGGAGAGAAGGGAGAAAAAAAAAAAATCTTACATCCATTATTCAAAAGTGAAAAGCCTTTTCTTTTTAAGAATTTGCCAAAATTATTAAATTCCCACAACAGAAAATATATTGTCTTAGAAGAAGAAGAAATAAGAAAAACTTTGTAAGAATAAGACATGACAAAACAGAAGTACACCTTTTAGCTGGTCAACAAGCTTTTTCAGTATTTTCTCCTCACTTTGCAACTTTGATAGTTCTGCTTCATCTTTGGCCATAGCTATTTTGGCTTGTTCAACTTCCTGCTTTCGTATAGCGACCCCCTCTTGGTAAGTAGAAATCTTCTTTTTGAGCTTATCTCTAGCCACTTTCCCAGCCTCCCAACATGTATTTGGGCACTTTACTTGACCATCATATTCATCACTCCCATCACAGCAGTCTGCAGATTGCAGACAGGGAACAATGAATAACAGATTAAATAAATCAGCCGGGTAAAATAATTGTACGATTTTTATGTTAAGGAATGGAGAACTGGTTTTCTTAAGAGGCAACATATCAATATAATGAGGCTTTTTTCTAAACCTCTCCTTCCCCTTGCCGACTCGCCTTGCAAAAATGAAACGCAAAAATGCTGTCTGTGATGGTGCTCTTAACAAATAACTTGTGCGGCTATTTGTATTGGCACAAACACTTACCGCAAATTCCATCATTCACTCTAGACGAAAATATCAGGAAAGGAGCGTGTCCCACATTCCGACAATAAAATTTTCCAGCTGGGCATGCAGATGTACCTGCAACCCACCAAATCCAAGTTCAACCATGAGCGAAACAGTATATCAAGTCAAGAAACACGTAAAACCACACCAAATTCTAGCAAGAAGTTAATAGAAAGTTGATCGCTCTGAAACAAAATATACATTGAGAGAGAGTCCCATTTGGCTAAAACATTGTATTAAAGTAAGGAACAACCAAATCTACAAGTAAAAATGCGAACAAAAGACCATTTGTTATTAGAATTTGCAATAGCTAGGTAATGGCAACTGATAGAAATTATAGCAATATCAAATGGAAACCTGTACAAATTACAGCAATGGAAAATGGTGGCAAGCAGCTCAAAAATTCAAAAAAAAAAAAATTATATTCAGAAAAAATTTAACAGAAAGGGAAAGAGGAAGGAATGAGTAGTACCAGGCTCGTCGGTGCCGTCAGGGCAATCGCAGAAGTCGTCGTTGAGCTGAGCCCTGCTGAATTTCTTGGATCCATCTTTGCATTTTATCACTTCCGAAGATTTGTAGTATTTCTCATCTGGGAATTCCAAACCCAAACTCAGATTTTAAAATTTGTTGTTTATACATAAAATGAAATAATAATAATAAATTGAGAAGGAGTTGGATGACCTTGGGGGGAGATTCCGAGAAATTGATTCGTGGTGGGAGAAGAAGATGCTGATCCAACAATTGATATTGATATTGATTCGTGGGAGACGGAGAGGACACACAGAACGCACAGCGCCGCCGCAATGAAGCTCCGCTTCACCTTCACCTTCATCTTCTTCCTCGGTTCTCAGTCCTCAGAAGGAAAAGACGATCAGAGAGAAGAACGAGAGAGAGAGTGGCCTTTTCGCTCTCGATTGTCGATTCGATTCAACCAAACCACCACCAAGTTAACGGGAGTTCTTAAGTTTTACCAAGAGTTAAAAACTCTTCATATCGTATGTTAGGGGCAGTCAGGGTACTTTGGGCTATGTATTCTAGTAAAAGAATTCAAGCCCCAATGAACGCTGATCAAGCTATCAAGAAATAAACTTAATGAGAATAAAATATTACACAAGAGAAATTTTGTTAAGGATGAATTTTACATTAATAGACTGAGGGACGGCTTTAAAACATATAGGCAAATTGAAAGTGTGTCAGCAGAAAACTTTTATTTTTCTTTGTTAATGAAAGAAAATTTTCATTTGAAAGTCCTTTTTGAGTAATGTTTGTTACAATGCATTTGTAAAATTCCTCTTTTTTTTTTTTTGAACAAAGCATTTGTATTATTCTTAATAGCAGCTTTGTAGGCTGTAGTCTTTGAGTAAGTTTACAGGTAGATTTATGATTTAGCCACCAAATCCTAATGGCCCTTAGACTTGGTTAAATCAAGTATCATTAGCAAACAACAAAATCGCACCTAAACTCATATGCAGTTTTAGCTCCTATTACAGCGTTGGATTACAATTTACAATGCTACATAGGTACTGATTTTATGCAAGATTTAACCATTACAAAGATTCATTAGACTTTTTTCTAAACCACTTAGTGGTATGTATTGTGAAAGAGTGTGTGCGGCAGCAAAAAGAAAGGGAGAAAGTTGAGTAATTTATGTGATAATGTTTTTCATTATTTGTGTCTTTTTTTAATTTTTTTTTTAATTTTTTTTTTTAAGGACAACTTATGGTAAGTCTTAGTTATCCACCCTCTTTGGGGGCCGAGAAGACTCATATATGCATTTTAGCATCTCCATGGCAAAGTCTGACTTCCACACTAGCAACGGGATTTGAAGGAGACCTTGCAGTCCGCCATTTACCACTGAACCACCAACTCGTGGTTCATTATTTATGTCTTTACTTAACAGTATTGCAAGTACTACAAAAACTAAAAGAGTAAGATCTTTAAATTGAATCTGGATCCTCACCGGATGCTCTTTCTTTGCTACTAAGAAAATATCTCATCTCATGTTTCCCCTTTTTTTTTTTTTTTTGGGTAAACTCATGTTTCCTCTTTTTGTTGGTAAAAAGTTTCTAACTTCAAAGAGTCAAAGACCAAAACCCCTCCTCGCAAAATGGCCGAGCCCCAGGGGAGATACTTTGGTATACGCTATAAAGGGAGAGGCAGTCACGTTATCTAAAATCTCCCACAGCCTGAGCCTCAACAATGGAGGGAAGCTTGCTTCTCAGTCTCGGCTGCTCCTCTTGTTCTCCCCATTTAAAACCTCATTTCTCTTTCTCCTCCTCTTCTTCCTTGCTCTTCGGAAAATCCCACCTTCTGGGTTTAATCCCCAGACCCTTACTCGCCCACAGCACCCTATCACTCCCCTCCCCTCGAACCGCCCTCCGTACTTCGTCCTTCCCTCTCGACCAAGCTCTCGAAAAGCCCAGCAATGGCTCAGCAGATACGTTGCCCAAGATTGATAAGAGTGGCAGATTTTGCAGCCCCAGAGCCGCCAGAGAGCTCGCTCTGTATGTCTCTCTGTCTTATCCTGTCTTTTTAATTACTTATTTATCTTCCTCAGTTACTGCAAACTAAACTAAACCCATGTTTGTTTATTGGAGAAATAGTGAAGGTCAACGAATGATATTCAAACAAAAAGTAGTAATTTTGGGAATTGTTTCATTTCCAGCCTTAACCAAGTTTGTTTTGGCGGGATTTAAACGCAGGTCGATTGTTTATGCTTCTTGTTTAGAGGGTTCTGACCCAATACGTTTATTTGAAAAGCGAATAAATGTCCGTCGAGGTAACTATCCCCTTGTTATAGTCTTAACGTTTGTATATGAAGCATTGAAACGTTCAATATGCTTGTGTTCTGAATTACTCATCACACCTTTTCTATTCCCAGAACCCGGGTATGAATTTGACAGGGCATCATTACTTGAATATAATCCCATGAGCTTCGGAGGACCCCCTGTCACAGTTGAAACCGTTGAGGAAGCAGATGAGCTCCTGCGCAAAGATGAAAAGGAATCTGCAATTGGTATACATGTGACAATTTACACTTCACATGCCTTTCCATTTTAAAGTTGTTTGGATGTGTTAAATATCACCGTGGTCCTTTCTGTACTAATGTGGTTTATATGCAATCATGTTAGTTGTTTGGCTCACACAGTTTGTCCTAGAACTTGTGATGACTGATTCTATAACTTAACGGACTACCCCTCTAATCAAAATTATTGTGCAACTTCAATGCTATAATGACCTTTTCTATAATTTACATGTCCTGTTATTCATAACTTCATCAAAATTTAGTTGATAGTGCTTTTACATTTTGCTCAGTTTTCCACTTTATATGCAACTCCTATTTCCAGTGTAATAGTCTCTGTAATTTTTCGCTTCTCAGAAGCAGAAGTTCTTGCAGCTCCTCCAAAATTGGTATACAGCAAACTGATTTTACGGTAAACCATCTACTCTATTGATCAAAATTTTACTTTGTAACTATTTGATGTAGCAAGTGAAGCATATCATTTTTCTGTTTTTCTTCTCAACATTGTTTATTGAGGGTGACGGGAAGTTGTGGAGAGACCAACTAATTTTGTCTTTCTTTTTGTTACAGATTTACAAGGAAACTTTTGGTTGCAGTCATGGATAAATGGGACAGTCATGTGCTCGTTATTGACAACGTTGCCCCTCCAAATTGGAAGGTTGGGTACACCAATAAGCTTAATACATTTTGTTTGCACATTATCTTTGTTGAGTTTTGTAGCTCCTGAAGTGTATTACTGGTTCGTGCTTCTTGTAATACACTGGGGAGAGAGGGGGGGAGGGGCTTAGGTTGTGCGTTACTTGTTTGTGCATTGACTATCCAGGTTTTATATGCTTTTACTTTTCTGGGTCTTTGTTCTTTCTTTTGGCCTGCTTACATGGGGTCGCTTCCATAATTAATGTGTACACTAATTCTTAATCGGCTCAAGGTATAAACGCAATATAGGCATCGGTGAATAGTTGGTTTCCCCGTCTTTTGGAAAGGACAATTAGTATCTTTATGCAGCCAAAATGAAGCAGGAATTCTGTTCTTTGAAATGAAAAGAAACAAGGAGGTTGATGCACTATGATTGTCCAACCAAGTTATACTATTCATCAGTCTTTCACATGATGGCTTTTGGTCATGGTGCTACTGGTTGTGGGGTGTGTCTGATGTTTGCTCATCGGCTGTTTACCTCAATTCCCCATTTAGGATTTACTTATTGTCTATTCTGCTTTCCAACGTCAGGCAAAAATATGGAGGATGATACCAGGCAGATGTCCATTAAAGGCTTTAGTTACCTAGAGCCGCATCGTATTTTCACGTAGGTATAAATGAACTTATATCTAGTTCCAGATAAGGTGGGAGTATAACACATGCTTTTTGGAGATCGGGGCTTTCTTAATTCAGTCTATGTATGTTTTCATAGCACATGTTTTGTACTTGGGTAGCATTACACCATTAGAAAAAATATCTGTTTCATAAATTGCTCGTCTTCTAAACGAGGCACCAAATCCAGTTCATTGTTTTTTATTTGGGTGAAAAAGGATATTATTACAGAGGTATTGATATTTTACTTCCCATTTTTCTACTAAGTACAAATGTTTTACACCATGTTCATCCGTAATCTTCAGGATGAGCCAGCAGGCAGAATATTGGAGCTTTGCATCCTCCATTTGGCAATGTCAGAAATAACAGTGCTCGAAACAAGACACCCGATTGTCATTAACGAGGTATGATGTTGTTTACTTTCATAACTTGTAAGTATATTTGTTTTGCCATAGTTGCTTGGTTTGATTGAATATGGCATTTTGTGAAGGCCGTAGATCTTGCTAAACGGTTCTGTGATGGATCAGCACCCCGTATTATCAATGGTTGTCTTAGAACATTTGTCAAACAAATTGAAGAAGCTGGTGGTCTAACTCGGGCTTTGCGGTATAAACAGAATGTGGTCACTTGATGAATGAACTTGTCTAGTTTGCACGTTTTCGGACGGTTGTTGGTAGGCTGAAGAAGAGTGTCAGTTTAGGAGTAATGCATTAGTTCGTAGGTGGTGGAAACATTGAAGGGGAACGGAGGCCATCGAGAGTGGCGGGCAAACCAATGTTTTATAAATGATGTACCTGAAAATGTAAGAATTATTCATATTAAGTATATGATAAATGTTGTAATATTCGTATTCAGATATTATATATAGGTTTTTTTAGCCAAAATAGTATCTGAGATTGGCATAACTCCTCACTTTGGTTTTTGAAATTTGAAATTTGAAATCAATAGAAGTAGTTCCTAAGTTTGTGTACCATCAATTATTTTGATCAATTCTTGAAAAATTATCTTAAATAAGAACCAAAAATGACAAAAATATCTCTATTTAATAAATAAACTCAAAAATCGCTTCTATCGATTTTTAATATCAGGACCAAAGTGAGGAGTTATGTCACTATCAATAACTATTTTGGCTAAAAATCCTTATGTATACGATAATGTCAGTAGTAGACTAGTTAAAGTTAAAACGTTTTGTCAAGACACCTTGAGCACCCTTCTGCGCTCCGATGACGATGAGACCCCCTTTTGCGCTCCCATCCAATTTCAAAAACTGGGAAGAATTGCATAATTCAAGAGCTTCATAAATTCAAAATCCCAAACATTAATTCAGAAATTAAAGTCAATAAGCCCCAATACCAACACAAAGTATTTAAGAACTAAGGAGTTATATGAACTTGATTTTTGTTTTTTTTTTTTTTTGAACAATATGAACTTCAAAGTTAAAGGAGAATAAAACTAACAAGTATAACGATGCGCGGAAAATAAGATTTAGCTAAATCTCAATTGCTCGCTCATAAAAAAATGATGGAGTGCAGAGAATCTGCTTATACAAGCACGGCATCTGGAGGCCCAATACTTGCATTTAAGGGCCGAATTAATGTGGGCTGGGATGAGTTGTCCATTGGGTTTTGGCGAGAAATTAGAGAAAAGGGGGTATGAATAGAGAGGACCGCCGCCTCCCCTATCTCGTTTTGGAGTCGTCTAGGGTTTTAGTTGTACCAGACCCTATAAAAGGAGAAGGAAAGCTCCATTCACTTCCAAATCACAGACCGGACTGGTTGCTCTTGCTGGAGGCTGTACCCGCCTTATGCCTCCTACTCCTCCGATTTTCCTTGTTTCTTTGCCTTATGCCTCCTACTCCTCCGATTTTCCTTGTTTCTTTGTTATTTCTCTTTCGGACTTTTATTTTTCTTTAATTTCAAAATTATATATATTTTTTTGTTTCTGCAAATAAATAGTTTGTTTTGGGAGGGAGTATTGATGGATTGAAGGATGTAGAATGATGAAAAAAATCAGACGGATTCCCAATGATAACATTCATTCGTGTCTGTATGATATTAAACCAGCTACTTCTGACTACATCATTCAATCATTCCCCTCCATTTCCTCTTTTTGTGTTTTTAAAGATTTGATTTGAGTGTTACTGTTGTTATTTTAGAATTATTAGGAAGAAATCGTAGGGGAAGGCCGGTGATGTAGATTGGTATTTGCTACTCTTGATGGGAAGGGATCCTTCCCATCTGATGAATCTTATCCACCAAGATCTCTGAGGCCTTTCTTCTCTCTCTGTCTGTCATTGATTTCATGTTGAATCAGTTGAAACAAACAATTCTAAAGGTGTCGGAGCAAAGTTGATTATCCTGGATTGGATTTTGTTTCCGGAATGATTACTAGTTATAGTTGTGAATGTCTGATACAGACATAGCGTCAAAGTAAATTTGGAACAGAGAGTAGGACGACGAGAATAATTTTGACAAACGCTACTGCCATAGTTGAAGAATAGTTACAAAATCCTAAATAAACAACTCAAAATAGATGGAACTTAAATTTGAATCCAATCAAGAAAAGTAAAAATGTCGAGTTAGAATGTGGAAGTTCGTGCCAACCAGTAAAAATGTTGTTGAATCTAGTTTAAGTTTTGAGTTCAACAATCTCGCATACCCTCTCTAATCCAATACTGTCAATTTGGATTTAAGAGGGTTTTAAAGGATTTTTTTTAGTGATAGATTTCAAAGGAAATAGGCTTTATAATTCTTTATAGATTTTAGGAGATTTATATAGATTTTCATTATGATTTTTGTGGATTTGTATGGATTTATTCCATGAATTTTTTAGGAATTTTAAAAAAATTAAAAATCACATGCAGAGCCGACGGATCATTTTTAATGAAATCATGTGGCTGTGACGCAAACAACTCCAATGCTCCAATGTGTGTTCAGTTATGGGTCTCCTCTGTCTAACCTTCATTCAGTCTAGTAGACCGACCACAAGCCGTAAGCTGTAAGCATTATTCACCATGGTACTTCCATTCCCTTTCAATCCCATGCTCACCAGTTTCCTAAACTTCAATGCACACTCTAGCTTCCTGCCCTCCCAACACCCACCAAGCATAACATTAGAAACCACATGTCATTAATTTCCGGCAAGCTCCACTTCCCCACAACAACAATACATATGAATCAACAAGTTCTGCACATGCAGCACAGAGTTCACCCCAAAACTAGAAAGTATAGCTATTGGGAACAAAGCTCGGAACAACGCCTAACTTACTGAGCTTGTGCAAGTTATGTGGGTTTGGGGTAATGGAGATTAGATAATTTTTGGCGATTTGAGGCGATTTTCCATTGAAAATTGGTTTCTTGCGAGGAGAACATGGGAGAAAAAAACTGATTGCAGCAATATGTTAAGAAAATATTGAACCATCGGATCTCAGGTAGGGCAAAAAATGGAGGAAGACTGTTCCTCTTCTGAGGAAAGAGAGAACTCGCCAGAACCCAATAGTTGTTTAAGAGTAGAATTTGAAAAAAAAAAAAAAATTCCATGATAGATGAGAATGAAGACGATGAATTCGAAGTCGAAGAGGACGATGGGATGTTTTCCGAAGAGGAAGGTATCGAAGAAGATGAAGGGGTTGGGAGGTTCCTTTTTGTTTGAGGGCGTGAAAAGAAATCAGATGGGGGGTGGTAGGATTCTTGATAGCATTTGTTATGTATACCATCCACCTTCAAATTCATCAAAATCCCTCTCTCATTCAAATCCTATCAAATTGTTTGCATTCTCACTGACTTTGGATTTAGTTGTATTCTTTAAAATCCTTTTAAATCCTATTTTGACTATACCATAATTTCTAAATCTTTTAAAATTGTAATGGACTACACCTTAATTTTAAAATCTATTAAAATCCTATCAAATCCTATTTTGACTACATCCTTGAAACTCAAATTTTGTAATATTCGTCTGAGGGTATAACCAGCCCATCGAAATTTGTCTTTGCATCGAGATTTTAGTCCAATCTTACCAAAAGAAATGTTATTTAATGAATAAAAATAAGATTTGAGTTTTTAGTATAATAATCTTCAATGCACATACTAGACATAACAATTAATCTTAAAGTTGTGAGTTAAACTATTTCCAATCCACAAACCTCAAAATTGAATTCAATCTTTTCTTTTCCAAAACAAATACTCAAATTTTAAAACTCAAAATGTATAAAACTCATCTGACTTTTTCAGCAAAAGTGAGATCGAGATATTTTAGACTTTTTTTTATTGATTTGTATATTTATATTGTCACCACTAATTCATGTAGATTGTATAGATTGGCCTCGTAAATCTCTGTATAAAATGATGTGTCATTTAGTACTAGGGTCTAGTGATATTAGTGTCATTTAGTGGTGACAATATACATTAATCAACATTTAAGTAAATCTCTGTCATTTAGTAAATCTCTGTATACATTTATTTTTTAAATTAAAAATGACCTTAGTGTCATTTAGTACTAGGGTTTAGTGATATTCTTCTTCGCTAGTAAGTGAGAAGTCTTAGGTTCAATTATCGTCAAAGACAAATTTGAACCAAATTATTGCTAACCAATTGTGAGGCTAAGCCCATCGCCTTTCCTTTGGTATAAATAATATCGTTTATTCAAAAAATGATCTTAGTACCCTCACACCCCACAAACACAAACACTTCACACCAAACAACTTCATTTTGGTGGTGGTATTATTTTGCGTGATATGGAATCCAATGGATTATTGTGTGCTTCATATCATATTGATAGCTTTATGGTTTATACTCATCTGGTGTTTCTGATACTCATTAATACACGATCTTACTTTAGTTCTGGCAATGCCTGAAGATACATGGAAGCTGCTAGACTTACAATGACATTCAAAGGGTGTTGCTAGACATGCTTTTAGAAGCAGAAAAAGAGTTCAAAACTAGGTGGGGCTGATGATAATGGGGAAGCTGCTCCAGCTTTAAACACGCGTTCTAGGTATAACACTAACTGGGTTTTGACATCTTCTTAGTGGATGAAAATTTAGATTGTATTTCCAGCATCTTGAAATTCTGATTTTGGTCGTATGGAGTCATCGTTGTTGTGGAATCCGAAGCGTAATATGGCGGTGAATTTGCACACATTGGTCGGTCGGTCAGTCAGCCAAAGAAAACAAAAACGGAAAAGGAACGTGGCAGATTTCTATAAGAGCAACTCCACCCCTATCCACTTTGCGCCAGCCCCCAGCCCATTTATCCACTTAATTGAACAGTAACAGACTTAATGAACAGTAATAGGCCAAAGCATCTCCACCCCAAAAAAAAAATGTGCTGGCACCTAGTCTAAAAATGCGCTGGCACAAACGATCTCCACCCCTACAAAATGCGCTGGCGCCCAGTCCATTTAAAATATTAAATAATTTTTTTATAAAATAATAAAAAAAATAGTTTTAATTTCGGATATGATTTTTAACCAATCTCGTCACGCCACGTGTCATTATCCGAACGTATTATTTTTTGAATAGATTTCCGCTAAGATTTTCAACCAATCCCGACAACCCACGTGTCACTTCCTGTTTACAATAATTTAGGCAAGATTTCGATAAGATTTTTAACCAATCTCGTCACGCCACGTGTCATTATCCGAACGTACTATTTTTTGAATAGATTTCCGCTAAGATTTTCAACCAATCCCGACAACCCACGTGTCACTTCCTGTTTACAATAATTTAGGCAAGATTTCGATAAGATTTCCAACAAGTAAAGGATGCGTTGAGTTTTTTCCAACGACCTTGAAGACCTTGACTAGATCTGGCATCTTTTCCATGTACATCTTTTCCATGTACATCGTTGAACGATTTCGTAATTTTAATCCACATTTCTCGCTTATCCATCTCATTACCCGTAATCGGGTCATGAGTAGTGCGAACCCAACATTCACACAACGTAACATCTTCACTGAGCTTCCACGAAGTCATTTTTTTCTCTCAAAGTGTACAAAATATTCAAATGTAGAAAGTGTAGAAAGTGTAGAAAATATTGAAATGTGGTGTAAGGTGGAAGATGAGGGTTAGGTATTTATAGAAAAAAAAAATGTATTTTTTAAAATTTTTCTGTATTTTTTTAAAAAAATTTGACATTTTTTTATTATTTTTTAATAAATTTTAATGTTGTAATTAATCGGGACCGTTGGATTTGGAAAATAATCAAATCCAACAGCACTCATTACGCCACGTGGCCAACGGTCAAATTTCTGACCGTTGGGCCTTTTTTTTTTTTTTTTAAATTTTTGGTGAAATAAACGTGGACCGTTGATCTGTGACCGGACGGTCCAATTTAAAATTTAAATTTAAATTTTTTTTACCGTTGGAAATCCAACGGCCTAAAAAACTAGCCGTTGGAAATCCAACGGCTCTGACGAGGCCACGTTGCCTTCACCCGGGCGACCGCAAGTGGGTCTGCACGCGGGCCCCAGCGCCTGTCTTCTTGTCGGCTACTCGCCTGGGCAGCCGCGTGTGTTGCACGCGCCATCAAAACAGGCCGGCTTCTGGGTCTGTCCATTTTGGGCTGGGCAACAGACTGGCACGGGCTGGGTGCCAGTCAAATGTGCGGGCTGGAGCAGAAAAATGTGGTGCCAGTCCATTTTCTTCACTTGGTGCCAGTCCATTTAGCATGGGCTGGAGTTGCTCTAAGGCCTTGACGAAAGGACCATGTCATGGAAGCAATGCCAGATTAGATTCCAATAATGCCCCTCGTAACTGGTTGAAAAAAAGGGGTGGGCAAGAGGGCATTACGGGGAACTACATATAAACAAGTATTAGGGTAAGATGCATTCCAGACCCACACCAACACAGGACGCTCTCCTCCTCTCTTCTTTTTAAGCTTCGGAATACAAAATTCTTGTATAAAAGGGAACCACCATTCAAAGTGTTCCCGCTCCTCCTCCTCTTCCTAAGTTCTAACCCAACTCCTCCTCCTCGATTTCTCGATCTATCGATTGATCTCACGGTCGGATCTCTGCAACCAAAAGGTCCGATTTCTTTGTTCAAACTTTAAACTTTAAACAAAACTATCCTCCTGATATGATTTCTTTTACCCCGTACTTAAATCTTGAAGATGATCCGTCCTTTTCATGTTACTAAACGATAATTAAGAATAATCTTTGCCCCAACTTTAAAAAATTAAAACAAAATAAAAGATACTTAAGAATCATACCCGAAATCCCAGAAACAACTCATCTGATTTTCTCAGGGATGGTAAAAGATTTGTTTACCCATTAACAAAGAACACAAACTCCTATCTTTTTTTATTTATTATATATATTTATGTTGTGTGTGTGGGTAGTTTTGTTTGATCTTCCCCTTTTGTCTCCATGAAAAGGAAAAAGAGAAAGATTTAACCTTTTTTGTTAATAAGAAAATTGATGTTTGGGTATTATTGGGATGAGAAAATTGATTTTCCCTTGGTTTGTTTTGATCGGGGTCTCATATGGGATCCATATGAGTATCATCAGAGTATGTATGTATGTATGTATGTATGTATGTATGCATGTATGTGTGATGGATGGATGGATGGCTGGATGGTTGGATATATGTATCAAACTGGCTTGGTTGGCTTGTATAATATAGTTTGTATGATTGTGTGATGGATGGTGTATAATATGTAGAATGGAGGCGCAAGGTCTCAATCAGTACCAAGTCGATAAAACAAAGGGAATGGCAGAAGAAGGAAGCCATCCAGTAGTAGGTCTGAGCAAGCACCCTTCTGGGATTGTCCCTACTCTCCAGTGAGTTGTTTCTTTCCACCTCATCAAACTCTCATAATTCAATTAACACAAGCCATTTGCTTTCACTTGCAATCAGTTATTGTAACTTGTCATGTAGTCAAGCCACCAGTTTGTGCTGCGTCCTCATCCAGTAATATGTTGAATTATTATGTTGGCTGTGCATGATTAAATGACCGATTGCGATAAATTTGCAAATTTATTTTGGCTGTTGTTCGTCGTTTCTCTGTTTAACTCATCTTTCTCCGTCACCGCACTTGCTTGTACCTTTGTTTCATGTTAGCACGTTTTATGTGATTACCTGTGCTGTCCATGTGGATATTCATCCATGGAACCATTGAATTCAAGTTACATGATTGGGCTTACTGTATGCCAATTATTAATGATAGATTTGTTGATACTGATGCAAATATTTATTAATCTAGACATGGCAAAAATTTATCTGTAGTTATATATTTTCTGAAACTCTGATCGCTTTTCTTGATTTACTTCGTGCGCTTAACAAGTTTTTGTCTGTGCTCTCAGGAACATTGTCTCCACAGTCAATCTGGATTGCAAATTGGATCTTAAAGCCATTGCATTGAAAGCTCGTAATTCTGAATACAACCCAAAGGCATGTGATGTTTAGATCATAGCTTCCCCCGCTCTCTTCTCCTCTATTTTTTTTACCTTTCTTTTGTTCAAGAGCTATAATATTTTTTATGCAATGGATCCCTTTTGCGGAAGCCTTTGTTTAACAAGTACATTGACGTTTGGGTAGTTTGTTGTTCCCTAGGTCTGTGTAGAAACAGATTTTACTGTTTAGATGGAGCGCAATTCTGTTCCAATTTTATATATTTAGATGCTAGAGTTGCTACGATATCTATTTATATATGTCTACATAATCGGTTTTCCTTGTTCAAACTTCAAAGTCATCTTTATATTGCACACTAATTCTGTTGTACCCTTGCAGCGTTTTGCAGCTGTGATCATGAGAATAAGAGAGCCGAAGACCACTGCCTTGATATTTGCATCCGGTAAAATGGTAAGTCTCAATTTCCAACCAAGGATCTTGTTCCCTCCCTTTTTCTGTTTTTCATTGACTTCTATAGATTTCTGCATCTTATGCTTTGATTTCTAATCATTTCAAATGATTAATAGATGAGGGTTTGTTTTATTTATGGTCTCCCTCTCCCTCTCCCTCTCTACCCTTTTGTAATAGGTAAAAATTCTGTAATGATTTCAAATATACCAAAAACCTCTCGTCTGTTTCTTATATCCTTAGCTGTGGCAGCATTGGTAGTTGATGCATCTCTCTTCCCTTTTCAAATCATGCTAATGAGTCCTTCACACTCATGTTAATGCTGGCGCATTATTGTTGTGGTATAGGTTTGTACGGGAGCTAAGAGTGAAGAACAATCGAGATTGGCAGCACGAAAGGTATTCTTATTCCTTTCCACAGTTACCATGTACATTTATATATGGGGGTAGTTTTGGATGTCCCATTGTCCATATTCTGGCTTCTGTTTGAAGTTTTATCCAAAAAAGGAAGAAGCCATTTTGGTGTTTTCGTTTAAACCATGCAGCTCTAACACATGCAAATATCCCTTCGGTAGATTTTAAATATGGTGTAACATGCTGTATGTACACAATCTTACATGACCCTCTTTGTTCTTCAGTATGCTCGAGTCATCCAGAAACTCGGTTTTCCAGCTAAGTTCAAAGTACTCTCTCTCTCTCTTTCTCGTCTCTCAAACACGCACATGCTTTATGCTGTGCACTATCACTTATTAAGTTTTTAATCTGGCTTCAATTTGTGGTGCAGGATTTCAAAATCCAAAATATAGTTGGTTCTTGTGATGTAAAATTCCCCATAAGACTTGAAGCCTTGGTAGTATCCCATTGTGCTTTCTCCAGCGTGAGTTTTCTGGCTTCAGCTTTGCGTCTGTTTTAGCAATCATATTAAAACTGAATATCTTTGAACAAGGTTTCTTATTGTTGAGGGTCCAAAGTTTCAGGAAAGGGTTTGTGCTGGAAACCGGATAAAAACTAAATTTACTGGACGTAACGTTAATAGTTTACTTCAGCCTATGCATCTCTCGCATTTGGTAACTAATGACATGCATCTTAAGTTTGTCAAACACAGTTTCTACTTTCTACTTTTCATCATTCTACCTATTGTTGTTTGAGCATGAGGAAGCTGGTAGATTAATCTAGTAGGAAATTTCTTCTGGAAACAAATTTTTGTGCTGCTAATTCGGAAAAATTCCAGTTAATCATCTGAAAGCGTTTCTGTTGTGGTGGCCAGTATGAACCAGAAATTTTTCCAGGCTTGATATATCGAATGAAACAACCGAAGATTGTGCTTCTCATCTTTGTGTCTGGAAAAATTGTCCTGACAGGAGCGAAGGTGATAGTTTCACAATGCTTGTTTTGATGTATGAGTTTTCGGTTTTATATTTTATTATGTTTGTACATTATCTGGAGACCATTGTCATTTCGATGATTCAGGCAAGAACCGAGACGTATGAAGCCTTTGAGAACATTTACCCAGTTCTTACAGGATTCAGGAAAAATCAACATTGGTATGAAGTTTAATTATTTAATTATGTTCAAATTCCAATCAAATTTCCGGTACAAACACCAATTATGCTTTTATAACTAATGTCGTTTCATCTTCAAATTGACGGCAGACTGTTTCTGGGTAAGCACAAATCATATTCTTGGGGCTGAATGCTGCGGAAATTGGGCAACTTGCCTGGGTTGAATTGTTGATAAGAAGATTGCGCATTGTTGGAGTAGCTGATTATAGAAATTATAGCTTTAATTTGTAATGTATATTTCATGAATTGCAATGTACAATGGTTCGGGTATATATAAGGAAGAAGACTAAGAAAAACAAAAAAACATTCCCCTTAAAACAAGGAATAAAACAAGGAATAAAACATTCCTTAAAACATGGAATAAAACATTCCTTAAAACATTCCTTAAAACAGGAATAAAACATTCCTTAAAACATGGAACTCATTATTTTCAACACTCCCCCTCAAGCTGGATCGAGGAGGTTCACTGAGCCAAGCTTGCCCAATAACCGATGAAATTGAGATGATGCTAGTGCCTTTGTAAAAAGATCTGCTAGTTGATCATGGCTTCGTGTGAACATGGTCCGGATGATTTGCGTTTGAACTTGAGCTCTGATGAAATGACAATCCACTTCAATATGTTTGGTTCTTTCATGGAACACAGGATTGGCAGCAATGTGCATGGCTGCCTGATTATCACACATAAGCGTCATAGGAGTAGAACTAGGAAACCCTAAGTCTGAAAGAAGCCCTTTAAGCCAAATGAGTTCACAAGCAGTGGCTGCCATGGCTCGATACTCAGCCTCTGCGCTGGAACGAGCAATTACCTGTTGCTTCTTACTCTTCCATGTGACAAGGTTTCCACCAACAAATGTGCAATAGCCTGTGATTGATTTCCTATCAATTGCATTACCTGCCCAGTCTGCATCTGTGTAGCCACTAATGACAGTGGACTGATTGTTATGCATTGTAATTCCTTGCCCAATTGAACCCTTAAGATAACGAAGGATTCTCTTAACAAGGTTAAGGTGATCAACAGTGGGAGAGTGCATGAACTGACTAGCCAAGCTCACTGCATATGTGATATCTGGACGAGTGATAGTGAGGTATATGAGCTTGCCTACTAATCGTTGATAGTAGCTTACATCATGCATGGCTTCTCCATCTATGCTGAGCTTCAGTTTACAATCAACAGGAGTGATAGCAGGCTTGCAGTCAAGCATTTTTGCTTCTTGAAGGAGGTCCAATACATATTTCCGTTGATGTAGAAACAGTCCTTTTGAAGATGTTGCCATTTCGATCCCCAAAAAATACTTTAACCTTCCCAAATCCTTGATAGCGAAAACTTGATGTAGTGAGAGTTTTAGTGCCTCAATCTCCACGGTATTATCTCCAGTGATGATAAGATCATCAACATAGATGAGGACCACCAACTTCCCTTTGGTGCCAGTTCTTACAAATAGTGAAGAATCAGCATTACTTCGCATGAATCCAGCCTTTTCCAGAATAGAACTGAGCTTGGCATACCAAGCTCTTGGTGATTGTTTCAATCCGTATATTGCCTTATGCAATTTACAAACCATGTTGCCTTTAATACCATCATAGCCTGGAGGAGGTTGCATATACACTTCTTCCTGCAGCTCGCCGTGAAGGAAAACATTCTTCACGTCCATTTGGTAGAGTGACCACCCACAATTGATTGCAACTGACAGTAAAACCCTGACTGAGTTCATCTTGGCCACCGGTGCAAATGTTTCCTTATAATCTACACCAAAGGTTTGGGTGAAACCTCGAGCAACAAGTCTAGCCTTGTGTCTCTCGATAGATCCATCAGCTTTGAATTTAGTCTTGTAAATCCAAGGACTTCCAACAGCCTTCTTTCCTGGTGGTAGTTGAACTAGGCTCCAGGTGCAATTCTCTTCCAGTGCACGAAGCTCTTCTTTCATGGCTTGGTTCCATTGTGGGAGAAGAAAAGCTTCTTGAAAGCTTCTTGGTTCATAGTGCTTATCAATTTCACTGAGAAATGTAGCATGAGATGTTGAGAACTTACTAAAGCTGATACATTCATTGATTGGATGTCGTGAGGCATATGTAACATAGTCCTGCAACCTAACTGGAGGTTTTCTGATTCGAGGAGGATTTCTTTTAATCACCTGAGACTCTGTAGAGGGCGGAGAATGATCAGAGTAGGGCTCGTCTTCACTCTCACTGGCAGTAATTTGGTCAGTTTGAACTTCTTCACAATCTGGACTTACACTGACTGATCTATTTTCCAACATCGGATAATTAAAGTTTTGAGGAAGTGGGAACATGTCAACTAAATCCTCCCCCTGACTTGTAAAATAGGGATAGTCTTCTTCGAACTTCACATCTCTTGAAACTGTGCACTTCTTAGTGACTGGATTGAAGCACTTGTATCCCTTTTGAGTGGTCGAGTATCCCATAAACACACACTTGGCTGCCCTGGCATCTAGTTTGTCACGGTTCAAGGTTTGGATGTGAACAAAACACACACAACCAAACACCTTGAGATGTGTCAAATCTATTTTCCTCCCCTTAAGAACTTCATATGGAGATTTAAACCCTAGCACACGACTTGGAAGTCGATTGATGAGATAAGTGGCAGTAAGGATGGCAAACGACCAAAATTTCTTTGGAACGTGCATGTGAACCATGAGAGCACGAGTTTTTTCCAAGAGATCTCTATTTTTCCTCTCGGCTACTCCATTTTGTTGGGGAGTCCCCACACAGCTGGTTTGATGTATGATACCCTGAGAACTTATGTATTGAAGCATATTGTTGGATAGAAATTCAGTGCCATTATCTGACCTTAAAACCTTAATGTTTGATTGAAATTGCGTTTTAACATGCATGTGAAAGTCTTTGAAAATGGTAGGGACTTCACTTTTTGATTTCATAAGATATAGAAAACTTGTTCGAGAGAAATCATCAACAAATAGAACAAAATATTTAAAACCTTCCATTGATTCAGTTGCAGGTCCCCATACATCGGTGTGTACCATTTCAAAAGGTTTACTTGTCCTAGACATTGAATTACCAAAAGGTAGCCTAGTAAACTTAGAAAATTGACAAGTATCACAAGTAGGATAAGGGTTACAAAAATTTGGAAACAGTTTCGACAAGACAAGTTCAGAGGGGTGAGCTAATCTCCTATGCCAAAGTTGGTTTTCATCTATGGACTTTGATTGAGCTTGAAGAGCCTGAGTGAAACATGCATTCTTGCACAGGTAGTAAAGGCCATTTATGAAGACCCCTTCACCAATCATCTTCATGGTGAGAACATCCTGAAACATCACTTTATTTGGTGAGAAAATAGCACGGCAGTTTAGGGTGTTGGTGATCTTTCCAATTGACAAAAGTTGAAAAGGAAAGGTTGGTACATAGAGGGCAGTGGAAGGTGTTTTTTGAGAGAGTAAGTTTATTTCTCCTTTTCCCAAAACTAAGACATTTTTTCCATTTGCAACAGACACATGTGAGGGGCTTGAAAATTTTTTAAAATGATGTAAATTTGTAACTTTGTTTGTCATATGATCTGTGGCGCCTGAATCAATTATCCAACAATCAGTTTCAGTACTAGTTAATAGGGCAGTAGTAAAGGCTTTGAGTATACCTGATGCTTCTCCCTTTGGAACTTTCTCATTTCCAGCAAGAAATCCGGCAAATTGTCCCAACATAGCTGTGTGACTACCCTCTTCATTGCCTTGACCATGTGAGCCTCCTCCGTGCCCCTTACTTTGTAGGTAAGCTGCAAATTCATTGATCAATGACAATGGATTGGCAGTGAACTCCATGGATCCTTGTGAGATAGTAGGAGCTTGAGCATTAGCAAGTTTTGCCTTGAAATGAGGTTGAAATTGTTGTGAGGACCTTGGTATCATCCTTCCATCTTTGCTGAACTTAGGCTTGAGTTCAGGATGAAGTTCCCAACACTTGTCTTCCTCATGACCAACACCATTGCAATATTTGCATTTTAGATGTGTGTTTCTTCCCTTGTATACCTTGGCTTCTGAGTTCTTGTAATTTGATGCATATGCCCGAGTCTCCGTTAATCTAGGATTGTGATCAACATTCATAACCTTCTTCCTTGCTTCTTCTCGTTGGATAGTTGCACAAACATTGTTGAAGGTAGGCAGATCTTGACTCATCAAGATGTGACTCCTTAGGTCCTCGTACTCAGAGCTCAGACTCCCTAACAGCTGATAAATTTTGTCTTCCTCAGCTCGTTTTAGGAGAATGGTAGGATCTGTGGTATGAGGGAGATATACATCCAACTCATTCCACATGGCTTTGAGACTCCCAAGGTGTTGAACAAATGCTTTCCCTTCTTGTTGAGCACTGGCAATGTCCTTCTTTAATTGGAAGACCCGTGCATAGTTGTTTTGATTTCCATACATATCCTGCAAAGCTTTCCAAAGATCATGGGCGGAATTGGAGTAGCTAAAAATTTCAGCAACATGTTTCTCCATGGTGTTGAGCAGCAAGGACATGACAAGTTGATCTTTGCAGAGCCATGCATTGTATGTAGAGGAAGAACGATCTGGATCTTCCACGCTTCCATTTACAAACCCTAACTTCCCTTTGCCTCCGAGAGCTAGTGAAACAGCTCGGGACCAAGGAAGATAATTGAACTCGTTCAAGAGAACTGAACATAAACGTTGATTGGTGTTAACCTCAACGTCTGAGGAGTTTGGAGAGAGATTGTGCCGGGTTTCCTTATCATGGTTGACAGAACTTTCTTCAGTCATGGCTTAGACTTTGAAAGAAAGAAAAAATCGCAGCAGCAAGAATTGTAGAGACAGGTTACAAATGAACCTGCTCTGATACCATATAGAAATTATAGCTTTAATTTGTAATGTATATTTCATGAATTGCAATGTACAATGGTTCGGGTATATATAAGGAAGAAGACTAAGAAAAACAAAAAAACATTCCCCTTAAAACAAGGAATAAAACATTCCTTAAAACATGGAATAAAACATTCCTTAAAACATTCCTTAAAACAGGAATAAAACATTCCTTAAAACATGGAACTCATTATTTTCAACACTGATGAATATAAATTTTGACTCTTGGTTCTGTCTTTTGTTTAGTTGAGTGATGTGATGTTACCTTTAACAAAATGCAAGTAAACAAGTAGTTTTTAACACAAATCTCTCTCTCTCGCTGTGCTGGTTTCTTTTACACACTGATACTGGTTTTGATTGATGAAGAACTGAAACGTTTATTTCCTCCATCATGTGTAAGACTGGATGATAATGGGCTCATTACACTAGAAATTTACGGTTGATTTGATTGCATCCAATATCTGCATCCAAGGAAGAAAAAGAGAGAAGTTTACATAAGCACAGAGCCAGTATCAAAAGCAAAAGCCATTTTGGAAACATCTCGAATGACTAACCTTGTTTTTGGTGGGCATATAAAAGGGCTCGAAGATGAGAGGGAAGGGGGTATCCAAACCGCATACTCTTGCAACAGGTGCTTCTAACTACACAACAGTTCAAAGATAAAGTTATCAGCTCCCTCCACAACCTTAGCAAAAGTTAACCACCGAAACATCTAAACAGAAAAAATAAAGGCGCGAGAGTACCCTTAGGAAGCAGCGTTCAATAATTGAAGCGGATATTTCAGCACCAAATCCTCCAGTAACTGGCGCTTCATGACTTATCTACAAAAAAGGGCATTCGATTCGTCACCAAGAGTGCACCAACTGATTTTCATCAAGTGTCCCCTGTAAACAGATACCATACTTACAAGAAGCCTTCCTGTCTTTCTGACAGAGGCCTCCACTGTATCCTTGTCCCACGGTAAAAGAGTTCGCAGGTCTATCAGTTCGCAAGAAATTCCATCCTGAAAATTCTCACTAGTCATTTAGCATTCATTTTGCCTATAAGGATGAGATAATTGTAACCTTGACAATTACATGAACCTTCACCGCATAAAATAGACAACACCAAATCAAATGTAGTGATTATACAGAGCAGAAAGGGAATAATATTTTCTAGCAGTCGGAAAAAACATACTTTTTCGGCTTCTTTACAGGCCTGTTCCATTACAGATAACTGAGCTCCCCAACCAACAAGCGTTATATCAGTGCCCTCTCGAATTACCTGCGTATCGCAGTTCCAATTTTCAAGTATGAAGTTCCATCAATTATATCAAAACCATGACCGCAAGTCTCATTCTTTTTTTCAAACATTAGAAACTTGGACTACAATGGAACTAGGCGGGTAGTGTGTACCTCTGCCTCTGATAAAGGCAACATGTAATCATGCTCAGGAACCTCTTCTACTGATAATCTGTATAACCACTGAAGCCCAGGTTGTTTTTGTAAAATTTCAGATCAAAATTTTTTGTCAAATTAATTTTATTTGCTAATGGAAAATTAATTTATTCTGTAACCAAAACTAACCTACCTTTGGTTCAAAAAACACAACAGGATTTGGATCACGTATGCACGACAGCAATAAGCCTTTTGCTTGGAATGGACTTCGAGGGATGACCACCTATACGAATTTTTAGTACTCTTTAGATATCAAGTTTGTAGTACTCGTTCAAAGAAAGGATCGCAAAAATGCAGCAAGGGTTTGTGGGGGAAAAAATCACAAAGTGATTGAATGGAAGAAAACATACTTTGAGACCAGGGGCATGACAGAAGAAAGCTTCAGGAGATTGAGAGTGATAATGTCCACCGTGGCCGACAGCTCCATAGGGGGCTCTTATTGTTAAACCTAGTGAGTAATAAAAAAAACCTCATAATGCGCAAATAACATGTGGGAAGAAAAAAGTACGGTTCCCAAACGATCAAGAAAAGGAAGTTTCACCTCCACAATTAAATTGATTTCCACTTCGGTATCTGAACTTTGCAGCTTCGTTGACAATCTACAAAGTGAGATTCACGCAATTAATTATCATTTTTCATTTGTGAGGCTATGAGGCTATGACTGAACTCAGCACTGAAAGGAATTGGGATGCATGCCTGATCAAAAGCTGGAAAAATATAATCTGCGAATTGGATTTCTGCTACAGCTCGATTACCCTATCAAGTCAGATGAAAACAAATGTGGTGAGGCTCGTGCCTATAAGATAAGATAAAGAACTGAAGGTAAAATTTGAATGGAGGTACGTATGATTGTAAAGGTCACGTGTAAGACTAAACCTTCAAACTTACCATAGCTGCTAGACCAATGCCAAATCCTACAATGCCCTGGGTGTAAAGACAAAAAGGGTTATCAAGTTGACAGAAGACATATTTAACGTAGTGGAAGGGAGGGATACATGGTAAATTGGTACAACGGAAGACATAAAGCCCGCCGGGTACCTGTTCACAAAGAGGGGTATTAAAAACCCTTTGATTACCGAAGCGATCAGCTAAGCCTGTTGTGCAGCGGAAGACCCCACCAAAGCTCACATCTTCTCCAAATACATAAGAACTGAGAGTGAAAAGAAAAAATGAGTTAAGTGATTAACCCATATGCTAGGCTAGGCGGCGCATAAGAACAATGAGGTAACAGATCAATCCAAAATCACACTGGTGGGTGCTTCGAAATCTGGCATGAACATCTGTAAAATTCAAGCTGTAAATTTTACTGAATTTGATATTTTTCAGCAAAGTCAGTCGAAGTTGCAAAACTCGTGGATGATGATATATATAATTGTTTACAGTGGAGTCGATAGACCGAAAGCAAGATTACCATCTGATCTAAGAGATAAGATCACATCACAATCACATACGATTCAATTAACGAGAATAGTTGAATGAATGCAGAGCAAACCCAATTCAGAAAACGATTAAAAACACCGCAGATCGAATTCAGTCCAAATTATGAAGCAAGCAAGCAGATACAACAGGTAGAATTGAAGAAAGAAAGTGCTGACCGAGGATCAGTTTCCAAGGCGATGTGGAGCGCTTGGTTGATGGCAGAGTAGAGGTTCAATGATTTGCTACCCGTGCCACGAACAATTGTTCCATCACCGGCGGCGGTGGAGGAGGAAGAGTAAGTGGAGGTTGCAAATGGCCTTCTCCTGGCAACTCCAAGCCCTTTAACCAATCCTCCAAATCTGCTCAGCCCCATTTAATCACTGAAAACAGACGGCAAGCGAGCTCAATCTCTTAGAACGGAAGACTCAGACGAAAAACTAAAACTTGATGATGATCTTATCTCATTCTCTTCACTATCACTAATCACGCAATTGCAATTTTTGGTAGCTAAGATTTCATTTGGTGTTATTATTTTATTTATTTTTACTGATAAATTGGAGTGAATCCATCCACAGTACACGTGTTCAGTCAGTCTTTCATAGTACAGTCTGAACTTTCAAGTACCAACTTAAATTTTGAAGGTAAAATGTCTTTTTATGCCGTATTTCATAACCACCATAAAAGTGATCTTTCTAGTATTTTTCTTGCTATGTTATGTCGCAACACATAACTATAAGTGTGCAGCAATTTTTAATTTTGTAGTTTTGATGATTTATTTTTATATATTTGCTCAATCATGATTGTCAAAAATTAGAAAGGAAATGATGGATGCAATTACGAGGATGACGGTTACTGCAGTGGTGAAAAACATTCATATCTAATATACATCCTAGTGCGGGTTCAATCCTCACTAATCGATTTCCCTCCTCTCTAAAAATTAACTAATTATTTAACACACTAACACTACTCAAAAGAAAGGAAATGATTGATACAAAAACCAATATTAGAGGTGCATGTAAGAACGTGAAATCATTAGGCTAGAGATGCCAATGTGATCATCCAAGTGAAACAGTACATTCCAGACATGCTAGAAGTCAAGTGGTCAATTCTGAATTAATCTCTCAAACTTTTAAGAATGTAAGTTACAAACTTAACCATCGAATGTGTTGGATTTATTTAATGCAATTATTAATTAAAAGTCATCCACCCAAATGTGGAGATGGATTATGCTAATATCTCTTGGTAATACCTTTTATTGTTATTAATAGATATTCTCTTAGGGGGCGTTTGTTGCACCGGACTATCTCGGACTGGATTAGCTTCAAGGACTAAGCTGGACTGGCTTAGACTAGACTAAACTGGACTAACTTAGTAAAGCGTTTGGTGCAGTATTGGACTAAGAAGCTGGGTAATAACAAATTCTAATATTATATTATTTAATATATAAATTATTAATATTTTATTATGATCTTATCTTTTTCTTCATCTTTTCCTACCATTTCCATCCCACTCTTTTCCTCTTCTCTCATCGTCCCAACCTCTCCCTCTTTTTTTCCTCTTAGACCTCTCAATTCATGTCTCTTTCTCATTCCTGGTCAAACTCCTTATTGATTCCGGTCTCTATTTCTCTGTCCTCCCTCCCTCTCTAGCTATGCGTTATTTGAATGGAACCTGACGACTCCAATTTTCCCGACGAGTTGCAGGTTTCCTGATGTGTTTTCCAGCCAACCCTATTAAATTGGATGAAGTTAGCATCGCCAAAAAATTCTTCACCATCCCTGGACCGAGATCTTAGCTTTGAATGCTCGAATCTGTCATGGATTTGAAGAAGCCCAAACAGGTCGAGACTTCCAGGCCATTTTCCAGCCATATTCGACCACATTTTGGCCTCGATTCAGGTAAAATCATAATCTTGTCACTCCTAACTTCAATTTGGTATATTTTATATGAAAGTTGGTTGTGAAATGGATCTAAAAGAGAGTCGGAAAGTTAATGATTGATCTAAGTGACCGGAGATGACGAGGAGTCTGTCGGGAGTGGTCTTGAGCATGATGAGGACGAGAAAGAGAAGATAGTCTTAGCTAGTCCCATGGTTATTGGGGGGTCTCGCTAAGACCTCTTAGTGAAGGGTTTTGTCCATGCTAGTCCCCTTTAGTTTCATTAATGTTAGTCCCAGCATAGAACAAACACAGTATTAGACTAATAGCTAGTCCAGTCCAACTTAATGAGGGCAAACAAACGCCCCCTTATGGAATATGCTTGGCATAGTAGGCTAGGGTTCGCCTCCCAGTTTTCACTCTAACCCTAGCTAAATAGTGGTCTTAAGGAGAGGGTTTAAGCAGTCTGTACAGCAGCCATTCCATACCCTCATAGCCAAAATTCCTAGAGAAATTTCTCCCTCACACCCTTCACACAAATCTCTCCCTATAGTTTGGTTCTACAAAACTAGATTTGATCCTTGCGCTAGAGCACATGGTACGTAGGCAATTTAGCCAGGCTAACAAAGAAGTCTAGTAAGAACGAGATGGTGGTCAGAAATTCGTCAATTCCGCTAGGTATAACCTAAACGAATTCTATATATTATTGCACATATTTCCAACATAATGAATTTTGAGGTTTTTAGCCCAGGAGTCTGAACTTACGTTTATATATTTTGATCTCTTTACTTTGCCGTGCTTTCTCCTATATCTATAAACAACTGCCAGATGACAGCACCTATGGTGTTAAAAGACTATTGGCTACAATTGGATCAGAGAAGGCGCGGTGGTTGGCAAACCAATTACAAGATGGAAATAGGAAAGATCCAAATCCCGCTCGATTAGCCTTCAATTACAAGTGAAGATTACATACGCTATAAGAATACTAAAGCGACAAGGACTAGTAACACACTCCTAACCCTAGGAGGGATTGGATCCCAAAAGAGGATTATGTATACCACCATATGGAACCCGGCCTATGTCTATCGAAGTACTACTCCTCCACACTCATATGAACTTATTATGGAAAGACAGATATATCATGACAAAGCGTTCATGGTCTGATCTTCGCATTGAACTCCTAAGCCTAGTGGCTCAACGTCTCTCCTTTTTTGACCTGGTTCGCTTCGGTGTGGTATGTAAGAGTTGGCGGCAAGCTGTTCTAGATGGGGTTCTCGGTCGACCTGTAAATGATATGCCATGGTGCATGAATTATGCTTGGTTTGAGCATGAAAGAAAAATCATAAGCATACTGGAGCTCTCTGATTTAATGGCAAAACAAACCTACTCCGTCGGACAAATCATAAGAGAAGAAGCGAGAGAATTGTTCGTTGGTGCGAAAGTTTGTGCGTCGAAAAAGGGTTGGTTGCTTCTCTCTAAGAAACGTACAGGGCATTCATTTATCTTCTTTTTCTATAGTCCTTTCTGTAATAGGATTATAGAACTGCCACCATTGGAGTCGAAATGTGGGATTTATGAACATGCCGCCACATTCACGAAGGTTCCAACTTCTCGTGATGGTTGTCATGTTTATGTCGTATTCGGATGCGATGACAGCATAAGATCATGCAACCTCAGGAATCGAACATGGAGTACTATCTCCATACCTAATAATCTCTGTCACAGACGAATATATGATCTGGTATATTTTGGTGGAATCTTACTTTGTAATTTTCGATCAAGTTATTTGGGTGCGTTCACTACCGAGCTTCAAGTCTGGGAGATGATGGACTTGTTCCCCTTCCTAAAGACGCCGTCGCTGCAAAGACAAGAGTGGGACTCGCCCTCTAAATCTTACTTGGTTGAAGAGTCCGACGGGAAACTCTACTGGTTAGTATGTGTATATTGGTGGCATGCCTTCAATTTGATCGGTCAAACAATAAGTGGGCTAGGGTCAGCTATGGAGAAGTGTTTAAAAAACGAACGGTGTTTTACGGGTGCCCATTGTGAATTTCAACAGGTCCCCTTGTGGGAGAAGCAAGTGATGAATTTGCAGGCAAGACTTTCTATAAAACGGAGATTGACATCCTAGGTGAGAGATGTATAAAGTTCCAAAACAAATCCCAAGTGAAATGGGATTTTGAACTCTTGTGGAAGGAAAAGGAAAATTTGCTAAGGGCGGCTATGATTCAACTTCCGGATTCCATTGAGGACAACAAATGAAGGTTCAACAAATTTTTTTTTTTTTGGTGGTATAGCAATATTCTAAACTACTTTCAACGAAATGAAAATTCAAACTTTTATGCAAAAGAATACGTATAAAACGAATATCTCACATCTTCTTTACAATGCAAGCAATATGTAACTATAAATGTAATATATCCGTTTCATGCTAACATAAACTTTTTCTCGACTAAGTTAATAAACTTCCTAGTGTGTATTGTGTTTGATTATGTGTGTGACTTCAAAGTTCAATGGCAAAGGGAGAGAATGTCTGAGACACAAGTTAGCATAGAAAGGAAAGGGGGTGCTTGGGAATGTTTAGAGGTATGGGATATGAGAACAAAGGAGGGGGACAAAAGTGAGGGTCTTCACTCTTCTGTCGTGATTTGAAGTCTAAAGTGAAAAAGCAATCTGAGTATGTCTGACCATGTCCATACTTATTGTTCGGGATTTGAAATTTTTCTTGAACTTCTTCTTTTCCGTACGTTCGATTTTTCTGTGTTTTGTGCACGTAAATTTTCCCAACATATTATCTTGTATTCGGGCAGTTTACATTCTTGCCAACTCCACGCGTGAGGTGTGCATTAGTCAATACAACATGCATCTATCACAGTTTGGACACAAGCTTAGGTCAATAAGGCCTCGTTTGGCACACCGTATAAAGCATCGGATAGTACTAATTATACGGAGTACGGTGTTTGGTGTCCATTCATATTAAATAGCCATCGGATTAAATAATCCGACCCACCTATATTATCCGGTGAATACCCGCTTCCTTATACTCTCCAAAACCACAAGACAATTTAGTCGGGGCTCTCTCCCTCCCTCTGTTCTTCTTCTTCGTTTCCCCTCTCTCTCTTCTTCTTCCCAGCCGCTCTCTCTGCTTTCAAAAACCAACCACACTCCCTCCATTTTCCCAATCAAAACTCCCCAAAATTCCAAGTAGCTTCAAAGAAACCAAAGAATCTCATAAATCCTAAAACCTAATTCCTCCGCCAGCCACCATGAACCACCACCACCACCAAGTTCCATCCAACCACCCAGAACAAGACTTTTCTTTCCCTACATCTTCTTTTGGCTACCGCAGGATCTCCCTCCCTCTTCTCCGCCGTTGCATCTCTCTCTACTTCCTCCACCGCAGACTCTTCGGTTCTCTTCCTGCATCTTCTTCTGTCTACTGTAGAAGTTCCCTCCCTCTTCTCCGCCGCTGCATCTCTCTCTATTTCCTCCACTACAGACTCTTTGGCGCTCCGTCTCGGATCTCAACAAACAAAGAAACAAAGATTTGTCAATTTTGTTTTTCTTCCCCTTTCTTATCCGTTCAATACCAAACATAGTATAAATAATATGGTTATTAGTCTGATACTGCACCAAACGCCCAATTAATTTAGTCATTACTATCCGGTGGCTATTTATCCTATCCGACAGAAATAGTCAGTACAGTCCGAGCTGCCAAACGAGGCCTAAAGTTGGTTGTCACATAAACCTAATCCTTCCAAGCATATCCACAAATTTCAACAAACTGTCTTTGACCCGTTTGTTTCCTGCATGTTATGTTTGGTAGAAGTAGGACAGAGAGAGATTGAGAAAAGATAAATCCCACAACAAAAAAAAATTGATATAATATATTACTACTTGTAAATTATTAGTTGTGAACTGTCGGTCGACTCTGAAATCTTAACACAGTATCGATGAGATTACTTGCATGTCTTAAGTGACAGGCCCAATATGGTCCACTACCAACATTACTATTATTGTCCTAATGGCGAATTTGATACCAAATTAGGCTGCTTATTGTGTGACTGAGCCGAACTCCCACTTCCCATAGTGTAAAAATATCAATGTACTAAAAAAAAACTACCTATTGCTAGGTGTTAGGTTGTATCATAAAAGGCATCGGTGATTGTGACATCCCACATCGCCCAGGGGTGATCCTTATATATATATTCCCATCCTTACCTAGCACGAGGCCTTTTGGGAGCTCACTGGCTTCGGGTTCCATAGGAACTCCGAAGTTAAGCTAGTAGAGGGCTAGAGCAATCCCAGGATGGGTGACCTACTGGGAAGTTGCTCGTGAGTTCCCAAAAACAAAACCGTGAGGGAATGGTAAGCCCAAAGCGGACAATATCGTGCTACGGTGGTGGAGCGGGCCCGGGAAGTCGTCCCGCCCGGGCCGGGATGTGACATTGGAATGGTAAGCCCAAAGCGGACAATATCGTGCTACGATGGTGGAGCGGGCCCGGGAAGTGGTCTCACCCGGGCCGGGATGTGACATTGGTATCAGAGCCTATCCCTGGCCGGAAATGTGACGACGAGGACGTCGGGCCCCTAAGGGGGGCGGATTGTGACATCCCACATCGCCTAGGGGTGATCCTTATATGTATATTCTCATCCTTACCTAGCACGAGGCCTTTTGGAAGCTCACTGGCTTCAGGTTCCGTAGGAACTCCGAAGTTAAGCGAGTAGAGGGCTAGAGCAATCCCAGGATGGGTGACCTACTGGGAAGTTGCTCGTGAGTTCCCAAAAACAAAACCGTGAGGGAATGGTAAGCCCAAAGCGGACAATATCGTGCTACGATGGTGGAGCGGGCCCGGGAAGTCGTCCCACCCGGGTCGGGATGTGACACTAACCCTGGTCGCGTGTGTGCCGACGAGGACGTCGGGCCCCTAAGGGGGGTGGATTGTGACATCCCACATCGCCCAGGGAACTGATCCTTAAATGTATATTCCCATCCCTACCTAGCACGAGGCCTTTTGGGAGCTCACTGGCTTTGGAGCCTAATTGTGACATCCCACATCGCCCAGGGATGATCCTTATATGTATATTCCCATCCTTACCTAGCACGAGGCCTTTTGGGATCTCACTGGCTTCGGGTTCCGTAGGAACTCCGAAGTTAAGCGAGTAGAGGGCTAGAGCAATCCCAGGATGGGTGACCTACTGGGAAGTTGCTCGTGAGTTCCCAAAAACAAAACCGTGAGGGAATGGTAAGCCCAAAGCGGACAATAACGTGCTACGGTGGTGGAGCGGGCCCGGGAAGTGATCCGTCCCGGGCCGAGATGTGACATTTGTGACATCCCACATCGCCCAGGGGTGATCCTTATATGTATATTCCTATCCTTACCTAGCACGAGGCATTTTGGGAGCTCACTGGCTTCGGGTTCCGTAGGAACTCCGAAGTTAAGCAAGTAGAGGGCTAGAGCAATCCCAGGATGGGTGACCTACTGGGAAGTTGCTCGTGAGTTCCCAAAAACAAAACCGTGAGGGAATGGTAAGCCCAAAGCGGACAATATCGTGCTACGGTGGTGGAGCGGGCCCGGGAAGTCGTCCCACCCGGGCCGGGATGTGACAATTTAAAATATAAATTTAAAGATATTTTTCTATTTTGAACTTTAAAAATAAAAATAAAAAATAGTTTCGGGACCCAATAAACATTAGGATCACATTCAAAGGTCTTACAATATTGTCCTTAACTCCAACGCAAACTATTTCCTAAAGCTAAAATTTTAATTTTTCCACAAAAACTGTGAGTTATAACCCATAATTTTCCAATCGATTTGGAGAACATTTACAACATTCTTTATAAGCCTTAGAGTCATTCTACTAGCACCACATGTTACCTAAAATTAATTTAGGACATTTTGAAGATTTCAGACACCTATAATTCCTTTTTGGGGTCCCGCTATTAGCTTTCATTATTTTTTCTATTTTCAACTTTAAAGATAAATGAAAAATAGTTTTGGGACCTGATAAAGGATTAAATTACATCCAAAGGTCTAGCAACATTTTTGTTATTTCCCACACAAAATATTTCCTAAAATTAAAATTTTCAATTTTTTTACAAAAGCTGTGAGTAGAACCCACGTTTTCCAATCGATTTTAAAAACTTTTACAAGATTCATTGTAGTCAAAATTTGAGTCATTTTAGTCGCCCCACATGTTCTCTAAAATTAATTTAAGATATTCCAAAGATTTTTGACACCTACAAATCTCTTTTGTGACCTAGTTGTTAGTTTATATTATTTTTCTATTTTTTCAACTTTAAAATTCAATAAAAATTTGTCACATTCCCGCCCGGGCCCCACCACATCTCGGGCTCAACTTCACCATAACACGATATTGTCCGCTTTGGGCCCCTACCACACCCTTATGGTTTTGTTGACGGCCAGTATGCCTTGATTTTGGTCGGGGTGTGTCAAAAATAGTTTAGTGACCTAACAAACAGTAGGATAATATTCAAAGTTCTTGCAACATTTTCATTATTTAGGACATTCTTATGATTTCGGACACTTACAAATCTTTTTGGGCGACTCCGCTATTTTTTTGTTAAATGATAGATTTTGTTAGATTAGCCACTGACAGGGTTTAAATTCATGCCGTCATGCAAGTGCTTAACACATTTCTACCATTGCAGTAAATGGCCACTTGCAGGGGCCCCGCTATTAGCTTTCATTATTTTTTTCTATTTTCAATTTTAAAGATCAATGAAAAATAGTTTTGGGACCTAGTAAAGTTTAAAATTACATCCAAATGTCTTGCAACATTTTTGTTAATTCCCACGCAAAATGTTTCTTAAAATTAAAATTTTCAATTTTTTCACAAAAACTGTGAGTAACCCACGTTTTCCAATTGATTTTGAAACTTTTACAAGATTCCATTATAATCAAAATTTGAGTCATTCTAGTCGCCCCACATGTTTTCTAAAATTAATTTAAGATATTCGAAAGATTTTCGACACCTACAAATCTCTTTGGGGGCCTCGTTGTTAGTTTATATTATTTTTCTATTTTTTCAACTTTAAAAATCAATAAAAAATAGTTCAGTGACCAAATAAACGGTAGGATAACATCCAAAGGTCTTGCAACATTTTTATTATTTAGGACATTCTTAAGATTTCGGACACTTGCAAATCTTTTTGGGGGCCCCAATATTTTTTTTATTATCAAACGATAAATTTTGTTAGATTAGTCACTGACAAGGTTTGAACCCACGCTGTCATGCAATGGCTCAATACATTTCCACCACTGCTGTAAAGGGCCACTTGTAGGTGCCCCGCTATTAGCTTTCATTATTTTTTCTATTTTCAACTTTTAAGATCAATGAAAAATAGTTTTGGACACTGTTCTAAAAATCTCCGCCTAGCGTCGCTTAGGAGGCTGGCCACTGCCCGATTAATGCCTAGGCGTTTGAAAATTAAGAAAGGGTACCTAGGTTGCGGATCATTTAGACAGAAAATAGATAACTGCATTTTGTATTTTATTTTTTTTTCAATAAATTGTAAGAGACTTGTTGAATACATAAATGAACACACATTATTTGCTTGTTCCCCATGTTTTCATTATGTTCCAATACTTCTTAAAATTATATATATTTTAAGTATAAACTGTTACTTATTTACACGAAATATAATAAATCTACTTATATCTGCTTAGTCCACCAAGGCATTAGGCTCCAACCCGCCGCCCAACTAGCGCCTAACGTCTTATAGAACCTTGGTTTTGTGACCTAATAAAGGATAGCATTACCCCTTCATATGATTTACATAGATGGTATCCCTAGGATTAGGATTTGGATCCCATCTAGATCCAAATTGTGAGGATCCTAGAGATCCTCACATCCTAACCATTCATTGTATATAGGGCGACCAAAAAAACATTTTGAATTTTAAATATAAAATTAGGAAGTTTTAACAAAAAAACACACGGTATTGTTCGCTTTAACAAGAAATCACATTTTTTACACTAAAAAATCAATCCTGATATTATTGACTTTACCCTTTATTTTGTCTTTATCATTAAAACTCAAAGTTTTCAAGCCTTTTTCATTAGTTTTCCTATAAAATTAAATACAAATAGTACCTAATGAAAATTGACCGAACGATATACGATGAATGGCTAGAATATAAAAATCCCTAGGACAAAGAAGATTTAGAGAGAATCCTCATCCCTAGCATTACCCATTTAAAATTCCTGACGGACATTCTAAAATTTCCAGAAAAAAAGTGAGCTACCATAAAAATAAAAATAAAAATAAAGAAACATGTGAGCTCCCACGGTTTTCCAATCCCTTTTTGTGAATTTCTACAAAAAGCATTATAAAACATATTTTCCTTACACTTGTAAAGTTTAAGCTACTGCCAGGGGGAGAGATTCTCGCAGACAAAGAGGAGGGAGATGGGAGCAACTATTGTTCAAACAAACCGACCCACATGAACAATGTACAATGACATGGGGCCTGGAAATCTCTAAACGACACCGACTCACTAATATACTTAACTGAAAGCAGTAAATCCACTCAAGAAACTCCTACTAATAAAACCTTAAATGGATCAAGCCACTGTGGTGCATTGCACAAACTAGCAACCATTTACAACCTATTTTGTTACAATCATCTCGGTCACAGCTAGTTCTGGAGCCTTCAGATTTCCTCCTGTTTCAGCAACCGATCCATTCTCCGACAACTTCAGTTCCTCACCGGTCTCAGCACTTGGTGTCGGTTCCTTAATCAAATCTAACGTAGTTCCAAATGAATCCAAGGATTTGAGCGCTTCATTTGCCCCATCATTTCTTCCATCACTTGGCTTCCCATCCAATACCTTCATTCAGATAATCAGCAGAGAATACAATAAATTCTTCTGAATCCAACTGGCTTAATTAATGGCAATTACAAATGTAGCAGTAAGAAAAGAAAAACAGCTTAACGCATATGAAACAGTTGCATTGCATAGAGGTCCTGCAAAGAAAGGATAAAACCACTACACTTCTAAAATAAGAATTACTGGATGAAGGGCAAAAATCTTGCCTGTTTCCGGATCTGCTGTTTTGCTTTATTTTCCTGAATTGTCTTCTGGCGAGCTTCATAGAACTCAAAATCATCCAAAAGGCTTGTTTTACTGGAATGATCCTTGAACATCTTGATCATTTTAAGCCCCTGCTCTGGCTTGACCTGCATAAACACATTAAGCTTATCACCGGACAAGATAGAGGAATAACAAGATGAAGAAAATAAGTGGACATACCTCTTGAGTGTCCCTGCTGTTAGTGACAGGTTTGTTTTCATTGTTCTCTAAGGTAATGTGCTTTAGCAAACTGTTGGGTACATCCTTTACAATGTGCCACTTAACTGGAAAATAGCCAGTCCACTTGTCTTGTTGCCAATGTTCCACATTCTTGTTAAAATCTACCGGCCCCACCATCTCCGCTAGGCCAACAAATTGGCCACTGGCATTCACCTAGAGAAATAACAAGAGGAAGAAGAAGAAGAAGAAGCTAAGCCAAGGAAAGCAACAAATGAAATAATGGACTAAAGCAGTGGATAATGATGCTCACCGAGAAAAACAGAAACACGGGGCAGCCACCTGACTCCCCCTGAGCCTCTTGGTATGCTGCATGAAGTTTATTGTTTCCATTTGGTGTGCTGGCCCAAACATTATACTTTACACTCTTATGAACATCATCCTCACTATATGACTTAATAATGAAGAACTTAGCATCAGCATAATGATCACAGATATCTGTCCCGATGTACTGCTCCTGCTCTGCCATTATGCTAACTGCATCCTTCTCATCGTCAACTTTATTCAACAGCATATTGTTCCCCTTGACTGCTACAGCAACAGGTGAATTTCCCTTTTGATTTTTTAAACTTTTAACTCTAGGTCCCTTGTTCAACTCATCCAAGCCTTCTATGTCTTGGTTACCAAAGCGGAAGGAACTGTCTCGCCCCCTGGTTTTATACTTGTTTTGAAGAGCCGTCCACCCACTTCCATTTCTATGCATACCAAAACCATTGGATCCAAATCCCATACCAAGTCTAATTGGGTTCCAATAATGACCATACAATTCATTGGCATACATCCCATTCACAAGTCCGTTAGCTGTATCCATACCGTATCCCATCCTCGTGTGGTACAAATCCTACAAAGTCATGTAACAGAAATCCTTAAGAGGCCATCCCCAAGAACAATCTATAAAAGTCAGATCATTCCATCAAATAAAAATCACTACACGATAAATGAAATATGACCTATAGCATAACTAGTAATGAAAAAGGAGCGCTGCAACCGGATCAATCAATTTTCTAGTGAGGTAAACTCCAAAGAGAATAGCTACTATTTCTACCTATTTGGTTTCCCAACAGAATTCAAATGGGAAAAATCTGAAGATTACAGTTACCTTGCTGCTCAACCAACCAGATCACAGGTAAATGTGTTTAATATCACACATATACTAGGTACAAACATGTGAACAGAAGATTGATTAGCCCTAAGAAAATAGTACGAAATGTAAACAGTGATAGAGCTAGCATACCATGAATTGAGAGTTTGATCGAGAAGTCTGATTCTTGGAAGATGGAGTTCTGTTGACTGCGTTTCCAGTCATTGGTTTACCCAGTCCATTTGAATACATTGGCCGTTCAAACCATGGGGTAGGAGTTACCAACCCATCAAAACCACACATTGCATCATAGTACCCATTGCAGGAACCCCTTAGATTCAGTGATGAGTTTTTATATGGTGGTCTTGAGAAATCGGAAGGACTATTTCCCTTCTTACACACACTGGCCAGAACACCAACGGGATTCCCATTAGCTGTTCCTACAAGTGAGGGCTTGTGGCCAGCATCCTTTGCAGTAGAGACAGCCCCCTGGGAAGGAACAGCTGAATTAGGGGTGTGTGAGCCACTGTTAGGTTTCAGCTGCTTAAAATAGGGAGGATATTGGTACTGCTGAGGTCCATATAGCTGACCATCACTTCCCACAGTTGAAACCGGAGACCCCGATGTTGAATATGTGCTGTAGGGTGCATAACCATAACCATGATGATACATAAAAGAACCATTATCCCCATAGACAGCCTGAAATATGCAACAAGCATTATATGATATGATGCCAGGATATAAAAGAGTTTCTCAGAGAATATCACCCTTAAAATTCACCGAAGAGGTGTAAGAAGATGTAAACAGAAATACAAAACTCTGATAGGTAGAGACACTTTGACGAAACAGACTGTAAAACTCACAGAATTCACATCGTTTCCATTTGGATTAACATAACTTGGAATCCCGCCCCACTCATTTCCAGTCCCATCATAGCCTACAAAACCCAGACCATTAACAACAGAATCATCAATAACATGCAAACCATAAAACCCTTCATTGCACACGGGATTTTCAACACGACGATGGAATTCAAAACTCTTAGCTGAGCACTTATATAATAAAATCCAATAACAGATGTGATAAAGGAAGACAGCACCTAAGCATTACCTCCATAGTAATAGGCAGAAGATGTGTAACCATTAGGTAGATAGCACGCAGATGGATCCATAAAATTCTTTCGCAATGGGGCCGTAGACCGATCATAAGACTTGCTCTTAGAAGTCACGTCAACGGGCTGAAAATCATGAAATTGATAATCAAGCTCGAAACACAAATTCACCGGTCATTTTCCGGTACAATTTATTCACTTGTTAAAACAAACAAGAAGTTCATAATTTTTTTGAGCAAGGGCAATATAGCATAAGAGCAGAGACGAGAATTACCTTCCTGGCAGTGGCAGGGTCAGGGATATCATCAGGACCCTTGGTCTGAGATTCCAAGGCCAAATTCTGCAGCAAGTCTGCAGCTTCTGAAGAAGACCCAGAAAGTCAAGGAAATACAAAATACAACAGTAGATGCAAACAAGCCCAAAATACAATTCAAATCAAAATAAAAGCAGAATTTAAAAAATAAATACAAAATCCCAAATCAAAACGTTGAGAATCAGCAGCTTTTACGTCAGACAGAAACCCCTAATAGCACTCAAAGAAGAAGCAAGCGACAGATCTACTGATCTAGCCCCGTACATAAATATATGTACAACAGAGCTAACATTCCAAAATACGAAAACAAAAAGAAGCCCAATAGACGAAGAAGCAGTGAAAGTGTAAGGATACGATCCGCAGGTGGGGAAACGGTGGTCGCCATGACAAAGAGTGACACTTGAGAGAGCGGCCTCAGCTGCTGCTGCTTGCTTAAAACGCGAAAGGGTTTTAGGGGTTTTCGGGTAGAGAGAGAGAGAGAGGAGTCGTTTATAAAAGTCTTGGTTTAGCGCACCTAGTCATTCAAAATTGGCTTTAGGGCGGCATTTATATCATATGAATGTCCTTATATATATATTTTATCAACAAATTTCAACACAAGTATTACGAGGGTTAAAGATATTTACAAGGCGGGAGTTTGAACTCAGTGCAAATACATTGCTTTAGCTAATTGGTTTCACACACATGGCACATGAGATATTTTGTATCGGTGTGTACGATGAAACGTGTTTGGATTGGTATTTAGCTTGATACAACAATAATTCAATTAGATAACCTATTTTAAAATCTCAAATTTTATGACTCAAATATTCGTTATTGTATTAATTATCGCACTATGTCTATTATATAATTTGAACCTCCTCTAAATCTATTACTCAATAACCTTTCTCATCTATCACAACTCTAATTTAGTACGTTATAAGACCTAAGAGAGGTTCCCATAATAACGTATATTTGGGTTCTACTCCGACAAATTCTTTCTTAATTTTGCTATAGAAAGAACAATCTTTGTACTCAAAATTCTCATAAAAAAATAAATAATTGTTATTTATGTTTTTAAAAAACACTTATGAATAGTACAAAATGAGATTTTTAAAATATCAATAACAGTTTCATTTACCGAATGCTACCAAAATCGATATGAACCATGTGAATCGAGGATGGACGGAGGATATTTTCTTAGGCTTTGTTTTCACTGGCCCATAGGGGCTGATTTAACTTTGCTGGACCGTGACACGGGCCAGTGATCATAAGTTACAAAGAATAAAACGAAAAATAAGATAAAAATAGATACCACACAAACTTTTGCAACGAGTCAAGGCATCTCCTCTGATTTTATTCTTGGCACTAAAATTCTCAACAAAATAAATCAACAAGCACAACAAACACACAACACGGCAGACATGAAGAAAATACGAAACAAAATAAAATTTTAAACTCACTATATTGCAATATTTTCCCACCTTGCTTCTTCTAGCTCACTTACAATTACAAACGCAAAAACTTGCTCCCCAAATGGAGGAGGTTATGATCTAGATTTACAAGACCGGAAATAACCAAACAAGTAAAAGGCAAAGGTAAAACAAGGAGAAAGTACTAAAGGTATAAGCAAGCCTGAACCCAAAATCCTAGGCAACCCAAAACATGTTAGAGCTTCTGCAAAACACCTGTAAATTGACAACCCAAATGAAAAACTCTGGGGGTGGCACTACTACAATTACTCGGATCCCTAGCCCTGCCCAAGAACAAGATACAAGAAACTCCAATACATTATTGACTTGCCATTCCTCAATGAACTATTGACTATTCTAGCAGGGCAAGTCACTATCATCAGGACGGCGGTCCACACAAGTAGGTAGGCAGCATTGGATACTGGTTTTCTCCAACATATTCATTAACACCAGCACACTTCAACGCAAACCTTTCAAGAACACTGCAAGAGCATGGACCACCGTTACGCAAGGCAGAAGCTAGCAACCATTCGCAACCCCATTCACTACAACCCTCTTCTCTGACACAACTGGCTTAGCACCCTTTGGGGCATCTCCAGATGCAATTGATCCGTTTTCTGCAACTTTCGGCTCCTCACTTCCATTCACCGCCGGAACAGATTCCTTGGTCAACTCAGCGGAAACCTCCAATGAATTTTGAGTCTTCAGTTGCCCATTTTCCACCTCCTTCTTCTCATCATTGTTTTTACCTTCCCATACCTTTTTTTGGGTATTTTCAAATGGTCAAATGTTAAGTATTTGGACTTGTTAACATTCATCTCTAAACGGCAATATAAGAAGAAAACAAATAAGAAAATAAAAGGAGCAGCAAAATTAACAGGAAGGCAAAGTGTTTACCTGTTTCTGAAACTGCTGTTGCTTAGCCTTCTTCTCCTGAATTGTCTTCTGGCGGACCTCATAGAACCCAAAGTCATCCAGAATGCAAGTCTTGCTTATATGTTCTTTGAAGATTTTAATTATTTTAAGCCCTGGCTCCAATTTGACCTACACAAACCCATAAGATGAATATTCACAAGGGAAGAATAAAGAAGGTCAAGGCAAAAAAGAAACACTAAGCTGTGAACTTACCTCCTGAGTGTCCCTACTGTTGGTCACAGGCTTGTTCTCATTATTTTCAAGAGTAATGTGCTTCAGCAAACTGTTGGGAACATCTTTAACGATATGCCACTTGACAGGGAAACAGCCATTCCACTTGTCTTGCTGCCAGTACTCCAAGTTCTTGTTAAAATCAACAGGGCCCAACATCTCGGCAAGGCCAACAAACTGTCCACTGGTATTGACCTAAAAAGAAAACAAGTAAATTACTTCAAACCCAATAAAACTTTTAAACTACAACCTCACAAGTCCTAACAGCAATGGATGATGCTTACCGAAAAGAGAAGAAAAACCGGGCAGCCACCAGATTTCTCCTGAGCCTCCTGGTAAGCAGCATGAAGCTTCTTGTTGCCATTTGGCGTACTGGCCCAAACATTATATTTAATGCTCTTATGAACATCATCCTCACTGTATGACTTAATGATGAAGAATTTGGCATCGGTATACTCCTCGGGAAAATCTGCTTTGTTGTATTGTTCTCGATCTGGGACACTGGTTTTTTCGTTTTCCTCATCATTACTAGGATTCGTTGGTACCTGCCCCTTGATTGCTAATGCATTAGAGGCAAATCCCTTTTGATTCTTGGAGATCTTCGCCCGAGGCCCCCTGTTTAGTTCATTTAATCCATCCATGTTCTCATTACCATATCCATAATAGCCACCATTTCTTCCCCTGGGCTTATACTTGTTGTCAACAGCAAGCCATGAGCGTCCATTGGTTCGTGAATCATAAGCATGATACCCAAAGCCCATACCAGATCTAACCGTGTTTCCATACTGACCATACAGCTTGCTTGGGTACATCCTATTTATAAACCCTTGAGCTGTACCCATTCCCGACAATGGCCTTGGGTGGTGCAAACCCTGTGGGATCAAATAAATGAAGTTTGTAAGGATGAACACAATCTCAGTAGGACATTTAAAGTAAATATTCAGATTCAGCCTCCACAGAACATCTATTAGCATTGGAAGACTGTTCACCTTCAACCAGTTAAAGGATATCCGATAACCAGATTCCTCCATGCCTTAGATGTTCTCACACCAAAGGGTTAGAGGTTTGATATGAGGCCAAGGCCATAATTGAACAGTCATGCCATACAACTCGGATGACATTTCCACTGGTGGAATAAGGTAATCTCCAAAAGTAAGACTACAAAGCAGGGATTATAAAAAAAATATTAAATATATAAGCATGTGACCAACATACCATGTAATGAGAATTTGGACGGTAATTCTGATTCCTTGAAGACAAATTAGTATTGCCATTGGAGATTGATGAAGTAATTGTACTTGTCACTGGTCTAGGTTGCCCGTCCGAAAAAAGTGGGGCATCTAACCATGGACGAGGAGAACGCAACCCATCAAATCCAAATCTTGGGTCCTGGTATCCAGGAGTAGGAACACGTCCTGGCAAAGCACCCCTCCCATATGAACCATTAGAGTTGAAAGACGAGTTTTGATATGTTGACGAGGGAGCTGAAACATTATTTCCTTTCACACCTCCACCGTTTGCAATGCCGTTAGAAATTCCATTAGCTGTTTCCACAGACAGTGGCTTTTGGTCACCAGCTACAGAGGTGGCGACATCAGTTTGTGGGGCCGCAGGGTTGGGAGTGTACGGTCCACTGGTTGGAGTCAGAGGCTGGAAATAGGGAGGGTATTGGTACTGCTGAGGTCCATATAACTGACCATCATTTCCCATAGTCGGAACAGGGGAGCCAGCAGGAGAATATGGGGCATACGGTGCATACCCATAACCATGGTGGTATATCAGAGACCCGTTGTCCCCATAAACACCCTAAAAAAACACAAGCAGATAACAAATTTATAAGTTTAAGAGAACAAATTTACTCACGTTAGATCCAAATCAAACGCGATCACCATGAAACATTACACAAAAGGGAAAAAGAACTTACAGAAGTCATCTCTACTCCCTCAGGATTTACATATCTCGAGTAGTCATCCCACTCGCTGCCAGTCCCATCATAGCCTAAAAGAAATTCATAAAACCATCCACATCATACACATGAATTTCCTATCAAAAAGTACACATTAATTTTCATGAAGAATCTAACAATCCACCAAGCAGAGAGTTCAGGCATAAGTTTTACCTCCATAGTAATAGGCAGTAGACGGATAACTGTTCGGGAGATAGCACATAGATGGATCCGCAAAATCAGGTAACAATGGGGTAACAGAGCGATCTTCTGGGATCTGTCCATTTGCAGCATTGCCAGAATCAATAGACCCGTATTGGTTAACAGAAGGCTGCATGGAAAAGAAATCAGCCTTCAGAACCACATATAACGTAAATGAATAAATGTTTCAAATGCAGTTTGTTAATACTTTTTCATGATCCAATCCTCATGGCTGAATTTTCTTGTTCCATTTATGTTTAGCAAATAATTATCCTATCTTGAATTCACATTCAATCATCACATTGCAAAGTACGGTACCTTCTTGGTAGGCTCAGGAATTTCCAGAGTCTTGGTTTGAGAGTCTAATGACATCTTCTGTAACAAATCTGCTGCTTCTAAAGAACGCAAACGGTGAAGGATATAAACAATTTTGTAAATCAATCGAGATGTCTAATGTACAGTGCCTGTTTTACTGTGTGTATTGTAAATTTGTAATAGCCATACACAATCAACAAAAAAAATCTAGGTTCTGGTCCTTCTGGAGCAGTGAAAATAGTTTGAATTTTATATGGAACAGTCAATTCATTCACTCCATCTACAAGTTACAAACAATTTACAAAAATCACCTGATATGAAACTTCAATTCAACCAAGCACACGTCAATCTTTACTTAATCAAACAACACCAAATTCAAAAAATTAAGCAAACCCATACCAAGAACTTGAATTGTCGCACATACAGCCATAAATTTCAGACACGGTCTACAAAACCACAAATCAAGCATAGAAATCCATAAAACCAACACAAAGCGCCACAATCCCAAAAACTAAACAAACGCCATAGAAGAAACTCGCAGCGATCTACAAATTTAATGTAAGCCATAATAGCAACAAAGGTAGAGAAGATCTAGTTTCACCGCAAACTAATCACTAAAGAAAAGATCCAATTAGAATAAGAAAAATCGAAAACAAACAATACCCAGATGGCTAACGTCTAAAGTTTTAGAATAGGATACGTTCCACAGGAGGAGCAACGGTGGCCATGGCCGTCAATTGATAGCTAGATCTCCTACTTCTCCTTCCCTGTCCTAAGTATTGCCAAAAACCCTAAATCCCAGAGAGGTGATTGGGGTTTTAGCAGTCGGAGAGAGAAATCTCGATGCTTAGAGAGAGAGAGAGAGAGAGCAGGGAACAACGGGTCTCACAGCCGCCAAGGGTTTGGGTTTTTGGAAAGAGGGTTTTTTTCATCCAAAAGCGGTGATTCAAATAGCACCACGGCTCCTCTTCAACCCTCGCATTCAATCACCCGCGGGTCACGTTGTGAGCTCATCGGGCCACTCCTATTGGACCAAATTTCCACGTGGCCTTTATTCATAGGACTCCCCAATGTCGTTTTTAGTCTTTCAGGGTCAAGGTGAAATTGATTGGCCCGGTGATTTTAATCCGAGTGAATGTATCCCTCTCGGGAGGAGTTTGAAAACCCTAATTACAAAAGGACATCGATGCCCCATCGCACTCGGGCATGTGGCAAAACCCTACCATTTTACATGGGGGGTGTTGTGGGCATTATGGGGTTTACACCGTGAGGAACCGAATTTTACAAAGATCTATAACTCAAAAGATAATTACTCCCTCCCTCCCCTTGACATCAACGACTACCTTTTGATTTTTCATGAGTTTACCAACGACCATTCATCCATGGGTTGTGAAACTACTATAAGCTAAATTATAATTGGGTTTTTATCACAAATGACTCTTAAAATTGACTCACATCATCAAAATTATCCTTGAAATTAAAAATCAATTAATGTAGTCCCCGAAAATAGGTGTCGCAAATCAATATGATCATTCCGTCATAATTTTGTTAAAATTTTTATTAAGTGCTGATGTGGCACACAAATGGGCTCCACAAGATTTACGAGTTTTTATCACTGAAATTGACTCACATCATCAAGATAGTCCTTGAAATTGACCCACACCATAAATATGGTCTCTAAAATTGAAAATTAATCAATGTAGTCCTTCAAAATAGGTGTCGCAAATCAATATGATCATTTCGCCACAATTATATAAAAAAATTTGTTATGTGTTGTTGTTCGTTTAATAATTAATTAAAATTTTGTATAAATACCTTTTTGCACAATGATTTTTTTTTTTTTGTTATAATAGAGACTCCAAAGAAAGATCCCTTTCATAAATTCTCAAAGTCAAAAGGCTTAACCAAGGCCTAAGAGGGGTTGTGGAAATAGTTTTAAACCAACAATAGACGCACCTCAATTATAACCTCATTATCTCAAGGTAGACCTCGTCATTGTTTGCATCACCAGACCATCAGGGAAGCACTGAACAAGCTCTCCAAGATTAAGGTTGTGAGGATGCTAATTGTCTAAATGTTAATGATGATGTCCCAGTAGTCATTGTCAACGGGCCAAGCAATCACCAAAGGTAATCTCGATCCAAGTTCAATTCGATAAAGGGTATCAAAGTGTAAGATGGGTGTATTTATTTTTTATTTTTTTTAGATAATAGAAAGCGAAGGAGGTAGAGAAATATGGACTGGGATCGGAGGTGATTGCATGACTATGTGTTTGGGTTTTGACAATTTTTTAATTAACTATTAAATTATTAAGCATATTTGTAATTTTTTTAAAATTTAATTAGACTTCTTTAATCCATTTATGTGTCACATTAGCATATAGCATAATTTGTGACAGAATGACTACATTAATTTAAGACATTTACTTGCGGGACTACGTTGATCACTTTTCAATTTCAGTGATCATTTTGATATCGCGGGTCAATTTCAAGGATCATTTTGATGTCGGAAGTCAATTTTAAGGACCATTTGTGAGAAAAGATGACTTATGAGGCCTATTTATGTGTCATATCAACACTTAACAGAATTGTGACGAAATGACCATATTGATTTGCAACACTTATTTTCAGGGACTACATTGATTGATTTTAAATTTTAGGGACCATCTTAACGGTGAGGGTCAATTTCAAGGATATTTTTTACTTCGTGTAATATAACCTTGATTCTCCTCAATAGAGGTGGGATGGGTGCGATTTGGCCAAGTTCACCCATAAAATATAACTTATTCATTTCAATTCTAAGTAAAATAGAGGAAAATTCTCAAGTTTATTTGTCAGATCATGTGGTTGTACGACCACACACACAAATAGGGGGCTTTTGGAAGTGTATTTTTTTCTAATTCTATCCATGGTCTTTCCCGATCCTCCCTAAAGGCGTATACAGCCGGTTTGACAAAAGTTTTCTCCGTATTATGGCCCAAACGCCTTGTTTGACAAACCCATATTTGAACAAAAAAGACAAAGTAACTCATCAAACATACCTTATTACTTTATTGCCCATATTGATAGAAAAGTTACAAATAAATTTATCCCCTAGAATTGAAAAACATAAAACAAAAACAGTAATGGTAGAACATGTGTTTAAAATTTAGTGAGCTGATATTGATGAAAAGTCATCATGCACTTTAACCACAAAGTAACTTTCTAAAGTACCAAACGACATTTAAAATAAGTTTAAATAGTGATTATATGAGTGATGTAAATATTCATGAGAGTCACAGTAGGCAATGTTGACAGATACAACCAAGAGATTTCTGACCTTGTGGAAGCCATCGAACCAATCTATTCCATAATATGTATTTTCTAGTTTTAACCATGAAAATATCAAAACTACAGGCCATATTTATACCTCTACTCCATCAGTTTCCAAAACGGTACAAAAATAAATCGCATTCTTAGTTTTCCCCACGTTGCGGACCCTTTTTTTTATCGTCACGGTGGATTGGAGATTGGAAATTGGTAACTGTGATGGAGGGGTAGTTTATGTTGAAAATTTGAAGTTCGTACTTGTGGACAGCTTGTGTCACTTCCGGGAGAGCAAAGAAAATCTGATTGATTTGGTCACCGGTGTAGCCAATGTTGCGGAGGAATAGAACGTATTCGCTTGTTTTCATGTCGTAAACGAGGCCTGGATCCATCCGTTTGATGGGGTCAATCAATGTGGCCGGCACCAATGTCAAAGGATGTGTCCCTCGTGTTTGCTGTGACAATTGAACATGAATTATGATCAATGGCTGTTTTTATATGCAAGTACTAACAAAATGTGAGCATCCATCTCAAAACTATTTTTTAAACACTTTATGCAAGACTAAAATCACCAACACAAGATGCTCTGAACACGTACCTGTGGTGATGAGAGCAGACCTACTGACTGCCGGAGACCAATTCGGATGTGCAGATTTGATAAGGGCAACGACTCCGGACACATGAGGTCATGACATTAATGTTCCCGACGGAAAATTCCAGCTCACAGAACGTTTATCATCAAGTGTTAAGGTGGCTGTTTGTAATGTGCCATGGTGGGAATGTGGATCATGTTCTGTTACTGTATAATGCACATACGTATGATCGGCTGTATAGAAGTACATCTTATGGTATATATACACGCAGGGTGATGCAGATTGATACCTTGAGAATATAAGGTGCAAGTGAGCTTGGTCCTCTTGAAGAAAAGTTTGCAACTCTAGGAGCTGGAGAATTACCATAATACTTTTACTTGCTTCTCTTCGCACAACAGGTTTCGTGTGTGGTATTGTGGTATAGTACACAATATTAACACATGTCACGAATTTAAGTGCAGTCAAATTTGTCGACAACATTACCAACAACTAGTTTGAAGTATCGATAATATCAATAATATCGAGAACATATCTATATTCTTTAAAAATGCAGTTAACTGCGCTAGAGAGCGACTTACGTGGAAGATTGAGCAAGGTAGTGCTTGATTTTAGTCCCCTGCTAAAGGTTGACATGGACTGAGGGGATGATGTCGACGGCAACCTGCCTTGTCAAAGATGCCACAAAGATCAAACCCGATGCGTTCGCTTTCTTGGCAGCTACCTTTGCCTCAATGGTCCTATGTTTGAGAAGCATAGAATTACTCTTCGAACCGCAAACTTTGATTTTATCCAATTCCCTGGCCTGCAAAACCTGCATTTTAATTTAAGACATTACATAATTAACAAGTGATTAATAGATCAGATGGAAAATTATGAGAGAGAGAGAGAGAGAGAGAGGTCACTCATTAACTAAATATATGGTTGCATCTGCTAATTTTGCCTTAGTAGGTGTGGTAATAAAGCTGTCTCCCTGTGCAAAATGGAGATTTATGAATGGCTCAGCTAATTAAGGTGCTGAAGCATATATTCACGAAATGATTAGGGTCGTGATCCACTGTTAATTAAATTAGAGTATCACCTCAAACAAAGTAATTAAAATTTGACCTTTTCATCACTGTATCATAATTAACATGTAATGCCATGTATAACCCATGATTTATATGTATTAACAAAGAGCTTATTGTATAGGATTATTCGGGTTGGAGACATTCGATCAACGGAGGAAGCAGCTACACAAATTCCCCAAGGAGCAACGTTTGTGACCTGTGAGGGGTCGGGCGCTTCATTACCTGCAGAGAACACCACACTAACGCCCAACTGCATTGCATGAAATGAACCAATTGCAGCTAATGATACAAACAGTGGCAAAAATGGCGGCTTTGATCCAAACGACGCTGATATCACGTGAACTCCATCGTGCAAAGCATCATCTGCAAGAATGTCTGCTTCAGGGCACCTGCCATCGTAGTCCTTTCCCCAACCCCAACATACTTTGTACACCGCTAGATGTGCTCTTGGCGCTCCTCCCCTGGCGGTTCCTGGTGCTAAGCCAAAGAAACTTGCATTGTTTTTCACTATATAACCATGGGTACGCTAATCAAATCAACCAAAAAATAATGTACCATAAAACTTGTATGCATAATTTGTTATTAGATATTTCTATTAATTAAGCACTATTGCGAAGAGACAAAGACATTGATATTGGAGGCCACGCGTGGTAGTGGTGGAGCTCAGCTTGCATGAGAGAGAGAGAGAGAGAGAGAGAGGGAGGGAGGGAGGTGGTGAGCTTTGCTTTCTTCCATTCCCTTCCTTTCCTTACATGTCAATTTGTGGTCATCATCCCATCTTATCTCATCTCATCTCCAGGGGTTTCTAGCTAGTCCGAAATTGGACAACATTATATGCACCATATAGACTAAAGACTATTATATAGAGGTTGGATTGGACCCCACCATTCACTGGCTCTCTGCTTGAAAAATGGCATGCACTATATAATGTTGAAAACGGAAGAATTTTGGGCATCACACGTTTTAGAAAAGATTAACATACAGAGTTTTTTGTTTTTGTGAGATTAATTGGACAAAATATATTGCCGGGCGATCTAATTAAACATTTCTTCTTAGAGAAGAAAACTAGTAGAATCTCTGTCATGCTCAGTCAAGTCAATTAGAGTCATAAGGGTAGGAGGTTGACCAAAATTAAATTCATCCTACATTTCCCATTTTGTTGCTAAGTATGTGTAGTGTTGAGTGATCAACAAATTAACAACTCCAATTTTCTGGAGGAATTGACCTTTCTTCTTTTCCTAGTTGCCTTCGTTAAAAGGAAAGTAGTATAAGTATTATGCAGACACATTGAGAGACATAAAAATATTTCAAATATTATAAAAATGTCATGATATATTTTCATGTGCCGTCCAAGTGACAAGTGTCGAGTTGCAAATGGTTTTTGTAGTGAAAATCTGGTGTGAGTTTATTACACCTATTTCCTAGGTCTTGTGAAATAAAGTAGAATAGTAATAGATTATTAGCAAGAGAAACAGAAAGAGATATACATATAAAAATGCTTTTGTTGTTTGTAGTTTTCAACGAGTGTGAATCAAGAATCTTGTAGTGATGATGTTTGTTCTCATCATTTTGAATTAGAATAATTTTAACAAAATCACTATAAATGCTCATCTTGTTTGTCTCTTTTAAACAGTCTATCACAATCACACCGTTTCAAAATCCTGCGAGCCAAGATTAGTGGAGAAATAAATTAATAAAATCAATCTTTTCCTGAGAATAAGGGGAAAGAAATAGTTGCCATGAATAGCAAGGAGAAAGTGTATAAATTTGACTACAAGATTTGTGTACTGTGTATTAATTTACATTATCATTGTAGGTGCAGCTAGAAAAGCAAAACTACTATGTACTTATCACCTTTTTGAGCAAGTTATAGTTAAAAGCCAAATGAAATTGGTTCAACTTGATTTTATGCTCATGCTCATGGAACAAGTTCATTATCCACTATAATGCTCCAAGAGTGGATTGCCCTATATATTAATATCTGCATACATACATTACACGCCCACATATATGTGGTAATTGTATTAATACTAGTGTCCAGAGTCTCTCTGAGAATCTTTTTAATACAACTTATTTTGATCAAAATGAATTGTAATAACTAAATGCAGTTATTTATTAGCCTTTCGTGGCTAGAGAACCTTACTTTATTGATGCTGGTTGTCTTGTTGACGTAGCCTCTCCTAAGTTGAATTGGCCTTTTGATGGATTATGAATTCAATTTGTCCGTAGAAAAATGAAAGTTAGGTAGCAGCAGCTGACTACAAACCTTCCTGCTATTGCCTATTGTGTACTGATAGAGAGTGGGAAAGGGTCAAAAAAAAAACAGGCATGTGGACGAAAGGAAGAAAGAAAAGAGAGAATGTGTTGGAAATGGAGAATGATGGAAAAAGAAAGATTCGTGGAATTGAAATCCACCATATCTGCGCAGTGCGCACTAACAAGGAAGCACAATATATTTTTGAATCCGAAAAAAAAAAAAAAAAAAAAAAACCACCCTTCTCCACTAATGTGGGCCCATTTCTGCCATGGCCAAGAACCAGCACCCACCTCAATCCCTCTCCTCTCTACCCCATCATTACCTTACCACCAAGAAAAAGAATTCTCTCTCACTCTTTCTCCTCCTCATTCTTCAACAATTTCAAACTCACAAGAAGAAAACAATTTCCCCACTTAAGTTCTCTCCTTACTCTTTTGGCTCTGCTTTTGGAATTTCATTTGCTTTTCAATTGGGGGTCTGAATCCAATTCATCCTTGTGAAATGGTGATGGGTGGTTGGTGAGGAGGAAGTGGGGCTTTTTTGGTTTTTTTTCTTCTTCTGGTTTTGGAAATAATGGGGAATTGCTGGTACAGGTGGGAACCTTCTGTTTACAGAGTCTCTTCCAATGCCAAGTCAGGTTAGTCCCCATCGTAAATCTTGCTTCTTTTTCCTCTTTTTCTTTCTGTGTTGTTTTTCTGATTAGGTTAGTGAGAGATTAGAGTTGAACCTTACCTTGGTTCAAAATTCAAAAGATCATGCTCTGTTTTGGATCCTCATGTATAATTAATAAATTAAATTATGTGCTGGTTCCTCCTCATGCAACAGAAATTTCAAAACGAATTCGTTAATCAAATTGATATAGACTCTCTTGTGAAAATGGAAAATCAAGATTGCATTTTTAGATGATTCACATAACCATATGCAAAAAGATCATTTCTTTTACTTGTTTGGACTGAGATATACCAAAAGACCGAAATCAAAAAATTGATCTGATTCTCTAATTTTTCATTAGTTTTTGCTGATATTGAAGTAGGTTGTACTATTTTTGTTGGATTGTTTATGTAATCCTTTACGTTTTGAGGAAAAAACAAATGAAGAGGATCTACTTTTTCACCTTTTCCATATGGCCGGTTGAAAAGGTAATAGATTACTAGATTTCCTTTCCCGTACGAAAGTGGATATTCTACATTGCCGGTGCCTTGTTTCTTTTCTTGATTCTTACTAGTATTTCTGTTCACTCTAGCGAGTTTTCAAAAGCATATCCTTTCTTGTTCAAAGTTCAATTTTTTCCCTTCCTTCTACTTGGAGTTATATGCTCGAGTCTTTACTTTGTGGGACCATTAATCTTCAGCTTCCTCCTGGTCCATACGAAGACAATCGAAGATTTATCTTATCCCTCTTGTATACATTTGTATCTAGAACTAAACTTGCACAGGAGACTAAAAGATTACACATTTTGCTATAAAATATTAACTTGGGTATGTAAAAAAGAATTGCATGTTACCTTCAAAAAGTTGATGGTGCATACTCTACTCTGGCATGCTAGGGATTTTTATTTTAATTGTTTTTCTTAGTTCTTTCTATATGATGCACTTCAAGTTAGTTGTGATTGGATTTGGATGGTTCAGAGGTGTCATGTTATGCTCTCAATTTTCTTTTCAGAGTCCCCAAAAGACCAGAGCCCCTCAGTGAAACATAGGGAAGATGATAGTAAGTTACCATCAAATCCTGAAGAAGTTGAGATCCTACGTCGTGATTCAGCTGCAAATCCTTTGATTGCATTCACATTCAGTGAACTAAAGATAATCACTGCAAACTTCAGGCAAGATCGCATGTTGGGTGGGGGAGGATTTGGAAGTGTGTATAAAGGGTTCATTACTGAGGATTTAAGAGAGGGGATTGACCCCCTTCCGGTAGCTGTTAAAGTTCATGACGGTGATAATAGTTATCAAGGACACAGAGAATGGCTGGTAAGCTTGGTGTTCTGTATTTTAACTCACTAAGAAGATTAAAAGAAAGATCAGTTTCATTAAGAGGTTGATTTGTGCATTTCTAGGCCGAAGTCATATTTTTGGGGCAGCTTTCTCATCCAAATTTGGTAAAGCTCATCGGATATTGTTGTGAGGATGAACAACGGGTGCTGATATATGAGTATATGGCTCGGGGTAGTGTGGAAAACAATTTATTTTCCAGTAAGTACATAAGTATTTTCTCTCTCTCTTTTTCTAAATTAATTTCCAAAAAATATTTATCTGATTAATCTGGAAATGCTTAGAGAATTACAGAGAGAACGGGAAGACAAAATATAACAAAGGAACAGAAATATGATTGACCAGGCACAAAGACTTGAGAAAATTCCATTTTCGCTTTATTAATGCTTCTTGCATCTGGCCCGTCTGGATGACCCTTTGCGCATATGATGGCAATGCAGGATGTTGAATATATTTGATGTGAAAGAGAATAAACAAAGAATGGCCATGAAAGTGGCAAAAAATGATGTCTAGAACTTCTGTCAAATGTCATTTTCACATCAAAATGGAAGATAAATGCCAAAGGGACATAAAGAGACTTGTTTTGGGGTGAACCGTATAATTTTGTGAAACCTATGACAATTGACAAGTCATGCTGTTATTCGTTATTTGGTGAGTTTTGTGGAATAATATAAGACTGTATCTCACATGCGTATTTCCCTTTTTATAGGAGTGCTGCTTCCTCTGCCTTGGTCCATAAGGATGAAGATTGCATTTGGTGCTGCTAAAGGACTTGCCTTTCTCCATGAGGCTGAGAAACCTGTCATCTATCGTGATTTTAAGACATCTAATATTCTGTTGGATCTGGTTAGTATAGTTGATTTTTTTTTAAAAAGAGAATAGATTACATCACTTGGGACATGTACCAATTACTATATCAGTTGCACTGTCTAGTCTCTATTTCCGGATTCAATCCAAGTATGGATGATATTCTTTAGGGGTCATTAAAAAAATCATGGGTTGATCGAATGAGCTGATTTCAGTTACTGCAGCATACGTATCATTGATCTTCTGAGTAATTTCAATCGGATTACAATCGCACCTTCTTTGCATGCCTCAAAACAGGAGTATAATGCAAAGCTCTCTGACTTTGGCCTTGCAAAAGATGGACCGGTGGGGGACAAATCTCATGTTTCTACACGCATAATGGGGACATACGGATATGCCGCACCTGAGTACATCTTGACAGGTAAGTTCTGTTACAAATTTAGACGCATCTTTTGGCAATTAGGAAGGTCTTTGTAAACCACATGGAGATGTAGTCATTTCATTTTGTTCCCCATAACATCCAAAATTAGGATTGCATTGTTAAAAATCGACAGTTGAACTCATATTGGAAACCATACGTGCAGGCCATCTAACTCCTAGAAGTGATGTTTATAGCTT